TTTGTGTATGACCTTATTACCTGATCAGTCGATCGCAAGCTGTTTTGAAGGTGTTGGTCGATCGCATGGCACCCATTCTGTAAAATTATGTCGTGTACCAGGCATGCTGTGTGCCAGCGCAATATTTAAAAGCATTGAGCTATGCGATTAGTTGACTTTTTTCCAAGAAGAGTTTTTCAGCTTTGACCCAGGTCCAGTGCGGGGAGGACGCTAATGGGGAGATCAATGCTGTAATAACAGAACGTCAAAATTTTATTCCGTGATGCTTAGGTTAGTGGTTCCTAACCGGGGACTGTGCCCCCCCCCCCCCCCTTCCTTGGTTCTTTGGACCCCTTAGATAGATTAGATAGATGCCCACCAGTTGACGGGGTGCCACCATGCTAGGTACAACACTGATTTCACGGGGTGTTTTCATTTTGTTGAGCATGCATTGTTTGAGGATAATGGAATTGGCAATCTGCCAATCAAAATACCACTGGAATGATGAACAAGGGACCATGCGTGCTAAAAGCTTTCGAAAGGGGACCACGAACCCTAAAAAGTTGTCCGATTCGCTTCTTTATTTCGGATCCCGGCTGTTTTGGGTTTCATTTTATTCGGAATTGATGAGTTAATATCCTATTATGTATTAAAAAAAACGAGAGAGCAATGTTCAAAATACGGACACGACAGCCAAAACTTCGTTACCTCATAATTCTGTTCTGGGACGCCAGGCATGCCACCGTGCCGGTTCCACTATAGAGAATACAATATTGGTGTGGGGTACCGCGCTACTCACTCGAGACTATCAGACTTTGCTCCATATTGCACATGGCAGGTTATGACGATCTTTCCATCGCATGAGTTGACTACACTTTGTTTACGCAAGATGTCCATATTTTCGGATCGTGATCTTACTGTCCTACCCTCCTAGTATATTAATTATTAATGAGATTTACTAAAAATATCATTGACTGTTGACAAAATCTCTGACTAAAATCACTGCAAGACTCAGGCCATCTGACGCAGGACATTTAGAGTGAGTACGTACACGACGGGCAGATGTTTCATGCTTTTAATCAGGGATTCTCAAACTTCTGACTGGTGTTATGGAGCCCGTGATAAGGTTGACCATTACTTACGAAGCTTCACAATAAATTTATGAAGATAAAAACAAAAGAGCACATTGTTACTCGCCGATAAATCTTCCTCAGTAAATTAAAATCACTTCATTTAATGACTCAATGTTTTTGCTGCTTTGTTAAAATTAAAAATATATATTCAAATTGCAGTTGTCAATTTTTTCTCATTGTTATTACTTGGGCAGTCACAAAATCAGCCAAGTCAGTATTTTATTAAGTAAACGAACAGTTTACGGAATCACTATGTTTCTCTCACGGAGCCCTGCGGCTCCGTGTGGAGCACTTTGAGAATCACAACATTAAGAGAAAATCTGATGCTCCCGACGTATGCGAACCAAGATGGCGGACATCGGAACGTAACATGGGTAACAGGTTAGGGTTACGCCATAATTTTTTTTCCAATTTTCCTTATTTTAGTCCTATTATCAGTTCGAAGACTAGCCAAGAGCCTCCCGTAGTATTTATAGCTAAAATTATGGCCTAACCCTAACCTAGTACACAAATTACATTCCGATGTCCGCCATCTCGGTTCGCATACTTCGGGAGCCCCGAAAATCTCGCCAGCTTGCTATTTGCTTCAAAAACTATACGGTGTGCATAACGTCTTAACATTTTTTTTAAATTGCAAAGGAAATTTATCGATACCATATATTGATTTGGCCGTAACGGATGTATTAAATGAAGTCAAAATACTTAAACAATTACTGATTCAAAACAACAAACCTGATTAAATTTGATCGGGAACTGACTTTATAACAAATTGGAAATTGAAAAGGGACTTTATGGACACCTTGTATATCGGATTGAAGATTGAAAAAAAGTATTCAAGTACTTTACAGTCTTTTAAGTATTTGAATAAACAATTACAGGCAGGACTTCCGTGCCGTTCTTATTTTGTTTTCGGGACTTGTTCTTACAAAAAGCAGTTGTCCTAGTATTCAAGTAAGCGCCGATGGCAAAGTTTAAAAATTCGACCTCTTGATCGTTGGTTAGCGATTTTTAACGACTGTTGATTTCGGTTACTTGTTTATTATTATTTAAGTAACAACAAGAGTTTTAAGTATTTCCAATTGAAAAAGCTTAATGGAGGTTATGGTAATATCTTTTTCAACACAAACTTAAGTTATAACAAAATATCGTTCAAATTTGAAAGCAGTACTGAGACCCAACATCCCAGAAATATAGCCGAGATTCGAACTTCTGTGAGAGAATATGCGAGTACGTTGGTCTTATTAAATGCACTGTCAATTTTATTTCAACATTTTCTGTAGTTTTAAATCTTACTTTACTTTTATTTTTAGTTCCGGGGGTGGCGAGAAAAAGAGGTGGTGAAAAGAGTGTGTGTTTTGTGTTGTGTTAAAAACTGTTTTTACCAGTGTTCCCAAACTTTTTTCTGCTAGTGCTCCCTTGGACGACTTTTAACCTAGCCAACGCCCCCCCTGACAAAAAAGTCAAAGCAACTTTATTCTTCATTTATCATTGGTATAATGTGAAGGTTGAGCCTAGTGAAATACCACCAGCTTGATAATATCTGGCTTCATTTCAGTCAAAAATAGTCTCGAATCTCGTCTCGACGTTATTTGATAAGTAAACGTGCGGTCACTGCACTAAATACACGCTCTACTCAGAATGAGCTGGCAAATGCAATAAAAAGTGAAGAACTTTCAATTTGATGGAATACCGAATAACTGAACATGGGTTTGAAACTATAAACCTAATGATTGTGGTGCATTTTCGCTTCTGGAAATTTAGGGTTATCTATAAAACGGAAAAAAAAAATTACTATCTCCGAAAAAATTATTTAATGTTATTTGCGCTTGAACTTCTGTTTGCGTATGAATATACTGAGAAATTTTGCAAAATTTCCAACCATTAGTTTTTTGCTGAAGCGCACCTTCTGTTAGCAGGACATGAGTTCAAACGGTAAAATCAGAACATTACGTGGTTGTGCCTAGAAAAATCTGGACATGACTTGAGGGATTGATAGGGGTGACTCGCAGTGGTTCCAGCATGATGAGGCGACCCCCATACATCAAATCAGACGCTTGCTTTCTGGAGAAAAAAAGTCAACAATGACATCCAGTGGGCACTTTCATTATCGGGCAGGAACCTCTCAGATTTTGTATATAGCGAGTTCGAAGGACAATCCTCAAACGAAGGGTGACCTCAAAGATGCAATTGCAGAAATAAAATAAAGGAATATCCAATTAAGAGTGATTGAAAATGTTTTTTCAATGTTGAGGAGAGCATCGGCAACATGTTCTAAAAACGATATGATTTTTGTTTTAGAACGTCCTGGATTTTCCGACACTATTGGGTACGAACATACGAACAAGTGAAGACAAAATTAAATAAATAAATCGATTTTCATTGAAGTAATTCAGAAATTGATGGTTCCGTTTTTTGAGGACCCCGCTGTATAATACTGTTTTTAATATAAATCAGTTAATCCTATGCCCAGCTCTCACGTGTTGCTCCTAACAAAACCAAATCATAACATAAGGGTATTGTACTTACACTACCGCTTCAAAGCACCATAGAACCCGATAGTAAAATGATGCTGTTTTAATACAGTGCTACGAAACGTGAAGTGCATGGTGAAGAACGCATATGCCGTATGCGCTAGACTAGTATTATTATGAAACAATACGGATTTAAAAAAGTCATAATACCTATTCTATTTTAAGCGAGAAATTCCCAACACCGAAATCACAAGCAAACTAGTTTGGGACCTCCTGAAGTATGCGCACCAAGATGGCGCACAACCTGAACTCAGGTTGGGTACCAGGTTAGGGTTCAGGTTATGCGACATTTTGGTGCGCATACTTCGGGAGTACCCTAGTTTGAACCAAAACATAGGAGTAAATGGCATAAAATATCATACTTTTTGTGAATTCCCGTATTGACAGCCAGCGACCCCCAATGGCCCAAGTCGCCATCAGCGTCCCTCCAAGTTATCGCAAATAATTTTTAGTTTCTCTAATCCAATAATTTCCGACGTTTGTGGCCCCCTTGCGGAGGCTTTCAGCACTCACCCCCCCACCCCCGTTTGTAATCACAGCAGTATTTATAGCGGCCTCTTTATTGGTAGGATCCCAATCTTATTAGGCTCAAGCAATCATGCATAACAAGATGAAAACATCCTGTGATGAAGCCTTGTTAATCAATAAAACTGAAAAGACGGGAGGTTCCCATGTTAAAGAAAAAGTAAAATCAGTTTGCGCCTAGCATTGTTCTCCCTCCCTGCAACTGCTCTCTAGCCCCCTTGCTCTAATCAGTCACGCACATGCTTACGACGCAACTTGATGGGTTCCATTACAGTTGAACCCACGACAAATGCATCTGCATACTATTGCATCTGTGGAATATTTTTTTTAATGGATATTTGAACCTATATTAACCCTAACACATGGATTTTTTTTCATATACCGTAAATGCTCGTTTTAACGCCCGGTCTTGATTAAGGGCCGGTGCTCGAATACCCGCCCGATGTAAAAGTTTTTTTTTTTTTGCGGATTTGTACCTGCGGTGCGTAGAAAAAGTCAAAATTTTCATTATTCTTGTTTAAATCATACTTGAGAACTGGAAATGACAATATACGGTATTAATTATTGTAACGATCGATCTTATCTACCGGTATTTTTGTGTGTAATTTTACTTTAAAAATAACAAGCGCCCCTGCTTGAATAATGGCCCGGTTAGTGAGTATGTTTAAAAAAATAAGCGCCCAGGCTATTTAACGAGCAAATACGGTAGATTGAACCCGCCGATATACCGGTTCAAATGTACGTGGGTTCAAATGTACGGTCACCAACTTGGTGGTGTGCGCTCAAAACGCCAGGATTAAATAAATAACTAGATCCACTGGAAATACAAAGGTCGTTTCATGAAGAAATTTTAATTCACCGTATGAAGGGCATTACAAATCACAATAAGTAGCAAAAGTTAAATAACCAGTGTGTCCATAAATTTCTTTCGGCGATGAACACGTCCTCGTCGAGAACAAATTTTTAGTAAAACTGGGGGGAGTGGGGGTAGAGGGTTCTTTTTCCTCTTTTGATAACGAGTCGTCGTTTTCCGCTCTTTTTGACATTTGATCAGCTGATTTGTCACGTGATACTTTGTTTCTATCATTCCAATCTTGTTTCCGTTTCAAAGTTTGCTTTCGGCGGGAATTTGTGTTTTCGTTTGAATTTTCAGATATCATTATGACGTCACCAACGGGCAAACAATTTCCCGCCTCATACGCAAACGGAAGGATAGGATTGCCTTTTGCTTTGCCACATAACGCCTCACGTACCTCTGGGTCAGAAAGTCCCAAATTTACGATCGGGAGAGTCGTTTTGCGAATGTTGTAAGGTTTTGTAACAAGCTCTATTGTTTCTATGTCTTCAAAACAGCCAGATTCGTGCAAGGCAAGACATGTCCTTTGTACTTGTTCCACGCAAGGTGAAAATGAACACAATCGCCCACCTAAAATGACACAGAATTTGATATTAAGTTTGATGCAGATTTGACGTCATTTTGTGTCCTGCATTGTTGATGCAAGAGAATGAAATAGAAAACTAGGGTAGGTTTTTTTTTTATATTTATGAAATGATACAGGGTGACCGCCACAAAAAACAATAAATTTTTTTAAGATCTCCACAGAAATAGGATAGGATTTACATTTTTATCCCGGGGGAAAGGAAAGCCGATAAGACGGCTTATCCATATGGCGAACCACGGCCTCTCGTCCGGTTACCATTCCAAGTCGGGTATGGGATTAGTTATATTGTTTGTATCGGAAGCATGGACTTGGTGGTGGAGGAAGCCGTAACCGACCAGCGGTTACGTGAACCACCCAACGACGGCGAGGAGTCCAGCAATCCTCTCGCACATAACCATCCCTGCATGGGATTCGAACCTGCGAACCAACGCAGAGTAATTAGAGGTGCGGTGGCGAGCGTATTCCTAACACTTAGCCCGTTGAGCCACACCGCCGCCAACGCCGCCACCGCCGAAGAAATTTTATTCAAAATTCAAACTTCTGTTTTGTAGGATTGCACTCAAAATTTTCAGTAATATACGACACCTTGCACAAAACCTATGATATCTCTAGAGCATTGGTTTTTAAACTTTTGAAGCAACGCTCCATCAGAATTTGTCAAGTCTCGTTCCCCACGTCAAAAATAACTAGAAAACAATAAGCTACCAATAACGAGAAAGTATAGCGAAGTACGTGTTTATCCGAAAAAAAACGTTGAAAATACATGAATGGATTCGCAATCTCTGAAATATCCGAAAAAGGGCAGACACCGGACAGTATCAAATCTAACCTTCACGCTCCTGAAAAAATTGTCTACACCAGGGGTCGGCAACCTACGGCCCGCGGGCCGTGTGTCCAATCACTAATAAATTATTAACTTACTATTTATACGACATAATTCATCCAAAATCAATAAGCTTCTGGTCCGAGATATGATAAATGCACATGCAAAATTTGGAGCAGATCAACCCTCGCTTCCGTGATATATCGCGAGTGTCTAACAGACAGACAAATAGGCCACCTATCAACATTTGCCGACCGAGATCGATCCCGCCCGCGACGCTTCACTGAATTATAGTAACAAAACAACGAGACACGTGTAGACTAAATTATATTATAACCTGACAAGTATATAATTCACAATTACTCGTTGAATGAGCTTATAATTTATTTATATTTAGACAAATGACAACAAAACGCAGAAAAGTTGATGCTAAGTGCAAAGGGTTCAATGGCGCCGAAAATATTTTAATTGGATTTTATGAGATGCAATGAGGAAATAAATCTATATTCTATTCGAGAGATGTATCACTGCTTGATTTTTATTATATAAAGTATCATCCGTTTGGTTTCTAACATTCTAAAAATATGTGCGGCCCGCCAATGACTTGCAACCAGTGTTCACTCTAAAGTGTGTGCGCGCGCACAGCTTTCAGAGGCTGCGCACACGCATGGATTTACTGCGCACAGACGTATTTCGATATAATGTAACAATGTTCTCGATTGGCAGGTTGGGAAAGTTTGTTGTTGGCCCACCCATTACCCGGTTAGAACGCCAAAATTTCTTCATCGGTTTTTGCACAAATATTAGTCATTTCCAAAAAAGTGCGTACACACCAAAATTTCTGCGCACACATACTACAAAAAATTAGAGGGAACATTGCTTGCAACCCTTAATTTTGGCCCGCGAGCGGCAAAAGGTTGCCGACCCCTGGTCTAGACCCTCCTTGCGGAGCGCCCAACCGTATGAGAACCACTGCTTTAGAATCTGTTCAAATCACCTATTGTGGCATTACCTGATCTTTTCAAAGCTTTAATTGCATGAGGAATCACATCGTATGGTTTAGGAATGTCAAGGAACACGGCGTCTGCTTCATTTTCTATCGGGAATCCCTCTTCAATGACATCTCTGTGATAAACCTGATAAAAAACGGGTTTCAGAATAGGATAGGATTTACATACTTATCCAGAGGGAGAGGAAAGTTAATAAGATGGCTTAATTATATGACGAACCATGGCCTCTCGTCCGGTGACCATTCCATGTCGGGCACAGGATTAGTTAGTTATTTGTTTTCGGAAGCATGGACTTGACTTTAGTTGAGGTCATAAGTGCTATTTTTCCCTAAAGGAGTGAAAAATGTGGGTAAATCTTTGTTCAAAACGAAAGGTGAGAATAAACGAGCAAAACAATAACTTGTCTCTTACTGTTACTATGTCTTCAAATCCATGCATTTTAAATTCCTCCCTCGCCGTTTGTGCTCTCTTTTCATGGAATTCCACCGTGTGGAGATAACCATTGGGCATGATTGTCCTCAAGATGGAGTGAGAGAGGGAACCACTCCCAGTACCTGTGAGCAAATAGTGTTGGTTTATTCTACATTCTGAAATATTGCTACGAACATACACCATTTATACATTGAATACCACAACAGGAAAATGAGTATAAATGTATTAGCCAACCCGTTTGCTTGGCATGGTTTGACATCTTTTTATCCTCGTAGGAGTTGAATATATGCAAAGAATTTATGTGCTCAAATCCATCACAGGCAGACAGGGTAGTTTACATAACCAGTGTTCGGCTATCATGATATACCATCATGTTTACGTGAGAGAAACAATTATGATCAACTATTTAAATACTCTACTCGGACTGATAAATGGACTGCCTTGCCATATAATTAAGCAATCACTTTCCATTCTTATTGGGATGAATATACAAATTTATTCCTATCTATTCATCTACTTATATTGGACTGGCCCTATCCTATTTGGCATATTCAGAGACTACTTCATTACCCTGTGGTTGTGAAATAATATTTCCTGAGTTTTGTAAATGCTATGGTCGTGGCATATATATCAAAAATTGGGGCAGGCAAAAGATTGGAATGAATGCCATTATAAGAAATTTCGGATGGCTGTTTTGAGCGATAAAAACATGATATAGAACTACTAGCCTCAATATTACAGTCATAATCTCATGAGATTATCGCTTTTATGGAACCTCCTGAAGTATGCGCACCAAGATGGCGCACAACCTGAACTCAGGTTGTGTACCAGGTTAGGGTGCAGGCTGTGCGACATCTTGGTGCGCATACTTCAGGAGTACCTTTTTATGCTGAATGATAATAATTATCCTGTTTAAGGAAATTTATCTAATTTATTTATAACTTGCATAGATGAGTATTCTAATTTTTTTTTTATGATAGATCACGGGTGGGCCATAGCCCACAGCAACATTTTCAGGAGAGTCACAAACCTATTAAAAAATGCTAGAGTTACAGATAAATTTAGTTTCATTTGTGTCGCTATAGTTAATATTTCATTGTAGTGGAACTAAATGATGCTGATGTTTTTGCTACTGGGTGCTATTTTTATTCTAATTATTGGAGTCGGATTATCTATTTTTGTGGAAGGAATTTTCCGTTTACTTTTACATACTTTCCCATACATGAAAAAGTTAATGAGTCAAAGAATTTTTGTGCAACGAAAATAGGCCATGTGATAGATAAAGAATGACTGGTTAAGTGTGATTCATTCCACCTTTATTTTACTCTCAGAGGGCAATTATATATGAGTGGGGACGTGGGGTTACCATATTTTTGTGACTTCAAATCGGAACGCCTCAAAATAACAACCCCTTAGCTGTGATTTTGTAACTTCACATTTTCCGATTTTACTACATAGGCCTACATTCCTTCATTTAAAGCTGTCCCGGCTGTCTTTATTGACCATATTGTTATCGAAATTTTATGCGCATATTCTCTGTCCAAATATCGGGTTCAGTTCGAAAAATAGTGAGGAATTGACGTTAACGATACCGGTACAAATAATTCGAATTTAGACTAATTAGTATTGGTTTTACATGCGATACGTCTGCCATCAATGGAAATCAGCGGGAAACGAACGCATTCACCATCAGTAAGTAGCCTAGCGCTGCGCTACACAGAAACAACAGTAACGAGAACATGTTTGTGTATTATGCTGGAAAAGCGAGACTTTTGGCTGACTTATCAGGACAAAACGCTGAAAAGCGGGACGTATGATAAGCCTATATATGAGGTATCTCAAACTCAGGTTAGCAATATAGAACCTATAAGAAAGTGTCTTCAAACATTCATTCCAATTTAGGTTTCGCACAAGCCCCTTATATTTAGGAGCCATTGATTTTAAAAAGTCCAGTTTCTAATCTCCTTATTTAAATTTATTAGGTGGAGTTCAAATCAGAGATATTCACCTATTTCAAATCTTTCCGGTCTCGGCGGCAAAGATTTGAATATACCATTGGATAGAAGACTAATATAGGAACATATTCCAACAAAAAAATTGTGGTGACATCCGACGAGTTTTCGAACTTTTTGAGGTTCGAAAATGTTCAAGTATGAAAAAATTGAACTTTTTCACAAAATATCGTATTATTTCGAATCTTTCCGGTCTCGGGGACAAATATTTGAATATACCATTGGATAGAGGACTAACATAAAAACATATTTCAACAAAAAAATTGTGGTGAAATCCGAAGAGTTTTCGAACTTTTTGAGGTTCGAAACTGTTCAAATACACAAAAATTGGAATTTTTCATGAAAAATCGATATATTTCGAATCTTTCCGGTTTTGGAGGCAAAGATTTGAATTTACCATTGGATAGAAGACTAACATAAAAACATATTTCAACATAATTAGGTCGAATACTTCAATCCAGTGGTTTCCAACCGAGGATTCATAGAAATTATTTTTGGGAGTTCAGTATCTTTCCATGTATAATGCAAAAACATAATATAGCTATATTGTAACTATTTGCAACTGCCGTCAAGAAAAAGGACATGCGGCCTGTTATGAGAATTAAGTTCAGTTATTCCTGTTGCAGTGTGCTACACTTTGTTTATATTCCTCCATTATTACATTATCGTTCTTTGTGTTGTGATCACTGATTATCGTCAAGCGACAACGGACTGCATTTGCCTTACTGCATTAGTTACGTGACGTTACGAGTATTAGACGGTAGTCCGATTAAGTGTGGCTATACTTAGTGACTCAATGTAATTAGGTTGCATGTTCTTGTGTTTAGGTTAAAATGCGTTTTTAGTTTTCTTAAAGCCATAATTTTGGTTATAATAAATAAACTGTCATAACAAAGCCAAAAATTTTGCCCAGTCTGGCGGGTAACAGTAAGGTAAAAGTCACATTTTATGAACAATTTTCACAGTGTTACAAAAGCAAAAGTGGAAAGCAAAAAGCTTTGACCAACATTAATCGCAATATCAACAAATTCCTTGAGCTATTTTTTAGCTAAAACATCAAAATTTTGTTTTAGTTTGGTTGTGGCAGCATCAGGCGGGCCAGATTAAATTACCCAACGACCGGATTCGGCCTACAGGCTGTAGTTTGCCAATGTCAGATCTATAGGGTGACACAAGTTCATGGTTATAGAGAAATTCATTTTATTCAATTAAAAAATTGAGCCATCCATTGATTAACGAGACATTTGACACTGTTTGTCATTGGGCTTGATTCTCTGCATGCAAGAAAATGTTTCCAATAGAGCTTGTTCATATTAGCTCGGCGATGTGGCACATGCTAAGCGTTAAGGAATACGCTCGTCACCGCATCTCTGATTACCCTTCGTGGGATTGCAGGTTCGAATTCCATGCGGGGATGATCATGTGCGAGAGGATTGCTGGACTCCTCGCCGCCGTAGGGTGGTTCAGTAACCGCTGGTCGGTTACGGCTTCCTCCACCATCAAGTCCATGCTTCCGAAAAAACAAATAATTAACTAATTCCATACCTGACTTGGAATGGTAACCGGACAAGAGGCCGTGGTTCGCCATATGATTAAGCCGTCTTATCGGCTTTCCTCTCCCTTAGGATAAATATGTAAATCCTATCCCCTGTAATAGTCATGGCTTAGGGACTTATTCAGGGAGTCCACAACATTCCGACATCATCAGACGTGTCCATAGCAATGAATAGGTTGAAAACCAGTGCTCTAAATCGTTACGGCTATTGTGGCTATAAAAGAACAAATGTATAAAAATTATGTGGGCTCACCTGATTCACAAACTACTGATCCAGGCTTTAAATCCAACTGCATAGTAACCATAGCAATATCAGTTGCATACAATATCTGAGTGCGATGTGGCAAACTAACCGTCCACAGCTCAGGCGTAGGGTGGAGAATGTAGACCCAACCCTAGAAAAAAGATCAGTATTATAGTTTCTTCACACTGATTTCGGGATTCCTGAAGTATGTGAACCAAGATGGCAGACGCCGGTACGTAGTATGTGTATCAGGTTAGAGTTAGGCCATAATTTTATTCCAATTTTAGTCCTGCTATGAGTTCGGGGACTAGCCAAGTGACTCCTGTAGTATTTGTACCTAAAATTCTGGCCTAACCTTAACCTGATACACATACTACGTTTCGGTGTCCGCCAGCTTGGTTCACATACTTCAGGAGTACTCTGATGTCTACCCCCCTCAAACCAAAATATCTGTTCAGCCATCTAGTGAAACAATTAGGGTATGTTTAAAAAATGGAGAATGTATACCCAACCCTGGAAAAGATTAGGATTGTATTTTTTTCACACTGACACATCAGAATATTCTAGAAGAAAATTGCCACTACTTGGAAATTTACTGAAATGTAGCTAGTAGGCCAGCCCTGGTAGGCTTTTTTCACACTGGTGTCTACCCTCCTCAAACAAAAGAACTCTAGTCAGCCAACTAGTGGAATAAATATGGTATATTCGAAAAATGGAGAATGTATACTCCGAAAATTGCCAATAATTGCCAGGTGTGATAGTATGGATAAGTTTTATATGTAACATAGGATAGATGAAAGCCAATGAGATGGCTTGATCATTAGGCAATGCTCAATATCCAGTCAACGACCGATGTTATTCAGATGCATGTATTCAATCAGCATTAAAGAGGAAACACCTTAGCACAACAAGAAGTTCAGCTTTGAAATATTTTACACACAACTACCCCACACAGCAGGGCATCTCTGCTAACATTCAATACAACTGGATCAAGACAACGATTGATTTAAGCATCAGAGCACTATGCCAGGGCTACTCAAATATTTTTACCCAGGGTCCACATACATAACTTCAATAATATTTGGGTCCGGTCATTCCAGAAATTATATTTCGGCATCCTTAAACAGCACTTCCTCGGCCGGCTAACGATTATTAGATGATCAAGATTGTTTATTATGGTGTCATAGTTATTTTCATGAAATTTAAAAAGTGGGACTAATGATCCAAAATAAAGAATTGGGTGCGATCCAAATCAAATACTCGAAAGGTTCCAATTCGGACCGCCAGTTGAGTAGCCCTGCCATACATGATTCAAACCAACAAACCTTTGCACAAGAGCAATGGCGAAGGTGTCCCTAGAACTCACTGAACCTTATATTTCGACAATGACATGGATTAAAAAATATCCAAACTACCTTAGAACATTGATATTTTGCACCGAATTCATGTCCAACCAGCCAGTCATGTTTTATTGCTCCGTACTTTGTTTGAGTCGTTTTGCCTCTGTTTACAGTCACAGGAAACATAGAATCAAAGCCAGTGTACACAATAGCTGTGTCTCCTTCTTCCACATGACTTTTATATTTATTGAAACTCATTTTTTATTTAGAAACTGTGAATTAGGATCAGTGTTAGAACCTCAATACACATACTTTATTTACCTTCAGACAGATTATTTTTTTTATTTCATCCAACCTTGGTTCAGTGGGGATTACACAAGGCGGAAACTACACATACTTGCGCTTTTTCACTTCGCATACATACAGGGTGGCCCAAAAGTAGGTATATAGTTATTGAACTATTTCATATGCTTTGAAGCTACCTGCAAATCACTTTATGTTACTTGTAAAGTACCACAAAAATTGCTTATTTTTTTAGATAATAAATCTAGTGTGAATTTTACATTAGTTTTCTAGCTGCTTGGAAGGTAATAAAAAATAAATAAAATAACTGTGCACCTACTTTTGGGCCACCCTGTATAATGGAAAGATGCCAGCACAAGAATGAAAATGACTACACATCAGGATTCAAATCATTAAAAGCAATCTTTCCAGCCCATTTTTATTGGTCATTACTAGGGCTGGGCATTTCGAATTGAATATTATTCAAATCGGTTTAGAGCTAAATTTCGAATCGCCGCCATCTTGTTTTCTTTTTTTCGCCAATGGTCGAGGTGAATTCCCCAATTTTTTTTTCATTGAAGTCATTTTTTTTCAACGCAATTCTAACATATGACTCTTCTCTGTAGTGAGTTATTGATAAAACGTGTTTGTTATTGTGTGTAAACGCTCAGTAATCTATCTGAGTGATTTATTCTAAGTCTTCAGTAAATCATTTGTTGAGAGGACCAATTACTATAAAAAGTCGCTTACAAATATATATTTCCAAGTATTCGAGATTCGATTCGAAAAATTTTTTCGATTTGATTCTGAAATCACAAGGTATTCGAAAATGCCCAGCCCTAGTCATTACTGTACAAGCACTCATGGAGATTTTGAATTCTACCACTGAGTGGGATATATAAACAAAAGCCACAACTTTAGAAAGCCCAGACTTAGCATGTGGTGAACCAACTGCTTAAAAGGGCACAATGGTTAGTGCTTGAAGCCTTTCACCCAACTATATTGACATCACAGGGTGCTCCCGAAGTATGCGAACCAAGATGGCGGACATCGGAACGTAACATGGGTAACAGGGTAGGGTTAGGCGATAATTTTTTTCCAATTTTCGTTCTATTATCAGTTCGAAGACTAGCGAAGAGCCTCCCGTAGTATTTATTCCTAGAATTATGGCCTAACCCTAACCTAGTACACATATTACATTCCGATGTCCGCCATCTTGGTTCGCATACTTCGGGAGCCCCCCATTTTTATTGGTCATTACTGTACAAGCACTCATGGAGATTTTGGATTCTACCACTACACAAGCCACAACTTTAGAAAGCCCAGACTCGGCATGTGGTGAACCAGCTGCTTAACAGGGCACAATAGCTAGTGCTTGAAGCCTTTCACCCAACTATATTGACATCACAGACTTAACATCTTGGGTTCTAATCCTGAGCATGATACCTTAAGAACAGTGTTGTACACTGAATAAAAATTTTCAGACCAGCCCATCTAGAGTTCGAGTACATAACAAGGGGTTCTCAACCTTTACTCTAGCATTGCCCACTTGGGAGGTTTCTTACCACCTTGTATTTGTAAATATACGATCTTTTCTTGGCAGCATCTCCACAATGAGAGTGTAATAACAATCCCAGCTATGTAATTTGATGAGTGGCCACATTTGGTCTTTTACTTTTCACTTTAGAAATTTACCCCCCGACCCAGATCATTAAGTGTTATATGTATGTTCGAATGAAATATTCTTGCTCTTTGATCTGCAAGCTTCAATATCATGTAAAGGTAAGAAGCTTACGAAGAGAGCTTGAAGATAGCAGAATCACTGCAGAGCATAAAGAGATTTTTTTACATAATGTCCCTGTTGAGTTATTCCACGAGTAAATAAGTGGACCAATGTTCGATAGTCTTTCTCTGTTTCCGATTTGTTTTAAGCTGAATAGCAATCAGTACAATTTGAAATTTGTTTTTCTGCAACCAAAATAAAACAGTCCAGATGACAGAATGAATAGTGAAAGACACAGGTTAAAATTTATGTGTTTAGTATTCGAACACAAAAGAATGCAGTCGTGTACTAGTTGTTGCCTAGACCAAATAATCATACCAAATTTTATTTGAATGCATTCATTTATTAATACAGAAAAACCAAGAGTAATAAAATTGTGAGACGTGATTAAAGAATAACACAAAAACATAAGATTATTATTAATGTAAATATTGGGGGGACTTTGCGACCAAAAAAAAAAGTGGGTAAAGTATAATTAGCAGCTCGACTCCACATGAATTTTTTTTCAAAATATTTTGAATTAAGCAAAACCAGAGTTCCTAAGAGTTTAATTGTGAATTAAGAAGAACCATCTCTCCGAATTCTACCAGAAGTCCCCCAATTAGCTAATAATCAACAATACTAAATTGGCAAGCTATCTAGAACAAGCATTAGATCAGAAATCATGAAAGAAGCATATACAATCATCAAACTAATGAAAACACAGATTCAAATAGATCAACAAATCACACTACACTTCAAAGCGACTCCATTTTTATGATAAACATTCTATGAGCGATGAGAAGCTATTTAAGATAGTTCAACTGATATAATTTGAGCATAGTCTTCAATTCTTTAACACAAAACATCAATTAAAATTTTATAAACAGGGAGAGATCAAACAAAACTCAAAATTTAGATTCATTTTTAAATTATGAAGTCAAGAACTCATAGTTCTGCAAAATGTTTTCACTTTATTAAAGAAAAAACATTAAGCAAAATGACAAGGTTTCCAAATGGAGAGTGTTTTGTCAACGAATAGCTTAAAAGCTGCTTGAAATGCAGGTTATTTCCAGTAAATATGTCACTGAAACCATATAATTTAGGCATATAGTTCAGTTTGATAGTCAAACCATTATTCATACTCTTCAGCAAAAACTTACATTGTCCAAAGCTCAAAAACTCGGCATTACACCAACAGAAGTAAATAAGTTTAAGAAAAAGGGCAAATTATTGATAGAAGAAGATCTAGCCTCGCATCACAATTTCACCAGCGCAAAATTTAACCCCCTGACACCTTTAAAATTATATAATCATCAAGGGACAATAAGGGTTAACAAAGCAAATAAACAAGTTATAGGTCAAGCACAATAACATGGACAAAAAATCACTTTTTTAAACAAAACATTCTAGAGCGTCCAAATAACAAATGATTAATTAACTTTCAGCTGAGTATGAGGTAATGAAAACAACCCAAAGACAAACATATTGTACTATTTAATATCAAAGGATTCTTGAGCAGTTCAATCCAGCTAAAACCAGTTTTATCCGGTTTAAACTAACCAAATGCTGCACAATTTATTTTGATTAAATTAATTGAATAAGACTAATCAATTTATGGGATGGGACAGAATTTTTGAATTTATCTTTACGTTTACGAGAAGGTACCTTAGATAAGACAGCCAATACTCATTGTGCACCACAGCTCTTCACTGGGTTCAGTTCGAATATGGGAATAGCAATATCACCAGTTTAGCATTCAACAAATCAGTTACAACTAAAATCACCAGGCATCAATAACAATTTTGTGATAGCAAAGAAAATAAAAACCGATCTTAAATTTATGTCAATCTCATAGATTTCCGGATTTTCCCTCTAAAATATGATAAGTAGTGATCAATTATGATATAACAAGTCCAGATTTAATTATGAATGCATTTGACCAGTATCAACCGGACGTAACTGGTTTATATATAGAGAGTTTCAACTGGATGTAACCGGTTTAAGCAGAGATTCAACCGGAAGTAACCACTTTTAAAAGAGAGTTTCAACAGGATGTAACCGGTTTTAGGAGAGAGTTCTATCTGGATGTAACCGGTTTTAGTGGATAAATCTGCTTAAGACTTGATAACAAAGCATTAATTTAGATTGGGACTACTTTTAATTTGATTATTGAAAACATCCTGTTCCAGCGTTTTTAAAATAACTCAATTTAAATGGAATTCAAGTCCAACTTTTAGCAAATGTTCACATAATTTTTCAAAAACTACTTTGATGTGATTGCCTGATTGGTATAACAGTTTTAATTTAAATGAAATCCTTTAGCTTTCGTTGCAACGATCAATTTCTCTCTCATAATTTCCTCGGTAGAATAATCTGGCAACTTCAAATAATGAACGCATGTATTCACAGATGGATAACTGGTATCTGTGGCCTCAACCTGAATTAAAAAAAAAAGGGTTAGAAATTATATTGATGTATGCTCTGAAAAAGGCTTCAAAAAGCTTTGAGAAGCAACCGATGGCTATCAAAGTTATATTTAAGTTTCAAATTCAGAACAAGTGTCTGAAACAGCGATTATCGACCTTTTTAGGCCACGCCCCTTTTTAGAATTTGTCAAGTCTTGCACCCCGCCTCAAAAATACCTAGCTAACAAGAAGCGACAAATAACAGATAGTAAGGCGACTATGGTTTATCCAAAAAACATGCTGAAAATACGTTGATGGAATCGCAATCTCCAAACAATGAAGAAATGTTAAATATCCCAAATAAGATGGGTAAGATCAAATCAAATAAATATTTATAATTGGCTTCACACCGCCTCAAAAAATTGTCCCATCCCTTGAGAATCACTGTCCTATAACAATGCAAACATAAAAAAAAGCAAAAAATGATTGTCACACAATACTAAGAGTTATATCAGGTTCAACAATATGCATGCTGTTTTTTAGAGCCTTAAAAGTGACAATTTGAAATTACATTACCTTTCTGACGATCGTTAGTCTTGGGTTGAGGTTTGCAAGGCCACCAGGTGGTAGTGAAGAGCAGCCAGTAGCAAACTGCAAGAAAGCTTTTCTCTCGTCACCATTCATTGAGCAAATGACGTTCACAAATTTCTTGAAGCCAGGACTGAAAAACAGATTTGAAATTAACTATAGATACTTTATGTAAAAGTATTTAAAGTTACATTTTAACTTTCCATCCAAACGAGGCACTAATCAAGTAGTCACCCACACATGGGAAGCTGCTTTATTTGGGAATACAATAATCTTTCCATTTTGGCGGTTTTTGTACGTTTTTTGTGATTTTGCACGTTTGATAGTTTTCCCAGTTTTTGCAAGTTTTTTTGTAATTTTTCACAGCTTTTGTATATTTTTTGTAGTTTTTTCATGGTCTTCGCACGCTTTCGCAAAGTTCTCGGTGGTTTTGCACGTTTTCACAAGTTTTGTATTTTATCGTCAAATTTGAAGATCGATGAATGAAGAATAGAGGTTGAGAACCCCCTTACTCTTAATAAGATACGAAATCTGTATATAGGATGACCCACCTTTCTCTTGTGAATCCAAGTTTTGGTTGAGTGTACGATATGACATCATCCTTAGTCCATTGTGGGTGTTGTTCTCCGCAAAGTAAATTCCTTAGTTCATTGGGAGTGAATACTGATAGATTCTCCATTGAGAAAACAGAGTTGAATCCGTCTGAAAAGATAAAAATTTCTTATAAATTGATGTTAATGAACTGGTTCAGTGTTAAAGGGCTCAAACATTGACTCGACTAGCACTAGGGCATGAGTTAACGAATATAATAGCCCGGAGTGATTCGAATTATCTAAATGGAATGAAATGAGCTCCTCTCAAATAACTGACAGCGACAATTGGTACATACATGATAATCTGAAATAGGATAACTCATGAACATCTATCTACATAGCACTGTTTTTAACAAACACAACAAACCATGAAAAAGATGATAATTTAGTATATATATTAACGTGTTTATTGTAACAAAAATATAATATAGTGATATGTTTATGAGCTGTGTTGTCTAAATGGAATGACCTGTACCAACCACTGTCAACTGCCAATGGGACTTGGTAAACTGAATAGTCAACTTAGTAATTGACTTGACTTCAAAATCGATTTTGAGACTTTGAAATAATACAAAAAAGGAGATAATATCGTTTTATGATGTACTTATTGCATCAAAAATAATGCAATATGGCTATGGACAGTGTTGGGAGGGTCAAACCACTGAAACAACTAGAGTTGGGCTTGAACAATTTATCAAGGACCAGAAGTGACTCGTTAATGACCCAACAAGTGAGACTCAACTCAGTGATTGATTCAAATTCAGACATTAACCCAACGCGTTTATAACAGGAAAGAATCTTACAGAACGTCATTTTTAATATTGACATATTATTTCCTTACCTCTAAAAGCATCCATTTGTTTTCTAAGGCCTGAATTAAGGCAGAAATCTAACGTCTTTTCAACATATTTTCTTGCGTTTGAAACAGTCAATACAATTTCTTCTCCATCTTCCACTAGAGGGTGTGAGGAGTAGTTATATGCTTTCGAAGACGGAAGATATTGGAAAGTCAACCTGTATTTTTTTTGAATTAAATCATTTTATATTTATGACATTGAAGGTGAATTTCCAAGGATGAGACTCACGGGTGCGGTCATTTTGCAGCCCAACATTAGGTTTAAATAAAATACTAGTCTTCTCACCATTGTATGATGGTTGACGTCCGCCAGCATCAAATCCATGAACCAATTATTCATTTAATTATTCCCATATCCGACATGATAATGGTAAAAGGTCGAGATGCGCCAGTATTACAGGCGTATATCAAAATGTTTCATTTTAAAAAAGTGATTTTTCGTCTATGTCTTTGTGTTTTACTTCTTCTATCATTAGTTTGCTTTTTCAAAAACATTTATCTTATCAACTTTTCTCTCTTCTTAAGTAAAAACAAAAATCCTATCCTTGATATGGAAAGGTATTATGAACAGTTATAAAAATAGGCTGGGAGTCAAATGTAAACTACATTGATTGGTTATAAAACAGGAAGAGATTAAGGAAATAGAACTTACCCAAGGTCACTTATGGAACAACTGACGTTGTTTATTGTTAGTTGAAGTTCAGATATTTTGCGATCTCGCTCTGCTGGTTTGAGACTAGTGTCATGCATGATTGCATCTCGTTTGTCACTCACATCAAGAAGTTTTCGCAAGAATTGAAATCTAATAAAAACGAAAAAGTCAATTCAAACAAAATGAAACTACACTCGAAAAATCCAACAAAAGTAAAGCATGAAAAAACATCGGTGCCTCGCCATATTATTTCCAGTTTCATCAGCATTTTTTTTATGACAAATATTAAATCTCATTTCATAATCAGTTATATTTTCAAGTTTTTTTTCAACTTCGACCTCAAACATGGCTGTACAAGCAGCCATTGTTATGTAGGAAATTACTTTATTTTGGGAAGACTGGAAGAGTTTTAGTTCAACATTGTTTTATTACACACTTTATTATCTCATTGGGTAAGGAAGGGGCATGAGATATTAGCCTTCAGCTTCAACATCGTTTAGTCTGGGACATTAACCATGATCGAACAGAAAGATAAAAAACAAATATTCGAACAATTTTCAACATAAGTTTAGCCACAGTGCCCACATGATGTTCGAATTGTTACAGATCTCAACAATGATCAATACAAATCCTAACTGATGCTGTATAACCATATTTTTTACGAAAATTTGCAACATTATATGTGTTAACTGTATATTCATTGTATTTCTGGCAACTAGCATTTTCCCAGATGGCTGAGCATGACCTGTGATGTCATCAGTCACAGATGAATGATCATGACCAACCAGCTGTGAAGGTGAAGCAGCTCTCTGTAATTGACATGTAAAAGAGACTCAATACTGAGAAAATTCATGACCCCGAACTGGGTTCCGCGAACCCGTTGAGTGGGATCAACGTTAATGTGGTTTGTGTTGTTGCGTTGTGAATGAAACATTATCATTCCTCGTTAGTTAGGCACGGAAATTGATACGACATTGTTTAGGGTTCCGCCAAGACTAAGATTCCCAACTAGGGGTATGCGACCAAAAAGTTTTGAAAACCCTGTTCAAACATACCTCAATGGATCGAGTGCCTTCAAATCTTTCAATTTCAAAATCCCATCATAGTAACTTGGTGCAGGTTCTTTCGGTGGTTTCAAATAGAATTCTTGATTCATGGAAATTGTCTGAATGAAAAATAAAAAGTAACAAAATGTATACCTGTTTGTATAAGTAAGCATGGATGTTCCCCCCGCCATTTTAAAAAAAATTCCTATACTTTACAAATCTTACGGTATATTTAAAGAAGTTTTTGTTTCATTTCGATTTGAAATCCCTGGCTTTTGACCCCTAAATTTTTTTTCTCATACCTCATTAATGCAGGTTTTGTCTGTATATTTTAAAAAGGTTTTTGTGAGTTGGTGCTTACAAACTGCTTAAATGTTTCATTATGATTGGAAATAGGACCCATAAGACGAGGAGTAAATGTGCTGATGTCTTGGACAGTTAATGGAAAGAGACGAAAACAAGCTTTCCGACAATACTTGAGTAAAGTTTCTCGCACATTTGAACAAAAAGATATGACCTTTTTTGTGAGGGATATAAAATGTCGCTCAGGACCATCGAAAAAGAAGGGTTATTTGATTCATACCTGAATCACTAAATATCCGGATAAATCAATTATTATCAGGTTTGAGACTTGGACTTGTTGCATTGGACGCAAAATAAGAAATAAAGCTCACCGATTCAGATTCTGTGTTTTTATCTTCAGCACTGAACATTTTTCCTGTGTTGTTCTTGTTCGATCCCCCACTACACATTATCTTCAGGAAAGCTTCTGACAGAGGAAGATCAACCAAACGACCGTCCTAATAAAACAAAATTTAAATTTTACGAAGAATGGGCATGGATCATGAAGAAATTATTGAAGAAAGGGGGGGCCACAATGCTAGGCGCAAAACTGATTCTGCTTTACCCTCTACAAGAAAACTCCTGGTTTTTCCTAGTTTCATTGCTTGATAAGGTTATTTATTTCACAGGGTGTTTTTACTTTGTTGAGCATGGATTGTTTGAACATAATGGGATTTGGAATCTACCGATCAAAATAACACTATAAATACCACTGGAATAATAAATAAGGGGCCATGAGTGCTAGAAGCAAGCAAAAGTTGAGAGCTCTAAAGCTCTAAAAGGTTGAGAGTCACTGGAATAGGCAATGCCGAAACAAACAAAAAAATGTCATTTTCTCTGTAAATAGTAGCGCCATACAAATCAGTGACTGGTACTTATGTGTAGAATTTGCTAAATATTGCAGGCATTTTACTAGAGATGAATCAAAGTTTAATACCTGCAAGCATTTAGCCAAGAAAGCTCCCAAGAATTTGAACAATTCGACAACAGATTTGAGAGGCTCATTATCACCCTCTTGTGGCAATGGTGCAGGAAACAAACCGCATGATCGTTGTACATAATGCCCAACTGGTTTTACACCTTCGCCAATATCAACCTGGTAAGATTAGAAAACAAATGAAATTTGTGGCCTAGTGGAAAGAGCAGCGTTTATCAAACTTTCTTGCCCCAGAACACCTACGCTTTTTCTCAAACTTTTTCGGGAAACACCAAGAAATTAAAAGGTAAAAATGATGGGTATTTAAAAATTTTAGCCTCTGGTAAAATAAAAGTTTGCTGTAAACTTGACGATTAAAAAATTAGGCCGATTGTTAACTATATTGAAAGGTTAGCAATAACGCAATGTTTTCCAATACATACAAGATCACCATGGCGACCGATAAAGTCATAATTTTGATTCCTCTTCCACAGAACACTCTGAAGAAACATGCAATACAGCAGTGTTCTGCGGAACACAGTTTGAGAAACGATGGATAAAAGTGTTGGATGGTGCAGAACAAGAATCCAGGGTTCAACCCAATCAAGGATCCCAAGTTCAATGAATCGAGCATAAAACTACGCACCGAAAATATCCCTGTCCTTCAAAAATAGCAACTCCTGATTTTAACATTCTTTAGCGGATCCTTGTTCAGAGTAAACATGAATCATTGAAGGGAATAACTAATTGCCAAGCGTGACAAGCGGGTCCTATTTTTGCATGTCAGAATCAGGAATATTCCAATTAGTTCAAAAATAGGAGTTTCTTACATATCAGTGGCCGATTTCACAAATTGAAATGGGCCACCCTGGATTTGAACCTAAGACCTCCAACTCACCTCTCTTTGTACTTCTTCCACAAGGATATCATCAACAAGCCATATTCCAAGATTGCTTCTCTGTAGTTCTGCAGCAACCAACGCATAAAACTCTAATGTTGGACCAAGTCCTGTACCTTCCTCTCCAGCAAATTCAACCTAAAAATTTACAAGAGTATGCAATCAATGTAACTGATGAGGTTGCTTTTCACTGCACAATTTAACAATACTCAGAGATTTTGAGGAAAGTAAACTCGTAGGTCCGACTCTGCAGCAAGGTTTGACCTGTATTTTGTCATCAAATTGGTACTTGTAGGTAGTATAAAATTCTAATTCCCTTTTTTGACAACAATGGATATTTGTCCACAACGCTTATCTTGATTTTTTGATTGAAATTAATAATTAAAAATCGATCGGATGCTTTTTATATCGTTGCGGATCGCCTTTACAGTGAAGTCATCACAGGCACCTAGGGGATCCCAGTTTGGGAAACCCTGATTTAGATGACTGGAGTCACTTTGAGTCGAAGATTAGATAGCACAATTCTGAACTGCAACGGTATCAGATCTCCCCGAAAATAATTTCCTATGTGTTAGTGGTCGTTTGTACAGAGACTTATTCAGAGAGTCTAATTAAACATATTATCATTAAGAAGAATTTTTAACTCAAAAGTTAAGAGCTTTCACCTCTAAAACTGATTTTCTATCTGAATGAACAGTTATAACGTTGACCGCCCAGTCCAATAACTTCGATTCGTCTCTTGGTACAGTGACTCTATCATGTCGCAGTCGACCGAGTAACAATTCATGGGCATCGTCTCGTCTTGCTGCAGATGCTGCGGCTGCCAATGCAGTCACGCTTGAGTGAGTATGGTGATGCGTAAATTGTTCAAGTTGTGATTCTGTGCGATTTTGGAGCCATACAATAGATCTGAAATATATATAATATAATAATCAAGCTATGGTATAGACAGATATATCACAGCAGTGGTTGTCCCCTGAAATGGGCCACAGAGCACTCGCAGGGTGACCACAATGCTAAGCGCATAACTAAGTACCTATCACTTTACAAGAATCCTTCCCGTTCCTCCTAGTTTTATTGCTTGATAAGGTTATTTCACAGGGTGTTTTCACTTTGTTGAGCATGAATCATTTGAACTTAATGGGATTTGTAATCTTACAATCAAAATAACACTATAAATATAACTGGAATGATAAACTGCGGACTATGAGTGGGTTAACCTCCGAAAATAGGTGGGAAGCACTGTGCTATAAATCTTGTGATTTGAGTGTTGTGTCTCGACTATATTGGCATTACTAGTTGCAAATTTACGATCAAATTCCAAAACCACTGCCTCACCTAGGAAGTAAAAATGGCATTTCTGGTCCTACCAAAATAGTAGCCTTTGTGTAAGGGTGGTTGAATGTACAGAGGAATAGACTTGTTCGGGATAAAAAAAAATCATACAAGAAAGTTGCACAGACTGCACTGAATTTTCTTGACCATACTTGCTGCAACAATGAAGAGTCTAACGAGTCTTTTTTAATAATAATCATTCTCTACAGGATTATAACCTGTGAAACCACTCAGGGTTATGAGCGGTGGCATTCAAGTTCCTAACACATAAACTGATATGCTGACTGCTGAGCTGAATAATTTCAATAAAAAAAACATTAGCCAAAATTAATCAGATGAAGATCAGTTCTAAAAAAACAACTTCGATAAATACCTTGCTGTACCAAAAGCTGTGCTTGAAAAATATCGAACCCTGACATCGTGTGGAAACAAGAATGGACAATGTAGAGCCAGTAGATGGCACCATTCAGGAAGGGATCCACAGACAAGACTGAGGGAGTCCTAAAAAAAGACAAATTACAAAATCAGATCAGGATTCGATTTTGATATGGATGAAGAAGGATCAATTGCACAGTAAAGTGAAACAGTTAGTTTTAAGACCTGATTCTCTCAAATTTATTGAACCCTCAGAATTTGAACCAATGCAGAGTAACCAAGCATGTTCGTAGCGCTAAGCAAGTGGCAAACGAAATTCTATCAAAATGGCAATAATCTAATCATATGGCCACAACCTCTGACACTGTTATCCGTCTATGTCCAGTAAGGGACAGGTTGACCAAATATTTGTTTCAGATGCATTGACTCGATGGTGAAGGAAGTTGCAACCAATCAGCGGTTAACGTGACCTACCCTATAGGTTTAACCCCCTTGAATGTATGTAAATATCTTAGAGAAAATTAGAAACTGGGTTCATAGGTCAATCACAGAGATGTATGGCAAGCATGTCCTAACGCATAGCACAATGCATGACTCAGATTGGGAAATCTCAACTCAAAATACTTGGCGCTACAAGAAGTATGTACCAATATGGAGGTGACTAACCTGTTCATTTACTTCACATCAAGTTGTGTAAAGGGACTGAAATCTATGGGCAGGGGGTATATTCACTTGGCTAACACAGACAATCCATGAACTCGTAATAAAACTAAAATTAAGAAAATCGGAATAAAATTGTGCCCTAACCCCGTACAATCACTACCTGTACCTAGGAGTACCTGATACCCACCTCTGTTTGTTGCAACAACTTCGTACTAATTTTTTTGCTGACAAAATCAGAATTGCTGAGAAATTCGGTTTGGGGTTTGTCATGGTCTTGATTTTCTTCTTCCCCATCTTCTATGATGTCATAAACAATTTTAAGTAATTGCAGAATCTCATCCAAGTTGCTCAATGTTGTTTGAGATTGGTCTGGAAAGTGAATTGAGATAAATGTATTAGTACATTATCTTGTGCGTTTTAAGAAGTGAAACTGACAATATTGAATACATTATTATTTGGAGTACATTGTCAAATACAAAGTATTTAATATATGCTTGAGATAAATGAATATGCAGACGCCGATTTTTTGGCACCAAAATTGAGAGGTTTCATCAGATTTCATGAAAAAATAATCTTGAGACAATCAAAAAGCCGGTCGCAGAAAATCAGGCTGTAAATTGGGTTCAGAAAATAGGCTTATTAGCTCAACAATAAATATTTATTTAAATGTGTACATAATCAGGATAAAAAATATAAAATGATTTGTATCAGTTACTGTCTGTGTGTTCGAGTAATGCACCATATTAAATTAGAATTTTATGGTTGGTTACTGAATTGTTGGAGTATCGAGTCGTGCGACTGAAGCATCACAGTACCTGAAACGTCTAGCTTGCATTTTTAATACTTTTGAAGCATTTATGTACATTCTCGTGAGCTTCTGCTGTTAATCACTTACTTGTTAAGTTTGCTTTCTCTTCATTTGCTGTTATGATTTCATCTTCTTCGACTTCTTTATAAACCACACTGAATATAATTTTTCCTTTTTTTATATAAGTTTTTTCTTTTTTTGTATATTAGAACTTTAAGACGTAAAAATTAATTCAATAAATGTTAACACAATTATGGGCCTTTCTTCATATATTCTGTGTCCATGAAGTCTTAAATTTTTTAAAATTACAAACGGAATTTATCGATACCATATATTGTTTTGGTCCTCTCAAAAATGTTTGAATGAAGTAAAAATACTTAAACAATTACTGATTAGAAAACAACAAACCTGGTTGAGATCTGACTTCATAACATAATTGAAATTGTAAAGGACTTCATTTTTATAATCATGGTATAATTTTTCTATTCAAATCAGTAGAAATCCAAACAAGCCAGTGAACTGTACCGTCTGCAACTTATATAAAGAAAGGAGCACTAAGTCATTACAATCACATACTCAAAAAATATATCGCTTACGTGTAAGTCGGATCCCAAATTTTCTTCATTTTATTTTGATTATTTGCTCCAGGTAGAAGAAGATTAAGTCTCTGTACACAGTTAAAGATGGTTTGATCTACGTTTCTCGCTTCCACTAATTCTTCATCTTTTTCATTCGAAATTGGCACTTCTACTACTTTCTCTTGAGACCCTCCGGTGGTAGCAGAAGCTCGGAGATACAATTTCATCTTGACACCTTCTGTGTTGCTGGAACTCTCTTTTTCTCGGCGTAGCTCTGATTGTGGAGTACCTATATTAAACAAATGTGATTATAGTTATGAATGGGCAACTGGAAAAATGAACAAAACTTTATTCTATTTTCGAGAATATACACTTATAATGACATGTATTTGACATTATTTATTCTACGTCATCCAGTGTGGCTCGATGTATAACCTGGAAGGCTTTGGGGCTGCTGGTCAAAGTACCGAGACCAATGGCATCACATATGCGAGGAAGATTTCTCTTTGATTCACTACAAACATAGAAATGGTCAAATGCCGATCTACTGGGAATTCAGGGCGATGAATATGTATTTTTGACATACTAATAAACATATGTATTTTTATTGTACTCTCTGGGATTTAATTGCAATGTTAGAATTTTTTCTGACGACGATAACAAATTTCAATATCCCAAAATATGTATCACTATATAACTAACTAAATATATTCGGACAGATTGCCTTGCTACTGCGAATTGCGTTCAATAAAATAAATATAGAAAGATATTTCAATTACTCATGTCATCCGTGAATTGAATATTTTGCGCAACAGAGAAATTATTATTCGTTGAAAAAGTCGGCTGTTTTAGGAAGTGGCGTGACTGTTCTATAAGCTGTTGCATAGGAATTTATGTTTCCGAACCACGTAACAAAAAGGAAAAATCAAGCGGCCGTCATCACAATTTATTCGCACTTTCTGAATTCCAACTGACCAAAATTGAAAAAAAAACTATTTGAATAGAATGCTGAACGAAAACGAAACAATAAGAACCCAACGACTACCGAAAAAAAATGATGCGAGCTTTACAAAGTACCAAATGCCTAGAAAATCAAATAATTGGAAACACAATACAATTTCATTTCGTTCTTAGCAATTGCGTGACTTTATTTGGCCGACGACAAAAATATTTTACCTGGTGGAGGAATTGTCAGATCGATAGTCTGTTGTAGATTCATTCTCCCAGGTCTCGGATCGAAGGCAGGAATTAGGGATGGAAGTCTTCTTTTTACAACATGCCCGTCGTCCCAGACTCGAGAATTATCTTTCCCGCTGAGCTGATTCGGAGTTCCATACACTAAGTATGACTCAGCGCTTCCTCCTGAAGGTGATGAGTCACTGTCGTCGTCATCATCATCATCGTCGTCGTCATCATCTTGCATCTGAAAGGTTAAAGGTCAAATTAAGAATGATTTACGCTTTATAGAGAGAAATTGGGGATTCAGATTCAGATATTTTATTTCGTCGTGCATGAAACATTGTCAACAAATAATAATAAATTGAAATAAATCAAAAACGCACAATGTTTCGCAATTGACGAGGAGTCGCGAAAGACTATTAAGTCATCGTTGAATAAGGAATTAAGGAATCATTGAATCTGTAAGAGAGGGCACAGAGGTTTTGCATTAGTGCCGATAAACCCTAAATGGGCACAAAGTTTACAGTTGCTAGAGAGAACCACAGACCATTGTGGCGAAATTAAAATGAAATAGCAACTTTTGGGTTAAATATTGGCTAGGTTGGGAATGCAGTACCCACAATGCAATTCAACCATGAACATATTTCATATGTTGCATTTCCCAGAATTCAAATATTATGGAAAAAAACATCCCCCATAATGCAACATTTAACAAGACAGATTTCCTACAACTGCAACACTTTATGCATAAACCTCTCATAGTTCAACCCTAGACATTACTAATTACCCATAATGCAACTTTCACCAGGACATATTTCCCATATTGCAATGTTTACACGTCCAACAATGCAACCCTGACACTTCCCACAATGCAATTTTACATTTCCCATAATTCAACACTCACCATGATATCTTCAAAATCATCATCATCGTCATCATCACTTGCGTTCGTGTCATCAATCATTGTTTCGTCTTCCAATTCCGCGAGAAGACTTGACGGTGTTTGCTGCTCTGTGAGGCATCTAAGAAGATCTGTGAACAAAATATTACAATCAAAAGCTATGATGAACCACTTTGTCAGCATTTTGCATCATGCGGAATTAGGGGGAAAAATGCAAATGAAAAAAAATGGTACACGAAACTCATACAGACGCCTGAGACGCGTTTGGTTAAAATCAAACCCACTCGATTTTTAATTACGCAAGTATGTCCCGTCCCAAATAGGGTATCTGTAGCAGTAAGTGCATGACTGCTATTTATTTGAAAAAAATAAAAATTTGGGCAGTTCTCTAAGCAGTTACAGAATTTATTTTCACATCATATTCTTGTTTGGCGTTATTTGAGCATTTACTTCTTTAGACCAAAAGTTTTTATTATCAAAATTTGCTCCAATCGAAATTTTAAAGTTGCTGTCAGAGTCGAAATGTTTTTCCACAACATCATGAAGTCGAGTGTATATTCCCAACCACCAGCTGTTTCGTTGCTTAATTGCTATCTGCTCAAAATAGAAACTAGCTTACAACTGAACCACGTTTTTTGAGAACAGCGGCACAACTTAACAACAACTTAACAACACAACTTAAACAGTGACCCTAAACAAACATCTACAAGTTAACACAACTGTATATCGACTGGTGAGGCAGGCGGATAGATGAGATGCGATACACCACAACAATTAAGAGTTGTCGCGCTACTCATCATTTGAGTAATCACATTATGGCACACTTTCTACTGAATGTGTCTTCGGGCCAGTTTTTTTGGAAGGCCTGCAAATAAATTTAGTAATAAAGTACCTGGGTCACTGTCGCTTGAAGTAGAAGGAAGACTAGTAGCGAGTGCTTGACTGATGGCTTGCAAAACAGGGTTGCCAGATACTGTAGTTGTTGCAGTTGTTGTGCCAGTGCATGATGTGGATAAGTTTGGTTCACTCTGTGCCGCAGTCAGAGGGTTTTGTCCTGAAAAGTATGGATTATTGGTTTAAGGAACAAACAGGGTGAATTACTGATCGAGTATAGCCAGGGGCACAGACAGCACTGGGTCATACACCATGTTACAGTTATGACTGTGTTGTGGTTAACAGTACACAATTTTAAGTTCTTGCACTGAAAAAGATTAATGAATTACTAGTTAAGGAACAGATAGATCGCAATCAGCATGGGTTACAGGGGTCCTAACACGTGTTACGAATACACGTGTGTTCTTGGGTAACAAAACACAATTTTCTGGTTTTTCAAACAGCTTAACAGCATCGCGCATCACACCTTTGGCGCATTGTTCTTACTCCAGCATAGCTGCTCGTTAAAGAAATTCTGGCTGCGCACCTGGGAACAGCGCATGAGTAGGGCTGGGCATTTTCGAATACCTTGTGATTTCAGAATCGAATCGAATAATTTTTTCGAATCGAATGGAATCTCGAATACTTGAAAATATAAAATTGTAAGCGACTTTATCATAGTAATTGGTCCTCTCAACAAATGAATTACTGAAGACATAGAATAAATCACTCAGATAGATTACTGAGCGTTCACACAGAATAACAAACACGTTTTATCAATAACTCACTACAGAAAATAGTCATATGTTAGAATTTCGTTGAAAAAATATGACTTCAATGAAAAAAAATTGGGTAATTTACCTCTGACCATTAGCCGAAAGATAAAAACAAGATGGCGGCGATTCGAAATTCCAGTCTGAACCGATTCGAATAATTTACTATTCGATTCGAATATTCGATTCGAAATGCCCAGCCCTACGCATGAGTAACTGTGTCCAATATTATAATATAGCAAGAATTTTTAGGGGGCAATCGCTGGTCCAGAGTACGGTACCCCTGGTCTAATGATTCAATAAGCTATGCGCCACTATGATAAACTTTTAAACATGTTTTATTCTCAAAGATCTCTCCAATTCTTTAAATAGCTGCACAATTTGACATTTTTCAACTAAAAAGAGAATATGAAATTACATACCTCCAGACAAATCTGCCTCAAGTCCAAGACCGCAAGTATCCTCTTCACTCTGGCTCATGTTTACATTCTCAACAGCAGGAGCTCGGGTTATGCTTCTTACAAAACTATCCATCAACTTAGAAGCGTCTTCAGATGATAAATTAGGAACGCTGACGCTGGCACTGACCTAGGATGAAAAGATTGGAATTGTAATGTATATTGCCATGGGTGAAATCTCCATGCCGGTGGGGCTCACCCAAGGTGTGAAATTGACTGGGTAGTATATGCCCAACTGAAAAAAATCCGGTTCTTTCAAAAAGATATATAAGAGAGTAATGACCCTGAGATGCAGGGTTGGCTATATTACTGAATATTATTTTAAATTTGTATCAAGGCCTTTTAAGAGTAAAGACTGGCTATATTTCTGAAGAATATTTCAAATTTCGATCGAAGCCTTTTCGCTAAAAAGGCTCTGTAAATGTAGCCACTGATGTGTAACCACTTTAAATGTACTGAAAATTTTACTAATCGAGTATTGCCCCTTCATTGAACCCGGAATGAATGGCCATGAATGTTTGAATCGTTGCAATGATACCACCAGACAATCGTGCTCACATAGAAAGTAGGAATAAGTTGCAAAATTCTTCTTACCGGTTCTCCAGGTGAAGGCAATAAATGGTTTTGCGCAGTGTTAGCAGCGTTTGAAGAACTTTTTCCTGAAGCAGATGTGTTTCCACTAGATGGCCTGCTTCCATGACCCTGAGATATAACAAACATTAAACATTATGATACGTTGTTGATTCTATTTCTGGCAACTAGTGTTTTTCCAGATAGCAGAGCATGACCAGTGATGTCATCAGTTACAGGTGACTGATCATGACCAATAAGGTTCCCTCTAATTTTCTGTAGTATGTGTGCGCAGAAATTTTGGTGTGTGCGCACTTTTTTGGAAATGACTAATATTTGTGCAAAAACCTATGAAGAAATTTTGGCGTTCTAACCGGGTAATAAGTGGGCCAACAACAAACTTTCTCAACCTGCCAACCGAGCACATTGTAACATTACATCGAAATACGTCTGTGCGCAGTAAATCTATGCGTGTGCGCAGCCTCTGAAAGCTGTGTGCGCGTGCACATGTGCACACCTTAGTGGGAACACTGATGACCAACCAGCTGTAATTACATTCAATACTATGCAGTACGCACAATGAACAACAATACCGAAAGTTACCAATGGCCAAACCCGAAAGTTGCCACCTATCTTTCCTGAAATAGTACATCCATATCATTGCATGCTGAACTACAGAATTCTTTGAAGTGGGCAAGTGGAACTCGTCTTAGAAAATAAAGACTGTCTCCAACTAAGATCTCAATCAAGATTGTAAACTGGAAAATGATGAATATTTTTTCTCCGAAGACAGGTCAAATTTAACCCCAAGAGTTGAGAACCCAGGGCTAGGATATAAAATCTTATCCGAACTAGGCCCTTGTCAACCATTTAAATACAATAATCAAACACTGTTGAGTTCATAGCATCCGGTCCAAACATTTAAGCCCTTATAAAATATAACTCAAGACATATCAGCTTATGTTAGAGTCAGATTTTTGCTGTTTGTGGTCTGTAAATAAACTGGAGAAAGATGCTATCGAAGTTTCAAAACTAATGCCCTTGTCAATACTTGAAAAAATTGTCGAAATATAAACGAGAATATCGGTCGGAGACCGAAGACTTATCGATCTTAGATCGGTAATTAGTTAATAACTCGCTAATTATACGACATAATTAACCCAAAATCTATAGGCTTCTGGTTTGAGGTAAGATGCATGCACATGCAAAATTTGGAGCAGATTCAACCACGCGTTCGTGAGATATCGCGTTCATCTAACAGACAAACATACAAACAGACAAATACCTATCAACATACTTACCGATCTTAAGATCGATAAGTAATAAATACCTTTGAACTTTCTTTGGGCCCAGAGACCGATTCCAGTGATACACTCTTCGTAGATGGTGCGGTCGGAAGAGCTAGATTTGGTTGCCGTGGTAATCCGGACTGAGGAGGAGTATCTCCAGCACTACTAGTGGCTGAATTTGATGGCACAGACGGTACGCTATGTGATTGCGCATTGGAGAGTGAATTTGTCAGATTTGCAATGGCTTGTTCACCCTGAAAAGAAACACAAAATTTATTATAGGTTGGACAGGATAGGATTTTACATTTATCCAGGGGAGAGGAAAGTCGGCTTAATTATATGGCAAGGTATCTCGTCCGGTTACCAGGAGTTAGGCAATCCTCTCACACTTAATTAACATTGTGTGGTATTCAAACCCACACAGGGTAATCAAAGTTGCGGTGGCAAACGTATTCTCAACACTTAGCGCCACGCCGCCGAGCAAAACACTCAACAAACCGACCAACAATATAAATGTTTAGTGATCAAGGCTGTTTGAAAATGTTTATTTCATCTCCAATTCAACAATATTCGGCAGTACCATGGCGAACGAGAATAGTAACTGCGGTGTCGCAGTCAATATCTCAATGCGGCAATTTGAAAGCAAGATCTCACCTGTTGTACAAGCATTTGTAGAACATCGAGTTCCATGAACCATTCGGAGTTGGGATTGGAAGAAGCAACCGGTGTTGTACTGGATGATGTTGCATCGCTTGTTGATGGAGGTGTGGAAGGAGATTTCTTATTAGTAGAGCTGTTAATACAAAGGTTCTGTTAGTTCTTGAGAAGGGATAGGATCTATATATTCATCCTGGGGGGAAGGAAAGCCAAGAATACGGCTTAATCCTATGGTGAACCACGGCCTCTTGTCCGGTTACCAGTCCTTGTCGGCAATGGGATTAGTTAGTCAGTGGAATATGGGGAAAGCTATTTATAAAAGAACAAATATTTGTCGAAAAAGGATATAATGAAAATATAAATCCGCAATGTTATAAAGAGGTCATAATGACACTTGCAACTGGTTGACTTATTTTCTAAGCATGCAACGAGCAATCACAAATTGGATATGGATTACAAAAATCATCACATACCTTGTTTTATCTTTGCTGTCTCCTTTTCTGTCTTTATTTTCGTTTTTATCCCCCTGGTTCGGAGGATCAGTCATGTCCACACATCTCCAGAGTCTGTCTGTTGGAGTTTCTCCAGTAACTGGAGTCACATCGTACGATCGAGTGCGTCTCGGAGACATTACTTCACGGTCAGTTGGATTATTGTTTCCTGTGACGGCTCGGAAAAAACGTCTAGCTCTGCGCCGTCGTGCATGATTGCTTTCTGAGCCTTTTCTATGGCCGAGTCTGTGTAAAAATTACCAATTGTATCTTTATTGTGCGTCTGGCAACTAATATTTTCTTAGTTGGCTTAATATGATCAATGAGGTAAGACATTAGTTGCAGGTGACCAGTATATTCCCAAGCTTTTCATATTAGAGGGGGTGTTTCCAAATTTGGAGGGAGGTAAATATTTTATTATTATTGAAGATTGGGCAATTTATACCTTATAAAAATGTGTTACGTATTTGACAGACCATCTACACCAGAGTGGTCCGAACCCAGGCCCGCAGGCCATAATTATGTGGCCCGTCGCTTCATTATCTGTGGCCCGCGTCGCATTCGGAGAGGAATCCGAAAATCGCATTTCTTGTTGTTTCGTCATAAAATTGACCAAAAAATCTTTTCGACATATTGTTGCATCACTAATGTCACTGAATAAATCGCATTTCTTCTTGTTTCGTCATAAAATTGACAAAAAAATCTTTTCGACATATTGTTGCATCAATAATGTCACTGAATTGACTAGTGATATGGCTTACTGGGGCAACTACCGAAGTTAAATGAGCGAAGTTCTTGACACTATTGTGGCCCGTGAACAATGCAAAAGTAATTTTGCGGCCCGCGGAGCTGCCAATCCTGGACCACCATGATCTACATTGATAAATATACCATATTCTATATATTTAAATACAATTATACATGAGTTCTGAATTACAATGTGGTATCATCTTCAAAATTAGGAGGGGTGTATAAAATTTTAGGGAGGTGTAGGAAAATAAGATGATGTGACTGTAGGGCATGCCCAATCATTTGAGACATCTGTTTGTGTTTGTGAGTGTCTCATCTATGCGAAAAGCTTTCGATAGGTGCATCCTATATCTTTAAAAAAAGCCAGTCATACCTGCACGTTCTTCCTTCCAATAAATCCTCCTCATCTTCATCGTCTCCTCCCACTCTGCTCCCACTCTTTGACTTATCGCTCGTCTCACTCGAAGCCAACACTCCACTGTACATAAGATAAAATGTTTAGGTACAGTATATCTTCGCATATAAGCAGAGTTTAAAATTCAATAAAAAAGGAGTCGGCTAATACACGAACTCTGATTGCACTCAAACGAAATGACCTTATGCAACTTTATTTTAACAGCTACAACTCGAACCATGTTAAGTTTTCATGTTCACACACTCTGTGATTGGTTGTCATACACATGATCGCTTGCGTTTTTGTAAGGTCGGCTCAAATGTGAATTTTCATAAAATCACCGTTTTACGTCGTTTTCAGGAGGGCGGCTTATATGTTTGGGTATACGGTAACAAAAAACCTAAAGAATCCTGATTTAACCAGGCAATTTTTCAATCATGATGGTCTGAGAAAGTGATCAGGAAAATTTTTTAAACATTGCAACACATTTACTTTCATGTGATAAAAATCTAAGAGAATTGGAAAGAAAATTTAATTTTATTAAGATGAAATTATGACATGAAGTTTTATAACGCAATAATATTTTAATCCAGGGATGTGCAACCTTTAATACAGGAGGGCCAGACGGAGGGCACATATTTTTCTTGAGGGCCGCATTTGGCCTGCGAGCCGCAGGTTGCACAACCATGGTTTAATCAATGTAATTATGAGCTCATTTGTTGAATATGGTGTCATTGGTTCAAATCCCAGAAAAATTCCGGTCTGTCAGAAAAGTGTAGCCCTGGAGTGGGCACGGTATTTGGACAAGGGGAAAAAAATTTCGCGTACCTTGACTGGCGTCCATGTAAGTGTGACGTAAGAAGTTGCATTTTATGAACAATATTTACAGTGTTACAAAAGCAAAATTGAAAAACAATTAGCTTCGAGCCATAACTAAATTTAATCGTAATCTCAACAAATTCCATGAGCTTTTTTTTAGCTAAAACATCAGAATTTGGTTTTAGTTTGGTTGTGGCAGCATCAGGCGGGCCAGATTGAGTTACTCAGTGGCCTGGATTTGGCCCACGGGCCGTAGTTTGCACATGTCAGGTGTAGCCCCTCACCTCACAAAAAAAAATATTAAATGAGCTCGTTACCTTGCCATGTCTAAATCAATATCCATCTCATCATCATCATTTCCAACACACGATGACGACGATGAGCCCTGTTGGGGCACATCTTCGTCCTCCCCAGGGGGAGAAACTTTTGTTTTAACAACAGGTTCTTCCACTACGACCCATTGACCTTTACTTTCGTCAAATTCCGCTGAAACTTCTCGATTGTCGCGGTTGTTATTCGGAGTTGTGTCCATCGATTTCATGAATTCAGAGAAAAACGTCTTCTGAGCTCTAAAAAGAGTTTTATGTCGCTGAATAAATGTCTTGAGTTCAAACTCCATGCATAGTACATCCTCCAGGGTGTAAGTGAATAAATGGGGTGAACATTTAGGACCAATTCTGATACCTTTCTGTCACAAGACTGTAGGTTCAGAAATGAAAAAAATACTAGGGAATTATGTAATTCCTAAAAATAGTAGCGGCCTACATAGCAGTGGTCGTTTACGTCAGGCAGTGGTTCTCAAACATTGTGGAATGCCCCACAAGGGGACTGTAGACAATATTTTGAGGGAGCGTGAAGCTATTCAAAAATAAAAATATTTAGATTTGATCTTGTCCGCCGTACTTTGGATATTTACATTCCGATTTTTCGGATATTTAAGTTCAATCCCCGTATTTTCAACGTTTTTTTAAATAAAACATACTTTGTCTTACTGTCTGTTATTCGTAGCTTATTGCTAGCTAGTTATTCTTGATGTGGGGTGTGAGACTTGACTAATTTTAAAAAGAAGGTACAGCTACAAAAAGTTTTAGACCCCCTGATATAGAGCCTCGTTAAGAATTGAAACATTACAAAAATATTGATGAAATTGTAAATTTCAATACTCATCATCCATACTAACCTTCCAAAAGCTCTAGCAGCGTTAGATACTGAAGTAGGAGTTTTTGAACTTGACGCCGATCCATTTCCCAACTTTTTAGTCCTGTTGCTTCCGTTGTTTGCATGTTTCTGACTCGCCAGCATAGCTGATAACATAGATCTCCTGCTGAATTCATCTCTTACGCCTCCTTTGCCAGTTACACCTGACATCAGCGAACGAAACTAAAAAAAGGGTTTGAAGTATTGTTATAATAGCTTAGATTATTTTTTACCATGGGCGTCTGAAATGAACTGATTGGAAAGTCATTTTATGTTCGATACTTGATTTTGTAAATATTTTTGAATAGTTACATTTTAAAAATTGTTATTGTGGAGTCTCACAGCCTTTTGAAATTACTGTTTGCATCAACCTACCAAAAATTTTCAAAATGCATTGAATATACATCGACTTCTCAGAATTCTTTTTTGAACATGGCAAAAATGACATTCAATATTTTATTCAGAATAGTAGAATATTCAGTTTTGGTATTTGCCTCGATCGACCCTTGATTAGATTAAATCGATTGAATCCTGTAAGGAATATTCACGCCTAAGTAGATTGTTGGACTCCTGCTTGATTGAGTCTTCTCCACCCACTTTAATGAAACCTTTTAACTCAATGGTTCTTGGTTCTCCCAAAGAGAAAGGCAGACAAATTCAATGGGGGGGGGGTGTTGAGGGGAATGTTAAGTCCCGTATCTAATATCAGTTTTCCTCCCTCCCTGTAAAAATATAAATCTCCTATCCTGTTAAACTTACCTTGTTAGAAGCATTCCTGCTGTTGTCATTATTTGATGATGATGAAGAATTTGAAAAATTTGATCCAAATGTTGTAACGTATCCTTCAGATTTCTTGCGAGAAAACCACTAAAAGAAGAAAAAATAATTGAGCGGAGTGCAAGCATGATAAATTAATACAAATAGTTACAGTATAACCCAGCGTGGTCCAAACCCAGGCCCGACCACGCTGAATTATCTGTGGCCCACGTCACATTCGGAGAGTAATCAATAAATCACATTTCATGTTGTTTCGTAATAAAAGTAATCAGAAAAATCTTTTGACATATTGTGATATCACTAATGTCACTGAATTGACTGGTGTTATGGCTAGCCCAGGCAGATAGCGAAGTTGAATGATGTGCTTGGCAGTCAGTAAATTATTATCTGGCTTTCTATCTTTTTGGTCGGAAATATATGCTAACCAACGACTGCTAACAATATAGGCATCATAGAAAACTAAAAATCGAATGCGGATTCTATTAGCCTAGAATGGCTATGCCTGATAACTATGTGTTTGCGCAATAAAAGTGTTTTTGTATTGTACTGTTTACCCATTCTTGGCACTATTGTGGCCAGCGAACAATGAAAAAAATAAAATTGTGGCCCGCGGAGCCGACAACCTTGGACCACTCTGGTATACTTGTCGAAACCACGGGCCGCACCTTTATTTACCATAGGCTTTCTAGTAGTTGCAGGCACAATATTGGTTACTGATCTTATGCCATGCGTTGTTCGCTTCGTCAAGCTAGCTGTTGAGGCATTGTAACGTCAAAGGCGTAGATAATATATTGGACTCGGGTATAGCCTTTGCAACGCAAAGGGATTAGAATTACTCGAGCGTAGTAGATTAATCAAAGTTAAAAACTTGTTTCGTGGCCGCACACAATTTGAAATCAGCCCTTTTCCCCGTGCCACAAAATTTTTCATCTGGGCCGCAGGTTTCACACCCCTGCCCTAGACAATCAACTTCATATATGATTCACTTACATTATGTCTGCTGTTAGATGCCAACTTATTACTTCTATTCAAAACTGAGAAAGTGCTTCGTCTGGAGACAGGTGGGGTCGTGACCTCTGGGGATTTACCCCCTTCGCTGCTAGTGGAAGATTTCGTTGATGAAGTGGATGATGCAACCGCTCCTTCGCTAGATGGCGCTAATGTTAAATCGTATTTTCCTTCAGCACCCATGCGGTAGGAATTAGAACCTCCCTTGTCCCAGGAGACATCTACCCATCCTGTTGGAAAAATAAAAACTTCAATCATGCTAGAGTTGGGGGGACTGATTACCCTCTGCATAAGTGGGCACTGATTACCATGCATAAGTTTGCAGACTTGGGGCCTCGTTGGAATAGGCAGGGGGTGTAGCCAGGATATTTTAAACCCGCAGATTAGTTTGAGACAGGATAGCCAGTCAGCAGTTTAATTTTACGAATGCCAGAAATACACATTGTACATACAGAATAAGGAAGGATAAGAAAAGATGCATTTTAGTGTGAAGGGAGACACGATAAACTGGTGATGATTATCGAACAGTATCACAAAAACAATACTGAGGAAAAAAAGTCAAAACATAAAATACTAAAGAAAGCTGGAAATAAAATACATTTGGGGTACCCGATATCCGAGCGTCAATTGATACAATGGAGCAAACGACTCAAGACACACTGGGTAACCATGGCAACCGCAGGACATAACCCAGTAATTAGATGAGAGTGTGTCAACTCACCATTAGTGATAGTGCCATCCACTGTTCCTTCTCTATGTCCATCCTGATCTCTCCACTTCCAATCTGGTCCTCTGATTACTCGAGCTCCGGCCACCATTTGTTTTTGAGACTGTTAAAAGAATGCAATGCATATACAGAATTACAGTTTGATTTTCAAACTTTTTAGGGCACACCCCTTTTTAGAATTTGTCTCGCGCCCCACCTAAAAAATAACTAGCTAACGATAAGCTATAGATAGTAAAGCCAAAATTTGCTCATCATATTCCAAGTATCTACTCATTTTTGACCTTTATTCCGTAGTCTGCGGTAACCAATGTTCAACGCCCTGTATGGGCAAAAAGAGGGCACGAAAGAAAACATTTCCTGCATATATACAAAATTTCTCACCTGTGTCTTCAACTGTTTTCTTAATTTTCTGTAGCTTGATCCCGGTCTATCTTCACAAGCTCCAGTTACAGTTCCATAAACCTCAAACCCAGACATGGATAAGTAATGAGTTTGTTTACTTGCTGTTCGGCCGCTTTGTTGCAAACGAAAATGACGCCATCCTTGCTTTTCACCAGAGTGAGATATAATGTTCCAAGTTGCTGTAGAGCTGTATGAAATGCCATGGTGTTGATTAATTATAAGTATTGTGGGAAGATCACGAGATTGAGTGCTCAAGTCATTCAAATGAAATTACTAGGGCTTGTCAGAGACATTGCCAGGAATGTTTAAAATAGGGGTAAAGGGAGACATGAGTGAGGTTATGAAATTTGTATTTGCCAAGTTAGACGGTAACAACTTTTTCAGGGTCTAAGAAAAATTGCTTTGTATGATACATGAAAAAGCTTTTTTTTTACATTTCAAGGGGATGTTTTTTTTTGAAGAAACATACTTTCATCTTACTATCTGTTATTTGTAGCTTATTGATAGCTAGTTATTTTTGATGTGGGGCGCAAGTCTTCACAAATTCACAAAAAAATAAAAGGGAGCGCAGCTTGAAAAGTTTGAGAACCACTGCCATAGCTTGTATAGAATCTTGTTCGTAAGGTGTGAATGAGCGTAGTATAAAACAATATGTCGACTAAATGTTCAATAAAACCTACCCTGGTTCATTCAGTGAAGTATCATTGCTGTGATTATACAGAGTGATCCAAGTTTGTCCGTCTTTAGAAGCCTGGAACAACCAGTTCCTGAGAGCAGATTTCTCGTAACCTCGAGAGTGGCGGAGTGTGTATGCAGAAGGTATAATCCATAATCCTGAAAGACAAAAATGTTTTTGGTAAAATACACAGTATTATGAACATAAATGTGCAAACAAAACCAAGAGGTGGAAAATTACTTTTCTTAGTGGACCCCGGAGTAACAAATCATTGTGAAATTATTTTCATCAATTTTTTCAACAAAAATTTATAACAATAAAAACTATAGTCGTAATTTCAGCAGACACAAGTGAGCTGGACGAAACACTTCAGTGGGCAGTAATTTTCAAACCCCTGGTCCACCCAACTTATTACTCTGGGTGAAATGGTGGGCTTGGGCCTGATTGGTGTCAAAGTCGTATATTCAATATCGGTGGCTCTTGTTTGAATCCTATGCCCCCGTCTCATCCAGGGAGTTGTAAATCAGGTACGCAGCCCTACCATATAATAGTAGCACTTTACATAGAATTCGGTTCAACCCAAAAGAACAAATCTTAAAAAAAGTTGTTTTGAGAATATGAATAAAGCATATTTTTTCAACTTTAAACATCTCTTCAACTGAAGATGCCTCTAACTAAATATTGGTTCAAGCTTTGATCAGAAAACCAGATGAAAAAGCAGCTTTTTCTTGTAATTTAACAATCAAAATGTTTGACCTTTTACCCTAAATTAAAATATTTGACCTTTTGCCTTGTAACTGTCATAATGGTTATTTGTACTTGGAGTGAAAGCCAATTAAGAAAATAAAATCTTGAATCAAATAGTATAGTTATATTTATTTTTGCCACAGCATCCTTATGTTACACGCATACGAATCCACTTTCACAAAGGCATAGGGCAAGGAAAGATAGTTAGTCTTGAATAATCCCAGTTGATAGTTTAGAACAGGGGTTCCCAAACCAGGGGTCGCGACCCCAAATTGGGCCTGAGCGATAAGTATGTAGGGTCGCTAACAGGTCATGGGGTCGCTGAGGTATGATAGAGAATGGATGTACACAATATCTAAGGTTTGACAAACCATGTTAAATTTAGCAGTTTGTACCATGGCTTACTGTAAAACAGGCCTATATGCATCGCTCAATGCTTATGCTATAGAAAATGAGGTGCTTATTGTGACATCACGGTTTGGTTTTAGCTTATTTTACTTAATAGTACATGACCAAACTCGAAAGTCCAGTGAAAGAAGCTTAAGAGTTTCATAAAAAATATATATATTGACCTGGGGTCGCACTGGACAATTGAAAGTTGTCTTTGGGGTCGTCCTGAAAAAAGCCTGGGAACCCCTAATTTAGAAAATAAACTTACCAAAATCAATACAGATCCAAGCTTTCTTGCTATCACTAGTATGACAGTTGAGAGGAGCAGGATCTCTACTCAACACATCTTCCAATCTACCGTACGGCAACCCACGTCCTTCTGATGAGGTGATGTAAACTAAATTGTGAACTGCCGGATTCACCCATTCATATGCAGACCTGAGAAAGTCAAAAGAAGCGTATAAAATTAGTTCTTGCAGGGCATTTTTTTGTAGGAATGTGAACAAATGTCCCTACAATTAGGACAGGGGTGCGGCCCAGCAAATTTAGAGTTATTTTATAACTTTATTTAAAATATCTAAACTATGAATTATTGAAATAATATTAATGTTCATCTCATCTTCTGTTCAATATCAGCTACCATTGAATATGACATTGAAAAATCAAGTGCTTTTCTCAATGCAACCAACTGCAAAAAAATTTTCTGCAGACGGCCCATTTAGATTAAATATATCTGTTTCAAAACACCACGACATAATTCAATTGGGTAGACCACGCCGAAGTGTACAATTCTGTTTCTTTAAAAATAGCATCTTTTCACATAACACTGTGTGTCTAAAAATATTTGGCATGAACTTGATACTTTTATTCTTTATGTCGTGCCTTTTCATATCTTTCACACTATACAATAATACGTGAGACCTTATACAGACAGCCACAAATTTGAGAAGCCTGTATTTTTACGAGGACGGGATCTTTCCGGTTTAGCAATATATACGCAATCTTGAATAAACCAAGTACAGTCTATATTAGAATTATAAATTGATATAAATAAACATAATATTTACAGTAACTTATAATATTTTTCTCTATAACCACAAGTAATCGCTTCTTCAAAATATCAAATAAGCATTACTTACCTTCCATTGGTTCCGATCCAATAAATAATTCCATTTTCATCAAAATCCGTTTCGTGATGGAAAATTATCGGCGACGATTCCTTGGATTTCTTCAAATAGGCATGCATAGAGCTGTCATAATCATACCATTGTTTTGATACCTTTGATTAAAATAGAGAGGTCAAAGGTTAAAAGAATCTGATCTGTGTGAAAGCTTGGGAACTGTGGCGAAACAGAGACGTTCAAAGTCCATTTCCTAAATGTAGTGTATTTAGCTTTTAACTAAATTTGAATGTATCGTAAATTGGGCACTGGATTAAATTGCTACTGAACTACAAAACATTGTTCTAAATCGCAATTTGAATTACTTGTGTTTTGTGAGTGTAACTTTTATTAGAAATCCAAATTTGAAAAGATTGTTAATCTATTTCCCTCAACTGCCAGGGTTAGAAGTTTTTTATACATTTGTATAAAATACAAAATTTACAAAAATACATTTGTGTTAGTGTGCAGCTCTAGAATCAAATAATATAATCACATTTACTCCTGTTACAGCTCCCACTTGCAATATACACACATACGCACATACCCTTGCGCAAAAGCATAGAGCAATAGTGGGTTGTTAGCTCTACAGAACCCAACTAATAAATGAAACCTATTTACCATTTTCAGCAGAAATTTTTCCAAGTCTTCAACAGTAGAAAGAGGTTCCATTCTGAAACTTCGTCCAGTATAATTGATCAGTCCAGATTTGTCAGCAACTTTGTTGTTATCTTCGTTTTCATTCTGTATTGACGCTGAAGAGGTGGTTGGAGTCAATGGACTCCCGCCACTAGGAGCTTTCTCAAGTTTGAAGCGTAATTTGCGGTTGAGTAGGTGAAGCCCGCCAGAAAGACTGCCCGGCGTTTCATAAATGTAGAGAGGAAATCTGGAAAACAGAATGAATTTTATTAATTTTCGAACAAAATAAGGTGATGTGCACCTGTTACCAAAGTAAAGAAGGCTCACCCGCGAGCAAAGTTTCAGGAGACCAAACAATTTATTTGCAATAGAGCTAATGGGAAGATAGTTCACATATGCTATGTTGCAGGACTAATTAAAATTTTAACCAACCATTTCAGATGTATCAAAATAGACCAACGACATCCATCTATTTTCATGTACATTGCACCATAAAATAAATGATACAGTAATTATGGGCTCAAAATATGTGAATGTTGAGAATAAATACGGCCTAGATTACTGGAGACTTAGAATAAACAATTAATTGAAATGCGATGCTGAAACGAGCAATAACCTTAGATCAATTCACTAACCTTTCAGTTGATTCCAGCACAGCAACTAATTTCTTGATCAATATTTTTCCCGATGAGTTCGGTCCGCTTAACAAATGCTTGTGGAATAACTTGATGCGTGTCACAGAGTCTTCTGAGTTAGCAGTCTACAAATAAAGGCAGAAGAGTTTTGAAATGCAGAATCGATAACCTCATTTGGTGCTACTATAGCTAACATGAGCAAACTACGGCCCACGAGCCATATCCCGCTCGCCGGATAATTCAATCTGGCCCACCAGACTAAAACCAAACCACCAAACTAAAACCAGATTTTGATGTTTTAGCTAAAAATAGCTATTTAGCAACGGAATTTGTTGAAATTGTGATTAAATTTGGTTCTGGCGCGAGGCTTATTGTTTCCACTTTTGTAACATGTTCTGGCCCCGTGGAATGCCATTTTTATGTGTTTTTCTACTTTTTGTTCGCACCAAGTATATTTTCAGTTTGGTAAAAAAATAAACTACTGACTGCCTAAGTCTAATTTGGTGCGAAAACTTGAAGTAGGCATAAGAATAGGGAGATGCGATTCCAATGTTGGAATTGTTAAATGAAGCCCTCATTACATCCCACATACACGATCTATCCATTTAAATTCAATACCTTGCAAACAAGACATCCCAGTAAAGCTTGTATCATATCACTACTGTACATTTCATATGGAGATATGGTCTTGTCATCAGTAAGCAGGGTTGCCAGATCTTGTAATGATGTTGATAGTTGTTCTTGCCAGTTTGCTGAAATGAGAAGTAATAGAGTATGTTACAATCTGGCATAGGGAGGGAAATTTAATTCAGTTACCATGACAGACTGACTCTTGTGAGCATTAGTTCATGATACTGGACTATTACTTTATTATAGGGAAAAATAGGCGAAGCAGAAATTTGATATTGGAATAATTGATTGAAGGGTAGGTACTCATAATTCTATATTACTTCATAAGTTCTTGGCATTACAATAGATGCTCGTCACTTTGGGCACAAGAATGAGTTTTATTTACATCTGAATGAGAGCATAAACAAAATCCTATTAAAGATGAATATATTTTGTTCATTTCTCTATCATTTAAATCTAACAGAAAAAAATTTATTTATGTTACAATCTGGCATAGGGAGGAAAATTTAATTCAAATACCCTGACAGACAGACTCTTGTGAGTATGAATTCATGTTACTGAACTATTACTTTATTATAGGAAAAAATAGTCAAAGCAAAAATTTAATATTCGAATAATTGATTGAAAGGTAGGTGGTGTTCTATCATAATTCTATATTACTTCATAAGTTCTTGGCATTACAATAGATGCTCGTCACTTTGGGCACAAGAATGAGTTTTATTTACATCTGAATGAGAGCATAAACAAAATCCTATTAAAGATGAATATATTTTGTTCATTTCTCTATCATTTAAATCTAACAGAAAAAAATTTCAATAACTCTAATTATTTTATACACCCCCTTTTCACACTTTACCACAATTACGGACACTCGGATCAAGCAAATGTCATGATTGAGTGTTTAAAAGAGGGTTAAACTGATATGCCAGCTTACCGCATTCTGCAGTATTGGCCTCATTGATCTTCTCTGCCAAAGCCTTCAGTTGAGTAACCACGCCACGAGGTGTGTCATTCACTGTTTTGAAATGTGCTTCATACAATTCTTTTGCCAAACCCCTGATTTTCATCTTCATATCACTCTGTAAACAAGAAAAATCTTATTATGGATATAGATCAATGCATTTAAAAGCTGTACAATCACCTTCACGGTTAATGCAATGTTTTTGATGGTTTTTCACTGTTTTTGCACATTTTTGCAAGATTTTTGGTGGTTTTCACTGTTTTTCCAGGTTTTTGAAAGATTTTGACTGTTTTATCTACTTAGGTTTTATGACGAGTTTAAATTTAAAAATTCGTGAACGTTAAGATAACCAGTTCATCGAACTGAAATTGAAGCCTTCTTGGTCGAACAATGATACTAAAATTGCTCAAAACGATACTTTTTTTATTTAAACTATCCTAAATTAATCACAGATATCCGGAAATCAAAAGTATTGAATAATATTCATTTTGAATGAATCGATTATTAGATTTGTGGTGGATATCTCTCGATGTAAGCTAGACGTTATACCTTCCTGAACTTTCGACATCTACTAATGGAAAAACATAAGATATACCACTATATTTCTTCATAGTGTTAAAAATTCCTGGAACTTTAGTGGTGACATGTAACTTTGCTAAAAGATCAATCTTTTTACTTCTGAGCTAGTCAGCGCAACCTCGCTTTCAATAAATTAACTTAAGGCAAATCATTTTTACCTCTTTATTTTTCACGCTTCCTTGAGCAGAAGATGGTCTGCTGACAACGCCTGTTGTGAAGTCGACCGTGGCTTTCGAATCAGGTTCAAAATTATGCTTCGTTCCTCTGTTTGATTCGAACGTAAATCCACTCACTGATTCGCTCAGTATTGTTGCCTGGGGAATAAAAAGAATGATGGTTTAGGGCAGTGGTTATCAAACAGTGAGCCACAAGGGGGCGTATAAAATTTTTTGAGGGGCCGGGAAGCTAATTAAAAACAAAAATAAATGTTGGATCTGATCATGCATGTCTTATTTTGAATATTTAGGTTCCATACACATCAGCTTTTTTTTTAATAAAAAAAATTTGGCCTCACTATCTGTTATTTGTAGCTTATTGTCAGCTAGATATTTTTGATGTAGGGCGCGAGCCGGAGTAATAAACTAAAAAATAGGGTAAAAAAAGAAAGAGTTATTGAAGAACATATCGAATTTCTGAAATATGATATGAATAATATTTTATGGATAACTATTTCAAAAATTCAAAATGTTGTATTTAACTTGTATATAATTAAATCTAGATAAATTCAATTATTTGATCCATTTTGGGAATAACCTGACCCGACCAAGCACTTCATTGATTTTGAAATAGAAAATTATATACCTGATGTCCATCAATGTTGCTTATTGTTAATTCTCCTTGATTATTGCTGCACATTGACCAGTTACCAACAACTATTTTAGGTCGGCCATGTTTGGTGAAAATCGGTTGCAATACAAGGCCTTCTTGGCTTGATACAGCTTCAGCATGTGCTCTCTGTAGCTTGTCTAGAAATTCCACTTTGCTGTCTATAAGAAAGAGGAAAAACTATTTAATATATTTCAACACATTCAGTCACTTTAAAAAGCTTTTATTTTTAGTAGGATACTAAATAGAATACTATTTCGAATAGATTCTGAAAAATTATTTTCAAATCAGGAATTCCAATTACATTCTAGAATTCACCACATAAATTTTATTCACTGTTTTAAAATCCAGAGACATAGGAATTAAGCTTAACAATATTATCATTGTAAAGCGGATATAAATACATATGCTACCCGATTCATTAAACACCAAAATGCGAAATGAGATTTGAAACTAAGGTCTTCAACCTCTATATTAGGGGTGGCCAACCAGTCAGAGACAAAGAGCCGCATTTTAAACTTTATACACTTTAAAAACAAGAACGCACATGAACATCAGATATACCTTTATTCAGGTCTGCTAGAATGATAGTTTATTGTAAATGTCACAAACCAATGACTAACCAAAAACCACTTAATATACGAGTTCGAAAAAATAATAACAATACCTGAACTGTCGGCTCCACCCTCAGGGCTCCCACTTGAGTACATAGTTGATAACTTGCCATTCAAGATGTATCTGAACCATCCATTACTTCCATTTGAGAGTTCGATCGCAACCGAATCACTCCACAGGTACATTCCATCTCGGCCACGAACTAAAGTCCATTTCCCTTGCCAGTTATAAACGACTTTCGGTGCGATTGATGTCGCTTCAGCTAAGACTTTAACTTCAACTTTTTGGGAATCTGATGGTGTTTTCGAGTCTGGTACGTCATCAATCGTGCCAGATTTTGATTGTGAATTTACTTCCTCAGTTGGGGTGGTAATTTGGCCCCCGACTGCCCCCTTTTTAGTTGCATCCTCATCAAAGTTTTCTCCAATTTCCATGTTTTCTTGTTTACCGCATTCCCCGATGTTTTCTATCTTATTGACGACCCAGTCTCGTGAGAGACAGTTGATGAAATGATCTCGACTTTTATCCATCAGGTTTTTAACAATCTGTAGGCTTGAATAATGGCTTTCTTCATCATCCTGCAAAACAAAAACAAAATGAATGGACGGTAATCCTTTTATGTGGACTCAAATTAGGCATTGTAGCACTACCATATATCCACGCATATAAGCCAAGTTTAAATTTCAGAAAAAGGTTGCCAAACTGAGGAGTCTGTTTATACACTGATAACTCTGATCACACTAAAATTTCAGAGTATACTCTCATAACTAGGCCGCACACAAATGAACATTATGCTAACTTAATTCCAACAGCTACAATCGAACCATGTTATGTTTCATGATAAGAGCGTGCACACACACACACAATGCAGCGCTTGGTGCGCTATGATAGCAATACCAGTCTGTGATTGGTTGTCATATACGTGATCGCTTGCCTGTTTTGTAGGGTTATGTGCAAATTTTTATAAATTCACCGTTTCAGGGCCATTTTTAGGGGGTCGGCCTATATGCGAATATAACGGTTGCAGTAACATTTTTGATTGACTAAGAATTCTCAGCAGACAATTAAAGTTTTTTGCATCATAAATTAGGTTTTCCCAGAATTCAGAGCCAAAGTCCAAATATTTTTATTGCGGAGTTTTCCCTACATTTTCTGAAATACCCCCCCTCACCAACTCCGCAACCCCTAGTATATAAACAAACCCACCTCTTGATCCAGAGCTGTGGATACAACATCAGCAAACCCTTCCTGAACTCCGTTTAACTTCGAAACATCTTTCAAATGATCCGGCGAAGAGTAGAGAGTCATTTTTCTCACGAGGGCGAGAGAGAGTTTTCGAACGTTTGTTGAAACAGCTCTTTGATAAGTGCTTATGAAGATCGGAAGCATTCTGAAGGAATGGAACAGAAATTATAATAATGAGAAAGAGTGGATAATGCTATATTGGCAAGCATGTAAGAACACCATCAAAAATTTTCAAACTCAAATGGGACCAAAATTTACAACTGAAATAGGATATTAACATTTTTATCACCATTAAGAGTTTCTCACAGTTGCATTGTCAACAAAACCCCACATCAATCAAAAAGTCTTTTTTCAAATACAGAGTAATATTAACTTGCTTAAAATGCTCAGTCAAAACCTATTTATACCATTATAGAGTATAAATCTAAAATTGGACTAAAGAAAAAAACTGGGATAGAATTCGAAAACATTTTCAAACATTCCACATCTTTAATAGCATCATAGGGCAGCAACCACCATTTTTTTTTTTTTTCAAATGAAAATAATACTACTTGCTAAGATATATTGGTGACATCTCCGGATCTCCTTTTTCTTTTTCAACAGGTGGTTCCTTCGGTTCCGCTTTCTTTTTAGACGGCTTTTCTGCCTTTGATTTGTTCTTGTCTGTTTCTGGCGTGACATATTTTTCTGCAATAAGAATTAGTATATTTAAGTACAGCGAAGGAGATTAATTCTTCATCAAAAGTTGTTCTTCACAACAAGTTTTGATTGTACCTCTAAATTAACAAGCTTTCATAGATATAATTTAAGTGTAATATGATCATATGTCATATTATAATTTTTTCAATTTTCAAAAGAATTAGCATAAAACAGGGTGCAAAACAGGCAGCCAATGGGGCACAACTCACAACCTTGCTATGCCATTTAGTGTGGCACTTGCCAACAATCAGATTTTCCGCATCGTACATAAAATTCTAATCAGTTAGTTTGACACTCACATAGGCAAAAATACATAATGATTTTACCCTTGTGGCTGCGTTAAATTTATTGCAGCTTGTTCGGTGCATTTATCACTGTATGGCTAAGCGATACCTAACATAGTCCAAATAAAAGTCTCAATGCTCAATTTATTTGCTATTTACCTGGAGACTCCAGTATTTTCACAACTTCCCTATGTCCTTCATCATTTCTCTCTTTAGCTTTTTCTAAAGGGGTTTTCCCCTCCTCATCTCGCAATGTAGCATTCGCTCCATGCCGAAGGAGAGTTTTAACAACATTAGGTCGCCCGAAACATGCTGCGTAGTGCAAGGACGATGAACGTTGACCGCGATTAACATCTGCACCGTGACCGCATAGGAATTCAACCTAAATAGAAAGAATAGACTTAAGTTATAATACATAAAACACAGGCTGGATCTGAAACAGTGCATTTTAATCAGGGTCCATGGAACTCCAATGTTCCGCAAACACCAATTGAGGTTCTGTGGGTTTCTCATTTTTGAGTGGACTGTTTCAATGGCATAATAAACTCACCATTTCTTGTGTCCCAAAAGCAGATGCCCAATTCAGAAGAGTTTGTCCGACATCATCCATGAAATTGACTTCAAACGCTAAAAAAAAAACGAAAAACAGGTAAAAAATAAAACTTGTTCTATAAAAGTAATGAACTCTGGCAGGTTTTATTTTTGCCAAATTGATATTGAACTGAATCCATTTTTAAAATCAGTTCTATCTTCATAGGTCTCTGAGGTTTATACACCGATTAGTTCTCTATTTTTACAAATTCATACCATGAAACTTCAGTTGAAGAAAATGGAATTTTTTGAATTAAACTATTCTAAGATATATTTGAATCAGAATCTATTTCAATCCGTTTCGCTTTGGCCATGTATTCAATTATTCATAAAATACAGAATTCTCATTTTTTTCGAATCCCATCTGGCCATCACCGCATAAAAAATATTAGCTCTTCTGCAGTGTGTGTACCAATATGGAGGTAACTAATTTTGTTCGCCTACCTTACATTAAGTTGTATAAAGGGACGGAAGCCTATGGACGGTGTATTCACTTGGCTAACACAGAGAGTCCCTGAACTCGTAATAGAACTTAAATAAGGAAAATTTGGTACTCCCGAAGTATGTGAACCAAGATGGCGGACACTGGAATGTAGTATGTGTACCAAGTTAAGGTTAGGTCATTATTGCAGGTACAAATACTAAGGGAGTCACTTAGCTAGTCCCCGAACTCGTAATATTACTAGAATATGGAAAATTGGAGTAGAAGTATGTCCTAACCCTAACCTGATACACATACTACGTTCCGGTGTCCGCCATCTTGGTTCACATACTTCGGGAGTACCGAAAATTGGAATAGAATAATGGCCTAACCTGGTACACATACTACGTTCCGGTGTCCGCCATCTTGGTTCACATACTTCGGGAGTACCGATTTGGAATAGAATAATGGCCTAACCTGGTACACACACTATGGAAGTACCAAAATATCAATTGATGTACAAACCTCCAGTGTCAATGGCATCAATAAGCGTGTCTGTATCTTTACTTCTGATACAATCGATCAGTTGTCTATGTGACCTTTCACCCCCGAAACCTTCAAATCTGTGAAACGCTAAATTACGTCCGGCACCAACAGCCATTCCATGCTTTGGTATTGCATCACGACCCTCAAATAAAACAATTAAAATGAGGTCTGCGAGTCGCATCGTGTCAAGGCAGCATCTGAAAAAGTATTAAGAAATTCTGTTGGACTAAATTCACTCAAAGCATGGTCACATATACTAATAAGTGATGAAGGTTTATTAAAACCAAGCAAAGCAACATGCAACCACTGACAATTTTACGCCCTCATGTGGAATTTTCAAACTTCTCAATAGTAAAGATAGGCCTTCTTTATATTGTAATTTCTCAAAAATCTTCAATATCCAAGCAGAGGACCACAGGCACCACTGACAATTTAAGCACTCTCGTGGACTCCCAAATTTTTTAATAATGAAAATAGGCCTTCTTTAAATAGTAATTTATCGAGAATCTTCACTAAAGGCAGCTGTTTACGACAAATTCAGAAAAAAGGAAGAACAATTATGAATTCAATTTTTTTATGTATTTGGCCTTGTTCAGAATGATAGGCGTTTAAGGTTTATATTTGAAGAAGCGAAAATTAAATCATAACTGATATTGCAGTGTCTATTTCGGTATTATTCTAAATTTAGAAATGCCGGAAAGGTCAGATAAACATTGTTTTTTATAGTGTAATGAGCTAAAGAAAGTCTATATTTAGACTAAATACAAATCAAATGTATTTCAAATTCTTCCCAAATCATATACTGTTTTGATTATTAGAAATTTCGAATGTAATTAAATTATTTTCGTATATCTCTGATATGACAGTTATGGAAGCAAATATTTAAAAAGTAGTTTTGAGTGAGTAAAACATTACCTCTCATCCCCTTTCATCGCTTCTTCAATTGCAGTTGGAAGATCAGATCTGAGTAATTCCTGAGTTAAAAATATATAGAAGGATAATTTTATATGAGCTCCAATACTTAATAAATCATATAAGGCTCCAGACGTGTGTGTACCAATATGGAGGTAGCCTAACTAACGCCTACTTTACATCAAGTTGTGTAAAGGAACTGAAACCTATGGGCAGAGGTTATATTCAATTGGCTAACACAGACAGTCCCAGAACTCGTAATATAACTAAAATAAGCAAAATTGGAATAAAATTATGGCCCAACCCTAACCTGGTAGACATACTACGGGAGTACCTAATGCAATAGTAGAGGCACCATTAAGATGACAACTGATAAGGAGATAATATTCCTCATTAGAATACTGATAACATCAGTGCACAATTCCAGAATACCAACTATGAACGCAAAACATCGGTGATTTCATGGCAAAAATACTAGCATTATTTTCAGTAAAGTCTAGTTATACAGATTAGAATCTAGGAAATGTTTTAATCTTGCTATCAAATCGATCAAAATGAGTCACAAAATGAGTCAAATTAGATCAGAAGCAGACATATTAGAAAACAGTATTCTAAGACACAGGTTCTTAAAGTCAGAGAAACCTAGTGGCTTGCTCTCAAGCTATTCGTTTACTCATTAAAATACTGAATATTAACTACTGTAGCAGCCAATACATTTAACATTGAATAAAGTAATTTTAATTCGCACATGCGATCGCGATCGGTAAGTAACAATGTGTTTCTTTATTTTTATTCTTATAAATTTATTATAGCGCTCTGAAAATAACACAAACCCATCCAATGACACAAAACGTTTGAGAACCCTTGGCTATACTGCGAGAGTTCAATTGTGCTAAATATCAATTTTCCAATCAAAACTACAGTATAGGATTGGACATTTCAAAATCGAATAGTAAACTATCGAAGCGTTCCAGACGAAAATTTCGAATCGCCGCCATCTTGTTTTCAATTTGGCCGCAAAGGATAGAGGTAAATTCGTCATTTTTTAATGAAGTCATATTTTCACAATGTGAGTTTGACATACAAATCTTTTCATCATGTTTAATTATTGATGAAGCTTGTTTCTTATTGTGTGTGAACGCCCAGCAAACTGTCTAAATGATGAATTCTATGTTTTCAGTAATTTATGTGCTTATATCATCCATCACAATGATAAAGTCACATGGACTTGACTATCTTCCAAAAATCAAAGATTCAAATCGAAAAAAAAAAAAATTTCAAATCAATTTTGAAATCATCAGGTATTCGAAACCCCCCAACTTTGAACATCCCAGAGTAAAACAGAAAGCCGACACTCACATGGGTAATAGATGATGATCCTCTGCATAGTGTTATCAGCAAACTAATGATGGTGGTAATTCCAAAGTTATGTTTCTGATCTGGGGTTGATCCTGGTGTCGCTCCTGCTGCCCCTGGCTTGTTATTCACTGGTGCTCTTGCACTTCCACAACTGTAAAGAAATTTTATTTTTGAAATTAGAATCCACTTTTTTAAATGATAGTATATTTGCAAAAAATATGATTTTCAAGTTAAATGAAGAAATTTGAACACACAATCTTCCGCTGTTTTCTAACTTTACTCTTCTAAAAAACCAGCCACTGATCAACAAGGAACTCAATGTATTAAACTATAGATAAAGTGCTGTTTATTGAAAAAAAGTAAAAAAGTAAAGAAGAAAAAAAGTAAAAAAGGCATATTATGTCATCCTGAATAAGTTTTATTTTTTTTTATTTTGTAAATGTCAGAGAATAATCAAGATCTGACCGTTTCTACTTGGTCATGAAATGAAGAGTGAAAGTTTAATAATAGATATTTCAAAAAAAAAATTGTTGGTGAAAACATGAAGTTGAGATTTACAAGCATAATACAGAGCACAAAACTAATTATCTTTGGAATGGTGAGTTCATGATGAAATAACCGGTGGTTAAAGCTTCGGACCAAACTCTGTTCACAAGATGAAAATCCCTGTTTATTAATATTCCATGTCTGCATTAAGGTAGGCAGAGCCTACTAAAAAGATTTTAATCTTTCGGAAGACTAGTCGATACTCCATATGCAAGAACCAGTATCTGCCTGTACGACTTACTTGTTTAGAATTAAAACGCTTCAAAAAAAAAGTTATTTAGTCACAAGCAGGAAAACTTGACTCACTTTGCCAATCGTTTAATAAGTTCTTTGGTGAGTCCATGAGCATCAAGTGGTGCAGGATCGATGCTTTTTCTAGTAAATCTGTCTGCGAGAGTAGCGAAACACCTCAAAGCTCCGTCTGACACCTGAAAGTTGAAATAGTTAACATAGTAATATTATTTACCAGAAACTTGAAGTCAGGAATACGAAGTTCATAATTTATAAAAACAAACATGCGTATAGAAATAAGATTCTACTATGGCTCAAAAACAGATGGTAAAACCAAAATTTGAGACAAGCACAATATTTTTTATGAAAGGCAGTAGCATGCATCATTGTAAGAAGCAGGCGCCAGGCTGTATTTTAAATTTATTTTTTGTTCATATCAATCTGGAGATTTTCTGAGAATTCCAATTTAGATTGTGCTGTAAACAATATAATTATTGAGGGCTTCATTTCCCAGTTTATATTAAGCAAATAAACCTTTGAAATAATCAATAAAATTTGATGAAAATAGAAGAACACAGAATGTGAAACAAAATATTGATTATTTAGTACCCTATTACGTTCACTTTTCATGTTACGACATAAAGAAAATTGGGTGCTCCATAATAGAAGTGTGTGTACCAATATGGAGGTAACTAATTTTGTTTGCCTACTTTACACCAAGTTGTGTAAAGGGACTGAAGCCTATGGGCAGGGAGTATATTCACTTGGCTAACACTAACACAGACAGTCTCCGAACTCGTAATAGAACTAAAATAAGGAGAATCGACATAAAATATGGCCTAACCCTAACCTGGTAAATACACTATGGGGAGTACCGGAAATTTGAACTGAATTTTTATGAAAATTCATCTAAATTGATGTGATCGCCATGGGTTCAAAAAAAATTGCTTTATGAATGAAGTCACATACATAGACAAGAGTGTGAGCGTAGCATTTCTATTGAGCAAATTTCAGCAGATGTTTCGTTGTGTACAGTTGCTGGGAATCACGGTGCTCTATTACGGAACTCTAAGCTTGTGACACATCTAACGCGAGTTTCGATTCACTTGACTAGTGTTCACTAGTGCAGTGTTTTTAAAGTTTCCAAACCCACAGATTAGACATAGTTAAATTATGTTATGTTTGTTCTGCATTTGATCAGGCGACACATTACAGGAATACATTTGTGTCGATATACAGCAAGATCATTTAAAGTCCCTCTACAATTTAAATTTTGATATGAACTCTCTGTATATTTTAAATAACCAGGTGTCCCGGTTTGTTGTTTTTAATCAGTAATTGTTTGATAAGTTTTTTACTTCAGTGAGGGCCAAAACAATAAGGGAACGATAAACTCCCTTTGCAATTTTAAAAAATTTGAAGACTTTAGGGACACCCTATAATCTTTACAATTATTTCTTTGCTATGAGCTCAGGTTAAACATTAAGATAGTAAAATAGTAATGATATTTTTGCCATTTTCATACCAACTGAGACAGGACCAAACATGTGACTACGATGAATAATCTCACAAAGGCTAAAGGTTCCAGACATTCTTAAATATTCAATGTAGAATGTGTAACTAGATCAGTATTGATTTTCACCAGACAAAGAAAGAGTGAAATTGCTGAGTAAGCATTACTGGTACCTTCTTTAATAACATTCATAAATGCTTATACAATTATTTACATTGAAAGAGCTAATGGCCTACCATATGGATAGCAGGGTTTGATTTTCAAAGTGGTTACATACACAAGATTTACAATTCAACTAAACATTGAAAAGCCTTTTTCTGTTAAATAGAAATAATACCTTAACAAAAAATAGCCTAAGTATCATAACTTGGTTGAAATTTGATAAGATGTATAATTACCCATACAATAGAAAGTATTTCCTTGTTAAATATAAATAATACTTCAACAAAAAGAGTATAATCATCCAAATTTGTTTAAAATTTGATAAGATGTACAATGTACCTAGACATTAAAAACATTACCTTGTTGAAAAGAACTAATATCGTAACGAAAAATATATAACCATTATAATTTGGCTGAAATTTGATAAGATGTACAATCGACCTGGACATTTATTAGCATTTTTGTTAAAGCAATTTGAAATTGAGAAAATAGCTTGTTCAATTTTTAGTCCGTCTGGGTGGTAGAAATTCATACTGCACTGTGAACAAGATAAACAAAATGTTTGCGTAAGCCTAATTACAGAAACAAAACAAACACAAGATGAGGTAATTGGTCATTTCAGAGAATTCTAGATAATGTCAGTTAATATAGAATGTTTGCTAATAAATACTAATCGAATTACTATAAAGAAATGGCAGCTAATTGAGGGTATTACTGAATTTATAATGTTATTTACCATAAAACTGAGCCTAGAACAACAGGTATCAATATTTAGTGTCTTGTGCACATGACTAGATATTGGTCAATATGGGAAATTTATGAAAAACAACTCAATTTTGGGAACAAAAAAAGAACCTATTTACTACCTCGAATATAATCTTTCACAGGAGATAGCCAAAAAGAATGTTTGAGCTCTTTAGCAATATGAGTTTGACCGTCTGTGTTTGTATTCAATATAATATAAAGTAATCTTACAGAATTGAAAATAGAATGACTAAAGAAGTAATAATTAATGACGCTCCTTCATTGGTGACTTATGGTTTATAACAAATAAATTTGGTTTTTCTGCAATAAAAGATTGTCGAAAAAAAAAATTCTAAAGTTCTCTAGCAAAATGTATCTGCCTCTATATTTAATATAATAGAAAGTAATCTTTCAACATTTAAAATTGAAAAAAGATTCAAGAAATGTATGTAATTAATTCTTTATTAGTGAATTAGGACTTATGACTGATAAATTTGGTTTCTAACGACCTTTTCATGAATTTTGTTGTTTGACCTTGCTACAAGTTAATTCCATAGCAACATCATTAAATGTGTTGTTATGTTGAAAGGTCAAGTCAAGTTTATTTTTTCCAACCAGTAAAAAGAAAATAGAAAAATGATATTTCCATTATGGGGAAGGGAAGCTGCGGGAAACTGGTTATCGAGCAGCGACTCCCAAGGTTCTAACATCTAATTCAACAGATTGGGGAGGAGAGTTACAAAATTACTGATATTAATGATAAATATCATATGAATTTTGCGAATTAGCCAACTAACATCAATTAGCCAACTAACATCGATTATTAGTGATTATTGTCAGAGTGTTGTTTTGCACTTATCTCAAGTACATGTATATCAAGTTGCAAGCAAATTATCGTTACTCTAAACTGAGCCCGTTCATGTAAATGCCATCAACTAATTACTTGTTTTGAGTTTCAATTGGCAGCCCTTGGTTGACATTGCTAAGAAATTGATTAGGATTGGCACCATACCAAGGCATGTTTTTCATCAGAACTTGGTGATAGCCAGTCTACTTTCAAAGCTTCGAAGTCATTACCATGGGCAGAGATAACAGATGATCAATAGCAATACTGAGAAGTTTCTTTATGAAGTTCAAAAAATTTACTTTTTAAAATTAGTGCTAAATTATGAAAGCGTTAGCCTTGACAGTGTTTGCATCGAAGCCGAGTTTGAAACTCGAAAAAACTCGTCAACTAAGGGTACAGCTTATATGCGCCTAACTCAAATGAAATGACGTTAGGATAACTTAATTCTAACAGCTACAACCCGAACCATGCCCAAGTTCTCACTATAAGAGCGTACAATTCGTAGGGCTTTTATGTGAATTCACCGTTCAGGCTTGTTTTTAGGGGGTCGGATCATATGCGTGGATAAACATTACATATCTCTGGTTCAAATACACTGCAAAATGACCAATTCAAGTCAAATATTCAAATATTTATACCATATCATTGGATTAATTCCCTTTGACAATTTACCTCATTGCTTAATTCAAATGTCATTACCACATTAACACATGCATGTGACAATGTGACCAAACTGCTAATCAGCCTGGAAATCTGATTAGAACATTCTCTCATGTAACTGGGCTAATCCTTATAATAACTTATTGATTAACTGGATTTTTATACATAATATGGCTGTAACAGTTTATTTGTTTGTTTTATGACACTTATGCCATGGCTCAATGGTTATAGCAATGCTCTCCTAAAGCTTGGGCGACGAGTTCAAAACTCGTTGGTGCCTTTCACGTTGGCATAGGTGAAATAGGTAACTTTATTTACTGTTTACTTTTGCTCTGAACAAGGCCCTGTCCGAGCATCCACTGATATCTAACAGTAAGCAAAAAACTACAATTTTGAAACTAGAATGAACTTTGCCAAGTCCTGGGTTATGGGGCAGATTTGATTTGAAGCTGAGGCAAAGTTAAATAAGTCTCATTATCGCTAGGCAACTGCGTCCCAAAATTATAAATGTGAGAGTTTAAAAATATCATACAATGTGGTACAATATAGGGTGGACCTTAAAATCCACATTGAGAACAAAAATTTGTAAATAATTCACCCTCAAATAAATTTATTTAATAATTTTCCACATTTTCAAATCTGTACAATTTGAATATACAATGGCTACCATATGTTCATTAAACATGGTATAGTCTAATAAATATTCAGTTTTCAAAAACAAAAGTTTAGAATACATTTGGAATAGTGAATAATTCAGTTTTTGGCCATCCCTGTCAGGTATAATGCCAATATCAAATAAATATAAGCAAAATCTAGCAAGCATAATGCTATCATGATAGCTTTTTTATTCAGTTGACAATTTGAGTCATATGACAATAATCATTGATACATCATAACAGTGATTAATAGGTTACACTATGACATCACACAGTCTAAACGTGACAAGCTAATTTTCAATCTATTGAGAAAAGAGTATTGATTTTGACAGCAAATTTGTTGAATTAATTTTTCAACATGGTCCGGTAAAATGAAAAAATTAAATAATACAATAAAATGACATGATTTGAACATAACTGATTTCATATAAAATCAGGTTAAATTTTACCAGACCATGTTGAAAAGCTAATCTAATTCAACAGATAAAGCTGACATGGGCAAACTACGAGCCGCGGGCCACATCCGGCCCGTTGGGTAATTCAATCTGCCCGGCCCGATCCTGCCACAACTAGGGATGGGCAATGTAGAATAATTTACTATTCTAGAATATTATAGAATAGTTAAATCGAATCCAGAATACCGAATCCTATTCTATTTTCATACTGATTCAAATAGTGGGAATTCCCACAATGCTGGATTTAGATGTTAAAAAATTGTAAATGTATTACTATAAATGTATTAATATTCCCCAACCAAGGTAAAACCAAATTTTGATGTTTCAGCTAAAAAATATCTAAAGGAATTTATTAAGATTGTGTTTAAATTTAGTTTGAGCACGAGACTTATTGTTTTCCACTTTTGCTTCTGTAACACTGTAAATATTTCACACTTACATGGCTTACCTTAACTTACGTGGTTCAAAAAACTTGTCCACCCCTGTTCTACAGGCTCACACACCAAATATATTTAAATTAATACAGCACCATTTCGATGTAATGTAATTTACATAGTACATTGAACCGTTGAATATATCAATTTAATTTATGTTTATCAATTTACAGACATTACCTTATATTTCAGAATAACTGATTGGGAATTTCCATTATGACAAGTTTTAGGAAATAATAAAATTTCACCAAAAACTTTCCTACAACGAGATCAATATTTGAATGCTTGAAAGCTAAACAGGAAAAATATTAAATTCATCAGAATGCAGGGGTTTTAATACCATGGTAAAAACTGGGCATCTGGTAGGCTTCTTAAAAGCTTACTTTTATTGTTCTATGAAATTCTGCAATTTAGTTCTGCACACTAACACAAATTTATTTCTGCAACGTTTCGTCTGACCAAAATCAGACTTCCTAAGACAGCAGTTTACAACAATGACAAGAAAAGAATATTACTAACAGTAAATTTTGTATACGGTCTTAAGAAGTATCAGTCAAGTGTTGGACAGTGTTGCATCCAATATTCATTAATCAAAGTTTGTATTACATAGTTTTGAAATTCAGTAAGTTACGAAGTGTGATATATTATTTTCATCTTTTTGAGTAAATTATGTTTCTTTCAGTTTGTCTTGTACAGTATTTGTTCATTCATCGACAACATAAGCATTATTTGTAAGATTTTTTGCCTTTATCTTGAATGAGCGAAAAGACAATATGGCATCCCTAACATATGGTGAATTACTTGTACAGTAGCCAAGTATGCAGGCTTGAAATTATAACACCAGAGCACCAGTTTATGGTTAAGGTTACGAACATACCTGGATCGTTTCAATAATTAGTTTCTAATGGCTCAGATTGAAATATAAAACTGTTAAAAGGTAGGTGGGAAGAATAAACAAGCGCAAAACTGTAAAATTATATCAAATATATTGTAAATTTTGCAAATTAAAATCCGAACCTTGAAGAGCCATGAAAATAAATACATCCTATGGACAAAGAAAGAATCTAACAGGAAATAAGACAGCAGTGTACTTTGCACCATAAATGAATGATGAAGATCATTTATTATTTATAAGTCTATATATTTCAATCTCAGTAAAGCAAGAGCACATATAAAAGGCATAACAACAATACCTTCATATTGATAGCTAAACAAAATTTAGTATCAAAATTCAAAAAGCCCGATTTTATGAGTTTACTTTGTTAAGTGCAGCCACTAATGGTAATGTTGAAAGTTGCTTAAAAGTAACTTTTATCAAAAACAACATAAAACTGGAAATCTTGATCATTTTGAAAAAAATGATGAAGTTTTTATATGTTCAACTAGCGAAGAAATTTCCATGAAAAAGGAATATTCAACCAAGAACACATACAAAAAGCACAACAGAAAATGCTTGAATATTGATGGCTAAAAAAAATTTAGTAGACTATACCCCTAAAACTGGAAATATAGATTGTATTAAAAATCGTAGAAAGGGTCTATATGCTCAACTAGCTATGAAGTTTGCATAAATAATTGACTGTTCAAATAGCTATGCATATACTATAATTTACCTTGCCCCTTACAGTCTTAATTCGGTACTCATGTAGTATGTGTACCGACATAATTTCAGGTACAAATACTACAGGAGTCACTTGGCTAGTCCCAGAACTCGTAATAGAACTAAAATGAGGAAAATTAGAATCCAATTGTGTCCTAACCCTAACCTGGTACACATACTACGTTCCGGTGTATGCCATCTTGGTGCACATACTATGAGAAGGCCTTTAATTCTATACCAATGGTACCATATTATATGTTGTGATGTGGATAATGAAACTATGTTAAGACCCCTTCACACAAAAGAAAGCTCTAGACAAGCAGTCATTGAAAAGTAAGGCTGCCAACAATTTTCAATTTTTTTGACTGTTGCTATAATTGGTTAACCGGGTTTTTGTTTCAGAGGGCCTGAATCTTTCCATTTCACAATTGACGACCAATTATTACTGAATTATTTTTCTGTGTTGATTAGGGCTGGGCATTTTCGAATACCTTGTGATTTCAATATCGAATCGAATAATTTTTTCGAATCGAATCTCGAATACTTGGAAATATATAATTGTAACAACTTTTTTATAGTAATTGATCCTCTCAACAAATGAATTACTGAAGACATAGAATACATCACTTAGATAGATTACTGAGCGTTCACACAGAATAACAAACACGTTTTATCAATAACTCACTACAGAAAATGGTCATATGTTAGGATTGCCTTGAAAAAATATGACTTCAAGGAAAAAAAAATTGGAGAATTCACCACGACCATTGGCGGAAAGAAAAAACCAAGAATGCGGCGATTTGAAATTTAGCTCTGAACCGATTCGAATAATTTACTATTCGTCAGATGCACCATATTGTTGACTTGGTTTATGGCAATAAAATCTCTCACTATCTGATAAGGTACTTACGGAAGGATCTTCTGAATGCAGCAGAGCGGAAAGTGATTGAACGCTTCCTGGTAGTGTTTCGCTGGTTGGTTCCACTTTTCCACATAATCGTGTCACCACAGACATTGCTGAATGAAGTGTGTCCTAGAATTTTAAAAAATTCACGTTATTCAAACAAATTTACCCAGAACATAATTATCATTTTCTTTCTCTTGTGATGTCCTTTCAGAATGAGCAAGGGAAAACTTGTTCACGAATCTCGATAGTCGAGGCTTGCATAACAAAACAGATTTCCATGAAACATCCACACAATAAGTTCCGGGTGTAAACATTAAAAAATGTAAATAAAAAAACCCGCCTGTGGGACATATTGAAATTCAAATAAAAATGTTCATAAAATTTCAAATATAATATAACTCCCAGATCCAGGTTACGATATTTTGGGTCAAAAATATTAAAAAAATGCAGTCCTTCAACAAAATTCGCTCCTTGTAGCTATCAATAGTTACTTATACAAAGTGAGGTTCATAGTGATTGTTGAAACGTTTATAAAAGTAACCTAATAATCGGATAAAAGCACCCTTGCTTACAAATGAGGTTTTTTTCAAACCTGGGAAAGAACCCAGGAAACCAATGGTATCAATAAATCAATACAGAGTAATGACAGGTTGCATGAGACCATCCCCTGGGAATATCCCTTTTCTCTTTTATTGGTAATATCAAGCTTACTAACCTAGCAAACAGGTTTATTGAACAAGGTAATAATACAACTAAGTGGTAAAATCAATGCAGGAAATTCACTGATTCACCTTATAATTGTTTGAATTCACTGTATATACTCGCATATAAGACAAGTTTGAAATAAAAATACGTTCCTAAACTAAGGGGATTATATACGCATAACTCTGATCACACTGAAAATTTGGCTAATAAGCGTTTTTCGCTCTAAAAATTTGTCTTGCTAAGACATAAAAATATAATTGGTAATGTCTACAGTTCCCAGAAATCGAAAATAAGTATTTTCTTTCCTTACAAAAATACAAAGTGAAAAAAGCAAACCTTATGTATAATTGTATCACATTGGCAAATGAAGATAAGAGTTGAAGTAAGACCACCAGCATCGAATACTGCACCTGGTTCCCTCGTACAAATGAATTCAAGAACCTGTTTGAGAACAGACAATGGTTATGATTCAGTAATTGTAAGTATAATACTGACGAAATGACAAGGCGTTCGTGTAGTCCGTTACAATTTCAATTCTGTTTTGAAGTCAGTTCTCAATAGATCTTGACTAAGTTTATTTTGTTTTAATCAGTGTTTATTTCTTACACATGCAGGGGCCAACAAACAATATATGGTGTCAATATATTCCCAATTGACTAAAATTTAAGACTCTGTGAACATCCTTTGTGAGTTGGGTACCAGTTACTTTTTTTAGTTATTGTTGCAACAAAGCCAACAAGTTTTCGATTTTTTTGATACAACATTAATCGGCGCTCCAGAACTGTATGTACCAATGTGGAGGCAGTAAAGCAACGTATCCCAAAAGAAAATGCTCTGATACGTATACTACAGTAGCACCCATTATTAATCAACATGGTAAATCGTATTTCATATAAATTTCTTCATATTCCTGATACCCACCCACTCAGCACAGAGTCATGGACTCCAGTATTACCCAAACTTGCATTAGTCAGAAATTTCCCCTATCTGTACAGTTTGTACAATGTATGCCTATTAAGTATGTTTAATTATTAATAAGGGCAGAAATTCAATAACTTCAAAATCAGTGTTGACCGAAAGCCATAAATTAGGGTTTCTCAAATTGGGCCTTAGCCCTCCAAGAAGGCAACAGAGCGGTTCTCTTGGAGCTATGAGCAATGACTCTCACTACATAAGTTAGAGGATCCCTGCCATAGATAATGATCAAGCATAATTAAAGTATTATCTCCTACCTTAACACACTGTTCAGAGAGGTCTTTGCTTGTCCTATCCTGTGGGTTAACAAGAACAAGTCTGTTACAGATCGCTTTGACAGCTCCATCAACTGCAACAATTCTGCGAGTGCATTCGGCAGAAACATCAAGATAATACGTCACAGCACGAGCTGTCACTTCCAGTACATTGTCCGGCGCTGTCTCGTCCAGGAATATTTTACAAAGAGCGGGAAGAAAGCTTCGTGGTGGACACCTAGAAGAATAAATAAACAGTGAATTTGAGTATTACAAAAACGAAAAATTGTTTTGAGGGTATGGACATTTTACATACATTTCAACGCAATTGATAACAAACATGTTTAACCTAAGTGATTCAAGAGTCTTGCTGCACACTAACACAAATATATTTCTGTAACGTTTCGTCTGACCAAAATCAGACTTCTCCAGACATACATAGTTCAACTATAACAAGAAAAGCATATAAATCCGTTGGCACAAAAGCATAGAAGGATAAGTAGTTAGTCTCGCAGAAACCAAATCATTAGCAAAAATATTTAATATTGAAAAAATTTTCATTATATTTTGCCTAATTCAATTAGGGTTTTCATACCTCTAGACAAGGCAGCATATATACATAAGAGCTACCTACTATTCAGTATACCATAATAAATGTTTTGGCCATAAATTTTTAATTTTCAACCGGCAATGTCTATCCAAATTCATTGATCGATTTGTATGTGTATATCAAATATATTGTTATGTAGGTATTATTGGAAGATTTCTTTTAGATAAATACAATCAAAGCCTACACATACCAAAGTACATACCAAACATATATTGATATCAATTTACAATCAATACAATAGCTTCAACCGAAGACAACTTTTGTTATAGGGATAATAAAACTTGATATCATTAATTAAACTGTACGAAAGCCAGTCAGACATAAGGAACACCTGTACTTATATTGGTCAACTTAAAACGAAGCATATTTGGGTTTTATGAACCGCTACATTAAAATGATCATCATTAGAAAACCAGTAAGCTGTGATTACTCCTTTGGGAACCGCAAAACGTTTAATTGGAGTTCATAAATAAACCTATAAATCATCCTAAGTAACGATTTTTATTAATCCCCAAATAAAACTTTCCAAATTTATGATTATTTTAAATTTATTTTTGATCTTTAATTGATATATCCTAATTTAGTGACAAATACAAATATTGACCCACAATTTCTAAATTTCAACACTTATATAAGATGAAGCATCAATAGAAAAAACGAGAATATCACTCGGAGACCGAAGACTTATCGATGAAAGTTGGGGATTCATTCACTCTGACTCTATAGCAGTGTTCACTATTAGCGCACTTTTTTGCGAAAATTGCGAAGCACTTTCGCAACTTTTTTTAGGGACTGCGAAATAGCACTTTTTTCGATTTTGAAGAGAAATAGCACTTTTTTCTGATTCCGAATGGAATAAAAATTCAAAGTTAACAAATATTTTCGAGTATTAAGTTGACAAATAAGTAACATACTAGTACTTTTATAACTCAATTCTGCATATCATAACGATATTTACCGGAATTCTAACCAATGAGATGCAGACATAGGAGATAAAGCTTTTGCATTAACGGCAAAATTCTTGTTTATAATATGATTATTATACAAGCACACCGATTCCGCTTCTCCCGCAAAAAACGCTTCCCGTGATTGAAACCAGATGTTGGAATAATACGCAGTGCGTTTCTTTAAACGAGAGTGGTCATGTGACTATCAATGATATCGATGAATTCAAAATGACTATAAAAGTGTTAGGTGTTATGGTCACTTTGGATGAATTGTGACCAAACTGCACAATTTTCATCGGCAACAGCTGTTGAAGACATTGAGGACTCAAATTAACATTTGCGTTGGCTTTAATATTACCTATCAAGATTTGTAAATTTACCGTCCTAATTTTATGCGAATGGTAATATTATTGTCCATACCGTGATGCAGATATTTATTAAGACGATAATTAACTTTCTCATGTATTTCTATGGTGATAAACTTCGCAAGTCTGAAATTGTGCCAATCCTGAATATTGATTTAAAATAGTGATTGAATAATTCGGCAATAAAGGCATTTCTGCGTGGTCATAAGACGAGATGACGTTAATGAACAGCACTTTTTTTACAGGATATTTTACGAATGCGACTTAATGCTAAAAAGACTGGGCTCGAGTGCTTTTTTTTTTGAGTGCTCGAGTGCCTAATAGAGGTCAGGCGCTAGTTGTAACTAATTCCCTCAAGTTTCAACGTGTTTTCAACAAAACAATACCCCGGCGATAATTATAGCTAAAATGTTACCGAGCAATTCACAATTTTATTTATGGAATTTGCAAATTCACCAGTTTCTTGACGATTTTGATATTGTCACGCCCTAATTATTAGTGCAAAAAATACTCCCCTTTTTCCGCGGCGGTTTGAGGGTTCTTTGTTCCATTCTTCAGAAAGTTCTGACACGGGGGAGATAGAATACTGAATCCGTAGGGTTGAATCCCTGTCCACTTACTGGTGATTTTCGGTTTTGAAATGCGTGAAACATTCTCTATTTTAAATTAAATGACGTTTCGCGGACTAGAGTTCTCCCCGTTCCAGCGTTCCAGACGTTAGTTAGTCGATAGATAAAACATTAGATTAATAATTTTCGTGACGCCCCGTTTTCGAAAATACAAAGTTATATCGCAAAAAATGCGTTATGATACATTTGGAATGAAACATTATTTACGGTTAATTCAGATCATATTTTACTCTTCATTCAAAATACAGTTGTATCTCGAAAAATGTGTTTTGTTACATTTAAAATAAAACCTTTTTGCGATTAATTTAGATCAAATTTTACCTTTCACGGCAACCCGTTTCCGAAAATACAAAGTTATATCACAAAAAAATGCGTTTTGTTACATTTATTTTGCATTCCCAATAAAATACATATTTTCCCTAATTAAGGTCGTCGATGAATCTGTTCCTGTCGTTCAAGCTCGACACACGTTTGGACGAGTGTGGGGCGGTTTTTTGGTCGACGATAAATTAAAAAGTTGTCACACGTTATTTGTATAACGATAATAACTGAAAATTAAGATTTTATAATAGAAGTGAATTTGTCTCAAGATGGTATTTTACATTGATCTCTCACTTGACGATTTTGATGATGTCATGCCCTAATTATTACTGCTTAAATGCCTCAAAATACAACAAATGTAATCATTTTCGACGATAACAGGCGCAACAATTCGTAAACGAGCCGTTATAACGAAACTCGCGATTGATTTTACCTCTCTCTTGTTTACAATTTTAACATCCCGCCGGCCATGTATGGTCGAATAAAATGTGCACATATTCGAAACATGACTTGGCCACGGATGGAAGGGATCACTAAAGAGCTAATAGAAAGTACATATGCGAGGGTATGATATTAATATCGAGAATATTTGTGAGCATATCACAGGACGGAAATATTTTGCACCCGGCTGTTTGTTGGCAGAACAACGATACGCTAAAGTTAATTGATCGAATACAGGGAAGTATTTATTTATCATATACTTGCGAACATCGAGGTTTTGGCGGAATTGTACGATCATGTTGTCTTTCTTAAATAATAACTTTTTCAATAAATGTTCATTTTTCTTTTGCGTCTTTATTATATGTCGGGTTTTCATTTATTTTAAATACGAAATTGTCCGAAATACTCCAACAGGTGTATAAGTACAATAATAATAGTACTTACCAGGAAAGTTTAATAAACACGATGAGTAAGGGGCGTCGTAACTCCCGTTTATTATAAAATTTTTACATTCTGCTTAAAAAACAACGCACGTAACTCTCGCGACCAAATCTTTTTGTTTTGTATGGCATCGTCTTGGCGACGAATTTATTGTCGACTGAATTTTAATTGTGTTTTAGGATAAGTTATTTTCTGTTTGTTGGTTTCTAAACTTCACAAACTTGGGTAGCAATTACTATTAATGTGAGATTTGTGCACATAAACGATTGAATATCGCGACTGGATGTCCGATATCTGAGAATGCGTAATTCTCTTTCAACATTAATTTTCAGGATATCAGCGGTCATGTGGTCGAATAAAAATTATTTATCAAATGGATTGGTATTTCGAGACACTCTCAAAATTATTTGGGATCCACTATCATATCATTCGTTTATTTTTTATATTCATGTGTTTCTCAAGAATCACCCTCGTTATATTTAGTGTACCTTCGCAAAAGAAAACTCTTTGGTGTCATCGTTCCTATTAGTGTAATTGAAATATATGGAAACCTCGCAAGTGGCGTTGTGATGCGAATATTTGATACTAGGTCAGCAGCATTACAAAGAGTGCTATTTATGAATGCTGAAAGTACATGACATTACTAAACATTTTGCCAATATATGATGTTTTCTGCCCGATTTAAACTAACTCGCACGCAAACCAAGGCATGTCGACATATAAAAATTACTTGTCTTTGGGTAAGCTCTGAAATAGTATCATATAAATGTAAATGAGAAATTAGGTCACGCTAGCTCACGAAACACGGAGGATTTTCAAAGTGATCTTGTGTAATATTTCGGAGAAAAAAGTTTGAAAGAGTAGGTCAACCTATCTCCTAAAACAGGGTAATATATAATAATCTTGCGGTAATATTTTCGGAGGGAACGTAGGTTAACCTATCTTTTAAAACAGTGGGTGGCGACTTTCAAAGTGGTTAAAAATCACAAATTAATAATTATCAGATTAGGTTTAGGGGTAAATCGAAAAGTTGAATTTCCAGCGCACCTAACCCTAATTAGTTGATTGCTATTTATATTTGGGGGGGGGGGGGTTATTTTGCACGGGATTTGTACAAACGATCCACCCTGTAACTAATATGGTTCCAGCCTGCCTCGTGTCTGTTAGATGGAAGGAGTAACAAATGTGAAGTCTTTGCTGTTTACGCGAGTAAGCAACTGACACCGTGATACAATGCATGAAAGTTTTGTCCTGGCAGGTGTTAGCAGATGTCATTTCGTTGCCGATGAATTCGCTTGTTTTGATTAAACACGAATTCGCTTAAAGGGAACTCGGAAAAGGCTTCTCTTTAATTCATAATATTAACCGGAGGAGCGCTTTTTCGAGTATCTATGCCGTTTTAAATGGGTTATATGGAAGGCTAGGGCACCTAACTTGTTAAAATCGGCAAAAGCACTTTCGCACTTTTTTTTTCGACTGCGAAGCACTTTCGCACTCATAATTTGCTTAGAGTTAACACTGCTCTATAGTGACACTGCATGTCCCATCACCAATTAAATAATAACTCCAAAATCATTAGGCTTTTGGTACGAGCTATGGTGAATGCACATGCAAAATTTGGGGCAGATTGAACCTCGCTTTCGTGAGATATCGCATGCATCTAACAGACAGACAGACAAACAGACAAATACCCATCAACATACGTACCGATCTTATTAAGATCGATAAGTAATGACATTAAATAATATTGATATTGTATAATATGTGCCATTTGTCCCACATTGATATTATTAAGTACAGAGTGACACAAAAAAATCAAACTCATACATTGTGGTTTGAATTAATGAGAAATTTCCAAGTGCAGTTTTAAGTATTCTGTGGCGTCTGAAGCTTCTGCAAAACCATGGCAGGATTTCCAAACCATGGCCGATATTTACCGATACTTACTTTTTAGCTGCCACAAACCAATGACGAGATGCCGTTACCACGGCAGCAAATTGAGAACCAATGGCGGGTTAAATTTTGCTGCCATAACCACGGCATGTCGACTATAATGGCAGGGCTTTCCTGACGATGACATAATTGGGTAAGTTAGAACATTTTTCTTATACAGTTTTGATGGATTTGGGGTTAGGTTTCAGGTTTGTGTAGATATAATTCAGCATGATAAACTAATATCCGGTTCGTTCGTGGCAGGATCTGCCAAACTATGGAATTTCGCAGTGTGCAGCATGTCAATAAAAAATAGTAATGGATGAAACTAATGAACAAAAAACCCAATGCATAAACACATCACTTTTTGAATAAAAGAGCTATTTTTTTATTAGGAAATTCAGCATTAAAATCAAAAAATATTCATTCTAGTTCTCAGAATAGCCTAAGAATATATCTTTGACAATAAGGCCAAGATTTTTTTTATGTCTATGTGTTTAGTGAATGACACACAACAACTACAAAAATATTTGTCGTGCGCCTCCATTATATACAGAATCAGAAATAGACTTGTATGGCATCCTGTGACTCAACCGACGTAACATTAGTATGACATGCTGAGTTGGATAATCACATTGGTGACGTTATTGCTATAACTTATGTACAATGCATGGGAAATTGGAGAAAAATACTGGTATATGACCGGCTTTATTCCAAGACTTGAAAGAAACAAAGAAAATCATATATTTTTGATTTTCAAACTCCTGCATTTTTTTATTAAAATACTTTGGCAAATATTGTTTCAAACTATGATTAAAAACTGGCTTAAAGGGCATCTAAGATAAACCATAAACCACCAGCAGTTACGTGAACCACCCTACCGTTGGGAAGCATTGAGCAGTTTTCTCGCACATGATTATCCTCACATGGTATTCAAACCTGCGAACCAACACAGGGCAATTAGAGGTGCAGTGGCGAGCGTGTTCCTAACGCTCTGCACGATGCGTCACTCTGTTGAGCCCGCAAAGCTAATTTTCAATATGTTCAAATTTCACTCTGGACAACCATGTTTGAAAGTAAAAATAATCCAACTTACATTTCGAAGCATCTGTCCACATTATCAGACATAAGTAGAAGCATGCATAGTTGTTCTAATGCAATTAGTTGCATATCACGTTCCTCTCCTAATCCCATCTGAAGCCATTCCAGCAAAGTGTCTGGATCAACATCCGCCATCGTCGAGGATTAACGACTTTAAATTAGAATTTATTAAAAAATTCTATCTATGTAATTTCCAATAACCAAGTTTACTTCTGTGTTTTTGATTGAGATTATCCGATAAATGCAAGAATCAATACGATAGTTTATGATAACTTATGAGATGAGCCTATGACTTATAGGCTTGTTACAGCATAAGATTCCAATAATGTGATATCCTGCCTTGTATATGAAGTTTGATATGGTCCAATGTCCTTATGCACTGTGTGTGCACAATCTCTTGCGTCGAGTCACAAAGACATTTTCACTGATGGTTAATGAGGACACTGAATGTGAACCTCGGTGTTGCTCTGTATTGATTTAACAGTTTGTAGACAATGATAGTAAAATAAACTGTGTATTAAAGTTGAAGAATAATAGTTATTACTGTTTGTATTGCAGTTTAAGTATTTATAATAAGATTGAAATTAATGTTTTCTTGCTTCTAAGAAAAGACACTCAATAATAAATATTACAAAATTCATATCTATGAATTGTGGTGTATCTTGGCAAGCACAGAAAAAAAGCAACTATGCGCCCAGTTAAATGTTTCAAATTCTACAGTAAAATCAAAGTCCTTAACATCACACACACTTTTTGTTACGGCTAAATTTTTGCTATAAATTCTGACTGTTTATCGTCAGTGTGAGTGTTATTCAGTCTATCGACACCGTTAGGCAACATTCCGCCACAATATCCTTCTGCACACAACATAATTATTTGTTCTGCTTCTGCTACCACAGGTTTGATTTTCTTTCTCTTAAATAAGTAAACCCAATTCCCAAACTTCTATTTTGGAGTCGGTGATCATTTAAATATTACATGCCGTCTGCTATGCTTTTACTTTCGCTCATTTATAAGTTAATACCTTCAACCTAAACTGAACGATATTGTCATTAACGACGCCAGGCTAACAATAAAATCTGTGTTAATACTGAAAAATATTTAAGAGATTTATTTACATAATGTCTCGAGGAAGTAGAGAGTCAGTGTTTGGTATAGGGATTAGTTATTTGTTTTCAGAACCACTTCACGGTGGAGGAAGCCGTGACCAAAACCAGCATTACGTTACCCACTATACGGCGTCAAGAAGTCTAGCAATCTGCGAGGTAGCGAGCATATTCCTAACGCTTGGCACGATGCGCCACATTGCCGAAACCAATACAGTACAGTAATATCTGAATATTCTGATATTCAAAAGAGTTTGGTTCATCATGACAAAATGGAGCTAATTCAGCAAGGCAACAACTGAACGGACGGATTTAATGATTGGTTTATATTTATCTGTTTTAATCAATCATTTTATTGCCTGTTATGCTGATTCAGTGATTACTGGATAATGGAGTCGAAATAGGATAGAATAAGATTTACATATTTATCATGGGGAAGAAGAAAGACGGCTTAATCATATGCCGAACCACGCCCTCTCGTCCGGTTACCAATCCAGGAGGGTATGGGATTAGTTAGCCAGTTATTTGTTTTCGGAAGCATGAACTTGATGGTGGAGGAAGCCGTAACCAGCCAGCGGTTACGTGAACCACCCTACGGCAGCGAGGAGTCCAGCAATCCTCTCGCACATGATCATCCCCGCATAGGTTTCGAACCTGCAAACCCGCGAAGGGAAATCCGAGATGCAGTGGCGAGCGTATTCCTAACGCTTAGCACAATGCGCCACACTGCCGAGCTCATACTTATACAGTTATACGACTGTCTCACTGATTTCATTATCAGATTTATTAATTTGTTTTTATCATTCATTTTATTGTTTGTTATGCTGATTATGAAGTCGAGATAAACTTATACCAGAATACCGTACCGGTACCGTCATGACCGTACTGCTGTACTGTCTGGCTGTATGATACAGCCTGACAGCGATGTCAGGGTGTGCAGAGAAATAAAACATGTTTTCCTTTAACCAGATCCCGCCTTCAAAACAGTGATATTTTTTATCAATCTCAACTTAACCATACCCCCCAAAATACTCAAACTCCTTATAACCGCAACACAAACGCGTGGCACAGAAGAAAACAAAGACAAACAACGACAAAGAAGCGCAACGAGAAAACAACCGCGGTCGCCAGCTGACGCAGAATGGCGAAATAGAATACAAACAGCAACGTGACGAAAAAAGCTGTGACGTCATATTTGTGATAGCTAATCACGAAAAGATTTCGTGCATTAGCGGAGATTTGCGCTAATGATTTGGTTTCTGCGGGACTAACTACTTATCGTTTTTCAATGCTTTTGCGACGGTGGATCCGTATGCATATAATGCAATAATGCTGTATCAAAAGTAAATATAACTATCCGAAGTGATCTTGCTGCACATAACACAAATATATTGCTGTAACGTTACAAAAACATACGGTATTCTTGTTAGTGTGCAGCAAGACTCTTGAATCACTTAGCGGAGATTAATATTGAATTACATACTTATATCGCGAAATAGGTGTTTGTTTTGTTATCATATAAACAACGAAAATAGATATTGAATTTGGACAAGATGGTAACTAATTACTCATTGGGATAATCATTTCGGTTGGCATCGACATTCGTCTCCACTTGAATAAACAGTTTTTGTGGAGACAAATGAATTCACAATTCAACTGATCGGCACAGCTACTTCTGTGATATTATTGTCACAATTTTGTTTGTCTATTTTATAAATATACATTCATCACGAACGAATTTTTGGGCAAATTATACAAAGACGTCGAAAGACTATTAAAACGCTGAGCGTTGAGTAAAGGCTTCGCAATCGATTAACTTAGTATTCCATTGTTTTGGGTACTGCATAAAATGCTAAAATATTTTTTAAACAGTTATCGAAGCAAACAGCTTATTTTGTTGTTGAATATTCATATATATTGAACTGCGGCAAAAAAAACTTAACAATTACAATTTTTCTGTACCGCGAGTGGGCAGCAAAAAACTGACATGAAATATAAATAGCGTTGCCAGATTTCTGAAAACAAATACGAGCAAATTACCATTTTTTTCGAATTCTGATATGAGAAAATATCGAAAATAATATTTCTTGCCTATTAAAGTAATTTACTAACTTATTTATCTATCGAATCACATATAAAGCCAAGCGTGGATCACAATGGCGACAAAATAAGAGCTGAAGAAGTAAGATATCGGAATTCAAAAACAGGTTCCCAAATGCGACCCGCGCGAAGTTGTACCGCTTATAATGCACGAAACAAAAATTTCTCGGTACTCCCAGAGTAAGAAACTTAGTACACATACTTCGGGAGTACCAATTTCTCTGCGCAGGTATTTATGTCGTAACAACGGCTGTTATACTGCTTTTGTTTTGCAGTAAGCAGTATAACTTATGCCACAATGGGCCACGTATGGCCTCGCGCTTGCCACAGCACCTCTGATTACCCTGCGTGGGTTCGCTGGTTCAAATCCCGTGAGAGACAGCATTGCTGGACTCCTTGCCGTAGGTAGTTCACGTAACGGTCGGTCGATTACGGCTCCTTCCATCTTCAAGCCCATGCATAGTTAAAGAAGAAACTATCTAACTAATCCCAGTGGTTCCGAAAGGGTGGGCCTCGGTGATTTGTGAAGTTCCCGAAGTGCGAATAAAAATTGGTGATTATTTAGTTAGCGTTAGTATTGTGTTAAAAACTTGGATTTCCGGCGCAATCTGCATTCCTAACCCTAACTGAATATTACCTAATTTTTTATTTTGAGCTTTTGCGGGGATTAGCTTTGTACAAAAGATCCGAGTTGATCCCGAGCGTTTATTACTTAGGCCTGTATATTTACAAACTTTAAAAAGAATAAAGTACACTTTAACGATTACAAAATTGAGTTTTTAAAAGTCAGCAATTTTTCATTTAAGTACGGCGTGGGTTTTTTCCCCTGATAATTCGGGGCCGAATGAGCAAAGATTTTGGGAATTGCTGCCATTCCCGACATGAACTGGTAACCGGACTAAAGATCGTGGTTAGCTCTGTCTACTCGACCTTCTTTTTCCCAGAATAAATATAAAAATCTTATCCAAACATGAAATTCCGCGGGGTAAGTCTGCGTGTTCGTTCAATTCTCCGTAGCAAATCCTGCGGCAGAAAATTTCGCCGCATGAAAAATCGCTGCAAGAGCATTTTGCTGTAAAGCAAGTGTTTGTGATAACAAAAACCGTTGGGTTTATAGGATTAGGGTATGCTCTTAAATACCTAATGTTTTTAAATGAAAAGGTCAAAAACATAACTGTTTTTATCACAAATACTTGTTTTACAGAAAAATGTATTTGCGACGATTTTGCATGCCGCGAATTTTCCCATGCGCCGAATTTTCTTGCGGCCAATTGTTCTGCGGCGAGATTTCCTACGACGAAATTTCTTGTTGCGAATTTTCCTAGAACCATAAGTCTGTAAACCCGCCAATATTCGACACAATCCACTAATTTACGTACTACATTGGTAGATACATCCGAGGTTTGTCCAACGACATTTTTGATGATTTTAGTTGCTGTGTGGAACGTTCTGTTAATCAGTAATTTATTTCTTCACCACGCTGAAAATACCAACTATACACTTGTGGCTATAAGTAAGTATATTTGGTAATGACTTGAATTAAAAAAACGTTGAAAAGTTTGAGGTTGTAGTAAAACGTCATGGTACCAGAATCGTGACGTCATAGTACCCGTTTCAACTGGCGAGTAATCAGTAATTTATTTTTTCATCATCCTGAAAATACAAACTATACATGCTCAAATTAAAGAAAATATAAAAAAATCGCATAACAGGGTGAAAGGAGACGCCGAAAACCAAAACTGGTTATCGAGCGGCGGCGCCCTTGGGGAAAATCTTACAAAACGTGATAAATAAAATAAAGTCGAACAAGATCTGTTATTTAATAAGTAAAATAAAAAAGCAATAAGTATGTTACGGCGGCCTGGTACCTACCAAACCGTTTCAAACAAAAGAAGGTTTCCGTTCAACGGTTAAATATAGCAATGGGAAATGATTCAGCACTATCCTAACCTTTTATCTTTCGACATACGCGCGTCGTAGAAACTCCCTAAGTGCTGAAGTCGGTGATATTTTAACAACCACGAAACTGCTTTCAAATACCCAATGATTTGGTCGAGATTTATTTTATTTTTCTCAGCGTGCGACCACTCTTTCGAGCCAAACTTGACCTATATATGTTGTCCTATATATTAAATTTTCGGTGCTCCCGAAGTATGCGAACCAAGATGGCGGACATCGGAACGTAACATGGGTAACAGGTTAGGGTTAGGCGATAATTTTTCCTTATTTGAGTCCTATTATCAGTTCGAAGACTAGCCAAGAGCTTCCCGTAGTATTTATACCTAAAATTATGGCCTAACCCTAACCTAGTACACATATTACATTCCGATGTCCGCCATCTTGGTTCGCATACTTCGGGAGCCCCAAATTTTCCCTTGATTGATTCTACAATATTTGATACTCCCGTAGTATGTGAACCAAGATGGCCGACGCAGGAACGTAGTATGTGTACCAGGTTAGGCCATAATTTCATTCCAATTTTTCTCATTTTGGGTATATTATGACTTCGGGGACTAGCCAGTGTCTCCCGTAGTATTTGTACCTGGAATTATGGCCTAACCCTAACTTGGTACATGTACTATATAAAATTTTGTCCGCGAAAAATTACGATATAGGAAATGACGAAAACGATTGCTGCGTGAAAATGGCGTTTTAATTAACCATGAATGACCTGGACGACATTTGTTTGTTTTTAAAATATTGCTGATTGTATTCCTACTACGCATAAGAGATTATAATAACGCCCAGAAGCTATGACATTTTTGTTATGAAAACTGTTGAACAGTTTGATATAAACATTACAAATGTGAGATAAGAAAGCCAGAAATGAAACCAGCATGATTTCTGCGTGTCCCTAACAAGTATCCATTCATTTGGGTTTGGATTTAGTACCACAAATACTTTCGGAGGGCATAGCATAACAAATTTTGCATATATTTCTAACCCCCACCTGACTCTGCCATCCAAAAATTACGTTATTAGACGTCACAATTACGTCATAGAGCTTGCCAAAGTATGGAACGATCGCCCGAAACGACATTTGCATTGCCGATAATGCCAACGATCTCTCTCATATCGGGATCGTTGCGACGAGAAAACGAGTGAAATAGCTTGTTCGATTTCGGGTGATCGTCTGCGTGTTTTGGACGACCATTCGTACACTTTGGAGGGCTTTATTACGATACTAGGACGTCGTAGTGACGTAATTTTTTGGTGACGTAGCCAGGTGGGGGAAATTGTTGAGCCAGGCCAACTAGAAGTACTTGTGGTACTAAACTATACCAGACCCCAAATTGCATGATTATCACTTCGATTTTAACCATATTCTGTTATTTTACCTGAATTGAGGCTGTATTCTAAACATTTGGTTACTCTTGATCAGAAATGCAGCATTATTTTGGCGTATCCTTAAAAGGCAACATCGATAAAACACAAAAATTCCGATGTCGATAAAATTCTAATGCAAACTGGGTTTTCCTGCACAGTCACAATGGATGTTTTAGTATAAAATTTTGTCCGCGAAAAATTCCGATATAGGAAATGACGTAAATGGTTTCTGCTGCGTAAAGAAGGGCGTTTTAAATGAAAGGCAACATCGATAAAATGCGTAAACAGGGATTGCTCGATGTCTTATATCACATGAATGGCGCGACGTGTGACAACTTACAGTTTTATATGAAATAGGAACAGGAGTGCGTAAAACGGGAAGTTGTGATGTGAAGAAGTTTTGTTGAAAGTTCCGTGGACGAAAAATTCGCCGCAGGATATTTTTCCACGGGAAATCTCGTCGCAGGAAATTTGTCGCATAGGAAAATTCGTCGCATGAAAAATCGTCTCAAGAGCATTTTGCTGTAAAATAAGTATTTGTGATAAAAACAGTTAGGATTATAGTTTTAGGGTACGCTCTTAATAACGAATCTTTTTTGCATAAAAAGGTACCTCAAAAACTTACAGTTTTTCATCACAAATACTTGTTTTACAGCAAAATGCTCGTACAGCGACTTTTCCTATGCGGCGAATTTTTCTGTGGCGAGTTTTCCTAGAACACTCCAGAGCAGCTCATAGTCGCCAGAATAACAATGTGTGTTTGATAACTGTAGTTCGTTCAGGCTAGCTCGTTGGATCAACCTAGGCCGGGTCATTCAAAAACAAGAGCTGTGTGAAATCAAAATCAAAAACCTTTAAGCAAGTTTTGACTTTTTTGAGCGGCGCATTTTCTTCACAATACCTACTATAATGCCAATTAATACAGCTAATCATGACGTTACTAAACCTACAATAGTCTTAAATGTCTTCACAGACACTTCCACTTTATAGCTGAACAGTTAGTTACGTTATCAAAACTTTCTAGAAGCAAGCATGAACCTCGCCAAAATTATTTTGTTCATCTCTCTCGTTTATGGCTTGTATGCCAAACAAAAATTACCAGGTAAGATGCGTGTTTCGGAAAAAATTACTGTAAAATCTGGCAACACTGATTTGCAGGTAATCTTTTTCTACACATGACATGGGCAAACTACGACCCGCGGGCCAAATCCGGCCCGCTGGGTGATTCAATCTGGCCCTCCGGATGCTGCCATAAACTTTAACCAAATCTGCATGCACTACTTAGTTGTTGTTATTGAAATTTGTAAGGTGCAAATAACAATAGGATTGTTAGATTATGATCGTAGTCTGTGTGAGTTGTATTTTAGGTTGGCACAGACTTTCAGGTTATGGAATTTTTACCTAAACCTAACGTCACACTTACATGGCCCGCTAGTATAGATGGGCAACATTTTTGAACCCCGGTCCGAAACAATGCCCACCCCTGGTCTACACCCACTCCTAGATTCTGGTACCAAAACTGCTATAATATAAGAAATTTATGGAGGATTTACAAGATATGTCAGATTCAGCAAGTGTAGCAACACGTATAATTTTCTGGCACAATATGTCGTTATATTTAACTTCACGTTTTGACAGCTGGAGCTTGCGTTTCCAAGATCGTGAATGGGAAACTCGTTCAAGTTGGAGATTGCAAGGTTGAATTAAGTTGCTTTTTTGTGTGATGTTTTCACTCTTTTACTCCGAGTAAGGCATTGGGTTAGCAGCCACTGTCATTTATAAAGCAGATCTAGGATAATTTACCGTAGGAAATCTCGCCGCAAAGAAAAAAATCGCTGTTAGAGCATGCTGTAAAACAAGTATTACTTTTTAATTAAAAAAGAATAATTATTCAAGAGCGTACCCAACCCTAACCCCATAAACCTAACCGTATTTATCAGAAATACTTATTTTACCTCAAAATTGCACTTGTGTTTCTTCTATGCGGCAATTTTTCCTGACACGGTATTAAACCTACTTTATTTTGAAGATCTCAAAGCTTTTCAATTCTGAATTGCTTACCCAATTTAAATCCGAATTCTATATGTCTAATATAATATAATACAACGTATGTGTTTATTATAACCATACTAATCACCTCCATTTTTTATTTATTTCACAGAAAGACGATGGTTCCGGTGAGTTCGCCCTACTGCGTGATATAGATTATGTTTAAAAAAGAAAATACTTAGGTGACCGTAAACCTGACATGGGAAAACTAGTGCGTACGGCAGGGGTCGGCAACCTTTTGTTGCTCGCGGGCCAAAATTAAAGTTTGCAAGCCATTGGCGGGCCGCACATATTTTTAGAAAATTAAAAATCGAATGAATGGCCGATGAATCACATTTTATCACACAGATCAGAAGTTAAATTTTAAGCAGCGCGCGAAGACTGACAATTTGAATATGTTTTGCGCCATCAAACCATTTGCACTAAGCATCAACTTTTCTGCGTTTTGTTGTCATTTGTCTAAATATAATTAAATTATAGGCTCACTAAACGAGTAATTGTGAATTATATACTTGTTACGTTATAATATAATTTGGTCTACACGTAAATTCTTTTGCGTAAAGAATATAATCGACAAAACAGCTATAATTCAGTGGAGCGTCGCGGGCCGGATTACATTGCTCCGTAGGTTGTCATATTAGTCGTAGGTTGCCGACCTCTCGCGTACGGGCTAAATTCGACCCGTTTGGTAATTCAATCTGGCCCGCCTGATGCTGTCACAGCCAAACCGAAACCAAATTTTGATGTATTAGCAAAACAATAGCTGAGGAATTTGTTGAGATTGCAATAAGTGGAGTTAAAGTTAGCACAAGGCTTATTATTTTACATTTTGCTTTTGTAACACTGTGAATATTGGTCATGAAACGTAACTTTTCACGTCACTTTTGAATGGCTCGCCAATCTAGATGGGCCAGGTATTTGGCCCTTTGTCTGAAAACTCCTGCCCCAAACGAATGACACACTTTGAGTCAAAATTAAGCACTGGCCCAAAAATATTCTTAGAATGTAAGATAGTTGAAGTATACAATGGGTATTGTGAACATTATAATACGACAAAAACAGATTTGAAATGCCTTATCCTACACACAAATGAAATATGCCATTTATTTATAGAAATCGCCAGACTGATCAAGAAAAGTCTCGATGAAAAAAGAAAAGCTGAAAGTAATTTCATTTTTGTGATTTGATAATTTGACTATAAAATATATCAAACACGTTAAATGAATAATATTCAATTTCATGGATATTTCAAGTATTAGACTTGACATGAGAAAATTACGGCCCGCTGGTCAGATCCGACCCGTTGGGTGATTCATTCGTGGCCGCATGATGCTGCCATAACTTTTACCTAATTCTGCCAGAACTACATGATTCTTATTATTGAAAATTGTATGGTGCACTAGGCTTGTTAGATTATGCTCGTAGTTTGTGTGAGTTGTATTTTTGGTTGGCACAGACTTTTGTGTTATGGGAATGTTAACAAAACTTTACCTCACACTTATATGGCCCGCAAGTCTAGATGGGCAACATTTTTGGCCCCTGGTCCTTGCCCATCTTTGTATTAGACCCTTAGTTGTCAGTGAGTGATTAACCCAAATCCTAGTCGGTTACGACTTCGCCCACTAACCATGTATCTAAACTTGATAGATATTACAACATCTGAAACGTATTTGTTCCGTCGTTTTCCTGTAAAATTTTTCGTTTTATCGACTATCGTCTGAACAAAATTATTAGATTGTAATATTTCTAAAAATTCTATTTTGAAAGAAAGTCTCAATCAATCTCAGATCGTTGTAAAATTCTGAAATTTTAATATAAAATACTCACTGACAACAATATTTTTGTTTTTAGTTAAACGTGGCGTCACATACAATTCAAAATTGTTCCGAGCAGTTGTGTATGATGATGCGTACAAGGTCGACGTCAATGACGCTCCATCAATTTGTAAGTCATTGAACTACGGGAAACCCGCGAATATTTACGACCTCGCTCATTACCAGCTGTTGCTCCCTTATCTACGTTTACTGATAGCTGATGGTTGGACAAAGATTAACCTTTGGACAGGGATGGGGTATAAGGTCAGTTTGATAGATCACAATCTGAAATCTCAGTCAGTTTTATTCATTTTTGTAAACTTCACCGGGTCCAAGGTGAACTTTAATAAAATTACCAAATAGTGGGCATGTATGATTTGTTAAGATTAGATAATTAGAAAACCGAGATATAGATAATGCTTTTAATTTGAAATATATTGTGACGTCATGGACGAACTGTCCGATTAATATTCTGGCGTTTTCCGAATATTTTAGAATTTGAGATATTTTCAGTAATATCTGGTTTCACTCATTTTCATGTCGTTCTTAACACATTACTTGCCATACCTTTACTATAAAACTCATTACTAAATGAGCCTTCTCATCTAAGATGTCAGTCATATTAACATTTCAAGCTACTGATATTGAAGGTTTATTCAATTGTTACAGAACAATCAGCTTTTGCTTTCGAGTGGGCGACCAATCACTATAGCAACAGAAGTGTGGCGTCCGGGTAATTGGAGATCCCATTCAGCGTGGACAATTGTTCTTGTCGATGTCCAAGAAGATTCAGAAAACAAAGATCAGGGAATATACAATACAATACCATTAGCGTCGTGTTACGGTGTCATTTGTGAAATATAAAACCTGCTCAAAACCAGACAGAACTTCGTTGACGGACTGAATGATACAAAGGACAATAAGATCTTACGTTTTATTACTTATCCATATTAATCCTTTACTATTATTACCCGCATAACCTATGCCATGTCTATTAAAACTTTTTGCTCCGAAAATAAATTCGTAGCTGACACACCCCATGTAATTTCTGTATATAACCAAGAATGATAATAAATATTGATTCGATGAATTGTGAGTTTGGTATCATTTTGTCAGTTTATGGGAATCAAACAAAAAGGGTAATGAAACGTAAAATAGGAAATTACTCATGCGTGAAAGTGACCACGCCTACCTACCTATGCAGCAAATGAGCCGCATGCGGCTCTCAACAACCTTTCCTGCGGCTCTTGTTATTGCTTTAAAATTAATTACTTTCAAAGAAAATTTTCAATAAAAACTAATCATTGGCTTGAAATTAAAATGCGGAAGTCTATTAGTCAGTCGAATGGATTCCCCCGTGTTTATTTCGTAGCATTGACTAATCTACAATATGCAATAGTGACGCAACAGTAAGCATTTTCGCGGCCACTCGAACACTTTTCACTTGGAAAGATTTTTAGACATGGATGTAATCATTAGCTTGCTTTCGTTGATTTTCAGTTTTTGTCGCATTTTCGAATATTATGTATAAATCATAAAACTTAATGATTATTACTTATCGATTTTAATCGGTAAGTATGTTGATAGGTATTTGTATGTCTGTCTACGAAAGCGAGGTTGAATCTGCTCCAGATTTTGCATGTGCTTTCATCATATGTCGTACCAGAAGCTTATTGATTTTGGAGGAAATATGTCGTATAATTAGCGAGTTATCAATTAATTGTGATGGGACAACAAGGTGTCACTATGGAGTAGAGCGCTGTTTTGGGGATCCCCTAACTTTCGATCGATAAGTCCTCGGTCTCTGACCGATATTTTTGTTCTAGTAGTTATTTCCTTGCGTTCACATTAGCGACAGCTGTTGAATACCTTAAGGGCCGATTTCAAAACCAAATTGAGTGGCAATAATGGCAATAATGACATTTCAAGGCCTTTGGGCCTAATAGAGGTTCAGACGCTAATTATAACTAATTCCTTCAAGTTTTAAAGTTTTTTTTTCAACGAAACAACACTCCGATGGTTATTATAGCTAAAATACTTACTGAGTAATGCTCAATTTTCTTTACGGAATTTGCAAATTCAGCACTTCACTCACCGGTGATGATTTTGATTATGTCATGCCCTAAGGCTTAATTATTACTGCCCAAATGCTTCAAAATTTAACAATTGTAATCATTTTCGATTATAATAGACGCAACAATTCATGAACGAATCAGTGTGCATTGTTACAACGAAATTCATGATTGATTTTACGTTCTACTCTTGGTCTAACGGCCATTCATGATCGAGTAAAATGTTTATATATTCGAAACATTACTTGGCCAAGGATGCAAGGGATCACTAAAGAGCTGATACAAAGTGATTTAAAGGGAGTAGGACATGACATTTCTTATATGGTCCCAACTACATGAGTCTTTTCAATACAAGTAACTCATACCAGCCTTTTAGGGAAAAACTTTTGGTCATTTTTAAAATCCATGCAATTTAAATAACTAGAGTTTTCATAACGACCTAAAATCGCCTTTTCACAATGAGAACGCTCGAAAAGTCATTTAACAAATTTTATGTTTAATCACTTCCTCATGTTAGGAAATGCAAGAAATGGCCAAATGACATACGACCACAAAGCATGGCGGAGTTAAAATCTGGCGAAGATTATATTTTAATATATACCAATCTGGTTTGAGCGTTTCTAAAATTTAGGAACGGGTCGGAGGTACGATTTTTTTTTTGCAACAATAGGGAATGAAATCCATAAGGTAAGTGCAAAAGATGCATATTATAACACCATAACCATAAGACAACAAATTTTCAAATTGTGTCGTTTTTTCTGATAGGCGGAGCGCCGTTGGGAAATCTCGCACAATTCACGATTTGATTGGAGACGGCGCGATTTCGGTGTCCAAGCAGAGCGGCGCAGGTCACGTTGGGTACCAGATATTCAAATAGTAAAATGTCTTTCGAATATTTCATTTTCGAATATTTTGCCCAGCCCCAGTTGTAGGTGTGTTTTGTCACGATGACTTGGGTATTTTAATACGCGCTTAAGGTTTGTTGCTATTTTACCTTGCGTTATTTATGTGCGGCTCTTCATAACTTTGAGGTGTGAAACGCGGCTCTGGGACTAAAAAAGTTTGGAGAACCACTGCACTGGAGTCTCACGACATTATATCGGAGATCAATGTTTTCCTGACCCGGATTCGAAGTCAAAATTTTGTAAACCCGGGGCCAAATGTAACCCCAAAGACCAGTTCTCATCGACTTTGCCCTCTCCGCGATCAATATAAGCATCTTATCTTGTATATCAATGTAAAAGTTCTACCTAGTCAAGCAAGCTTTGTGTGTTTCGTGTAGTTACGTACCCCGAGTACTTCTAGTGGACGTAGCATAACAATTGCATATGTTAATCCTAACCCCTCACATGACTGCGTCATCCAAAAATTACGTCACTACGACGTCACAGTGATGTAATAAGGCCCTCCAAACTATCGTAGATATACTTTGGCAAGCTCTATGGCGTGATTACACTAGACCCCAACTTTTATTGAACTGCTTTGGCACAATCAACATAAAGCAAAATAAGTAATAAGGTTTATTTCAGCTATATACAACCAGGGCAAAAATAAATGATATTGGTGGATGTACACTACTACGGACACTGGTTTAATGAAGGATTGGCGGCAGGGCCGGATTCGGACGATAAGAGGCCCCTGGGCTGTCCCAGTTATGAGGCCTCTCCTTGACTATGACGTCACAACGTTTATGAATTCAACTATGGTGTCACAATTGGCTTTCGAATATTATGTCAAATATATTATAAATGGTGCTGATGAAGTATGCGTACCAAGATGGCGGAAACCGGAACGTAATAAGCCTTTATGTACCAGGTTAGGGTTAGGCCATAATTTTATTCCAATTTCCTTATTTTAGTTCTATTACGAGTTTGGGGACTAGCCAAGTGACTCCCGTAGTATTTGTATTTGAAATTATGGCCTAACCCTAACCTGGTGGTACACATACTACGTTCCGGTGTCCGCCATCTTGGTATGCATACGTCAAGAGTACCTTATAAATTGTGTAAAATACGAAATTTACTTACACCCAACGTACGAAAAACCTAAATAGACTGGACAGTAAGTTGAAATTGAAAACACTTTAAGAAACCCAAACCTGCAATAAAACGTCATGCACAGAGTAACCAATGCCATAACAACCATTTCTAGTCGCGAAAAGGGATAAATAAAATAATATCGATAAAAGTTATCAATCGATTTTTTTTGTAATGTGTGGGATTTAAATAAATAATTCCGAAAATAGTGAAATATTTTCAATTATTTTTAGATTCGTTCTTGCTTAGATAAATTGGTAAAGCTATATATCGATATTTTTTCATCTTTTTCAAAAAATGAATGTATTATTAGCGCTCCTAAAGTATGTGTACCAATATGGAGATAACTAATTTGTTCTCCTACTTTACATCAAGTTGTGTAAAGTGACGTAAACCTATGGGCAGGCGGTATATTCACTTGGCTAACACAGACAATCTCGAACTCGCAATAGGACTAAAGTAAAGAAAATTGGAATCAAATTATGGCCTGACCCCAACCTGTTACACATACAGCGCGAGTACCCTAAATACTTTAATTAGTTCATTATGTAAGATGTTAAGAAGTGTTATTTAAATTCAGAAAAATTCATTTATTCGAGTGTATTTTTACATCGTAAAAAAAAGTAGTTGCGACAATAATTAATAACATGGTTCAAAAATGAGTAAATGTCAGTTTTTAAATCAAAAAAATTGAACCGGTGTGCACCAATATGGCGCACAACCTGAACCTTAACCTGGTACACATACTATGTTCAGACTGTTCGAGATCAAGGTTCGCATACTACAGGAGTACCCATTATCGAATGCTAAACTTTGGAAAGTATGAAAATACTGTTGAAATTCTAATTTTTCGACTCCAAAAGATTTAGAAATTTGTCTCTGAGAGTGTGCATTGCCGACACAGAACCCCAGCTTTAAGATATGTATATAGAGGGTGTCCATAAGGTCTTAATTAATTTTTTTTTTAAATTGCCAAGGGATTTATCGATAATGTTATTATATATTGTTATAATCGCAAGCAGATGTATTTAAACGAAGTAAAAACACTTAAACAATTACTGATTAAAAAACAACAACCCTGGTTGAGATATATTGAGAACTGACTTCATAACAATATTGAAAATTTTAAAGGGAATTTATGGACACACTTTACTAAAGATTGTGGAGTTATGGAAATCTAAATATTTTAATGAAACGCAAAGGAAGTATGTACACACGCAACACATAGATTTATTATCCAGGAATTATCAGTCTTTGGCTTATCCTTAAATGCCAAATAAGGCTTCAAGCTCACATAAATATTTATTTTTCACGCTGCAAGTATTATCGTTCAGATCCCAATCAAAGCCAGAAGCAATATCGACGCAATCTTCATTACCGCCATGGTTGTTTGGTTCACCATCATGCCATGGAACAGAACTTACATTCGCGGTTACACCATCTTCCCAGATGAACGTATTTTCCTGTCGAATGTCGTTCAAACCAATCCATGCGTGGGATCGTCCAGATTTGACCAATGGTAAAATTTCTCTGCGAAAAAAAATGTCTGTTTATGGTATTTCACGACCTCACTTTCATAGCATCGCAATTTAAAGATTTATTCGGTACTAGAAATGACCGAAACGAATTAGTTTTTATTCAGATTTCTAGCAAGTGTGATTCGATCGGTAAACTACTGGCCATGAAGTATTTTCAAAAGTATAATGACGATTAGCCAGTTATTTTGAAACGGCAGTCATAAGCATAATAGACCCTTTCGTTTTACTATTGATTATTTGTAGCTTATTGTAAGCTAGTTATTTTTGGGGTGGGGCGCTAGACTTGACAAATTCTAAAAGAGGAGCGCGGCTTAAAAAATCTGAGAAGCACTGTTCTAATATATTAATCCTACGAGAATATTCCCTACCCATTCCAACTACCCAAATCACCTGCGAATATCTTCATCTCGATAGCCGCCGATTGCCAATTGACCTCCCAATCGCTTACAATTTGCCTTCGCTACTGCGTATGTGACGAGGTCGCTGAAATAGTTTATAGTAATTATTGTTTCCTGCTCGATACCTATGTTTTGATGTTTGTGATTCCACGAGATGCCCATATAAGGGTTTCCAGATGCTCTTGCATTTGTGCCATTACTGCAAAGTAAATTAGAATGATTTTATTACCATGCCTATGTTATTCCGAACATTTATAACATTATATGATATCTATTGGTCTAATGAAGGACGTGCAACCTTCAATACAAAAAGGCAAGATACGAAACAGCCAGATGAAACGCGGGGCGCGCCTTTATTCAACGTAGGTTTCTTGATAGTTGCAAGCACAAACAATACTTTATTGATCTCGTAAGTCGTAACCTTCTTCCCACAAGCTAGCTGTTAGGGACTTGTCACGTCATAAACTTTTCAAGGCAAAGGAGTTGAAATTACTCGCTCATACCAGATTAAACTAGATTAAAAACTTGTTTTTCGGGCCGCACACCATTCAAAATTGGAATTTCTTGGTGGGACGCCGAATTTTTCCTTGCGGGCCGCATTTGGCCATTAGGTTGCACACCCTGGAGTCGAATTTATGGTGTTTTTATTCCTATTGTATAGTTTATTATATTATCGTTTTCATAACTGAAGATTATATTATAAAAAACAGAACGAAGAATTATCTTTTTGTAGTAATATATATGAAATCATCATATAATGCTTATCCCATTACAGAACGAAAATCCAAAAATAACTACGAAGGAATAAACAAGCGCTATTTTTTTCTTAAATATTTTGATGTTGTATTTGATATTTTCATTCGTCTTATTTTCGTCAAAACTATTCTTGATTTACCTGATTTCAATCCTTCAATATCTGTTTTCGATTTCCAGTCAGTTTTGTTTGAGTATGTCCGGATGCTGTAATAAAAAATAATAATGATGAAACGTATTTAAAAGTGAAAAACCTTTGTTGGACAAATATAATTTGACACAGGCGACATTTACGAGAACGCTTTTATTGTGAACAATCACTGTCACCACGGTTCCAACCTCGCTTAGTTTACATAAACACTAATTGTCATCTTTTCATCTAACACGGAGCATACTATAAATTAAAGTAATTAAATCATAGGTTAGTCCATTTGGGATAAAGTCCCTGGAACCCCAACTAACACATGGTGTAAGGATTTGGGGTAGAATAAGAAAGAAACACATTACGAATCGTAAGATACTAATGGCAGTTTGTAGAGCTGACGGCCCGTTGGGTAATTCAATCCGGCTGGCCTGATGCTTCCACAACCAAACAAAAACCAAATTGTAATATTTAGATCAAAACTGTTCAAGAAAATTGTTGAGATTGCGAATAAATTTAGTTTTGGCACGGTGCTTATTGTTTTCCACTTTTGCTTTTGTAACACTGTAAATGTTGTTCATAAAATGTCACGTCATACTTACATGGCCCGCCAGTCTAAGTGGCGAAAATGTTGGTCTTTGGTCCAAAAACTTGCCCCCCCCCCCTGTTGTAGAGAAAGACATTGGTCTGCCATATTTATTCACTTCAACAATTCACCTGCTTTTAAATCCTCTATGTCCTCGCTAGATTTCTCAACAATCGGACCAATTTGAGTCAGTTTTGCTTGAATCTCTCCTGAAATATCTGAACAAAAATTTATCTACTTTGAAATAAAATTATTTTCATTGATAAAACGATAAAAAAAAGCGTGGCGATCATTTCTCGAGTGGCATAAATGGAACAGTGTTAAATGGATACTCCCGTAGTGCGTGTACCAGGTTAGGGTTAGGCCATAATTTTATTGCGATGTTCCCTATTTTAGTTCAATTACGAGTTCGGGGATTGTCTGTGTTAGCCAAGTGAATATACCCATTGCCTATAGCAGGGGTGTGCAACCTTTTTTATTAGCGGGCCAAATACAAGTAACTGGGTAAAGCCGCGGGCCGCACCTTTATTTAATTCAGGCTTTCTGGTAGTTGTAAGCACAAAAATTGCCTATATTTGCTATTGATATTACAGCATTATTAGGGGTTCTTGCAGAAATAGTAGATTTAAAACGCATAAACTTCTGAAGAAACTGCTATTTAAATTTTTTGTCACACCGACTTCAAACGAATGCAGTGAGAAACAAGTTTTTGTAATATAAATCGTGTATTTAGCAACAGAATTTTGCTAGCTTGTTTTGCTAATATGACTGGTATGGGCTTTGCGACAAAAAAGAATGAATACTCGTTTTGCGGGTACACCATTCGAAATTGGTATTTCTCTGCGGGCCGCACAACTTCTTTTTGCGGGCCGCATTTGGCCCGCGGGCCGCAGACCAAATGTTGACGATTTAGCTAAAAATAGCTCAAGAAATCTGTTGGGGTTGCGGTTAAATTTAGTTCTCCCACGGGGCATATTGTTTTCCATATTTTCGTTGTAACACTGTAAATACCGTTCATAAAATGTAGCTTTTTACGTCACACTTACATGATCCGCCAGACTAGGTGGGCAAAAGTTTCTGCCCCTGGTTCAAATACGTTGCCCATCCCTGGCCTATAGGCTTCCGTTCCTTTACACAACTTGATGTAAAATAGGCGAACAAAATTAGTTACCTCTATGTTGGTATACACACTTTTAGAGCGCCGTTTAATGATTAGAAATGTGAGTTTAGAGAACATTTCATAACGAGTTTCAAATTGAAATGTTCCCAAATGAATAATTTTAAGTTTGCAGCATATAATATGGTGCCATGTCTTGATAATTACTAAGACTAAATGAATGAAGCTTTAGTTCAGGCTTTTAATGGCAAAAACTTTTCACATAGTGTTTATCCGGCACGCTCGAATTATGTGAAACAAGACGGCGGACACCGGAACGTAATATGTGTACCAGGTTAGGGTTAGGCAAATTTTATTCCAATTTTCCGCCGGTGTCCGCCATCTTCTTTCACATATTTCGGGATTACCCTTAATTCAACGATTAATCAGTCGATTGTTCGCTAGGCCCACCGTTGAAAAATTCTGCGCTGAGAGGAAAGTACAAATTCAAAGACAACAACTGTTGAACTATTGAACAGAAGCCTGAGGACTTGTGCGTGTCAGCAAGAATAATATTAACGATCTCTCTTCACGAAATAGCAAGTATGAAAAAAACAAGCCGGTAGGCGCCCAGTATTTCCGATGACTCTTGAGGCCCGCATTTCAGCAAAACGATACCATATTTGCAAGATTGTATACAATAACGGCAGGGTACTGTTGCAGCTGCTTTACCGAAACTGCCAATTCATTTGAGCGCTGCGCATCTCACCGGGAACTCGGTTACCCTGACCGCCAATTCCCATCACGCAATTCTGCAAAGAGCTGAATCCTTAAAGAAATCTGTCAGTAATGTAACCAATGTCATACCAAGCGCAGGTATCATGACATCATCTAAATGGGATGGACTTTGGTTTATTCAAAATGATTTATTTTTTTTACTATATCTTACCCAAATTTTGAAGTTCGACAGTTTTTGCGCGTCAAAGCTAGAGTCCGGCTATAGAAAAAAATTGAGAGTCTTTGTTTTGCATTTCAACGATATTTTTGCTTTTTAAGGATAGAGTCTCAATCTAGAAAAATTATCCAAAAAATATGTTTTGAACATGCCGTAAATAACGACCGAAAACTGCATAGTTCAAACAAAAAATGTTTTTTGGTCATTTATTGTATGTTCCTAATTTGGAATTTTTTAAATTTTGATATTGTTTTGCATTTCGAAAGCCGAACAATCAAAAATCGGCTTTTTTCCTCCAAAAATGTTTTTTGTTTATTTATGTTTACCAAATTGGAATTTTTTAACTGTTGATATATCCGACATTTCAACACTAGAGTACTTCTATAGGCAAAAAATCGAGAAAGTATGTCTCACACTTGCCGTAAACCACAATGGAAAATCGCATATTTCTCATAAAAATTGATTTTTAATATTTATTATACGTTGCCCAAATTGGAATTTTTTCAAATGTTGATATGTCTTACCGTGCAACACCAGAGTCCTGCTCTAAGAATATAATTGAGGAAGCATGTTTTGAACTTGCAGTAATCACCGACAAAAGTCGAATATATTATCCAAAAATCGGTTTCTGTTTATTAATTATTTGTTCTTAGAATTTATGAGATTTTGATTGCTTATCCTACTTTGCATTCCAACACTAGAGTCTGGAGTATTAGAGTATTTAACGCCATTATTTTTCTAGATCAAGACTGTAGTCGTGAAATTCAAAAAAATATCAAAAATTCCAGTGAAACTGCGATTTTCTGTTGTTGTTCACGGCAAGACTTTCTCGTTTATTTTTGTACAGCAGTACTGTAGTGTTGAAATGCAAAAAAAATATCCATTTTGGGGAACACATCATAAACAAACCAAAACCAATTTGGGGCGAAATATGCAATTTTGAAATATTTTCTCGATTTCTCGATTACTTTTCTAGAGAAGGACTCTAATATTAAAAGGCAAGAAATATCAAAATTTATATGAATCCTTAATTGGAACATATAATGAATTAACAAAAACTATTTTTGTGGTGAAATAGGCGATTTTCGATCGTTGTTTACGGCGAGTTTGAAACATACTTTCTCGATTATATTCCAATGGCAGGACTCTAGCTTTAACTCTTTGAACTCTGACGTCTCTGAGCGAAGTTACTCGCTCACCCTGAAGGTTCGCGGCGCCGTATTGGTAGAACAATAAAATAATTCTAAATATTGGCTATTTTGCAGGTTCATAACTTTTTATCAAATTTAGGTAGCACGTTGTGTGACATTTCAATCGAAAAAAAATATTTTATTGTGCATTCAGAATGTATTTTCCCTTTAAATACATTTTGTCAAAAACAATAAAATTGACTCTAATCTAACAGTGATTTTTCTGCATGTAAGTGAGTTATGGCTCCAAATTTTGTTATTTCGGTACAAAATATACTGCCAATAATTGATGTTCATAAAGAGTTCTTCATAAGCTTTTTGTTGATATTCGAATTATTATCGTGGCTGCCTTATAACCAATTTTATATTTAAATATTAAATTGTGTATCATTGTGTCGGGTGAACTACTTCGATAAGCGGCCATGGCGCACTGATTACGCAGCTACGCAAAAGCCGATCACGTGACTAAGGTCATAAAGATGTTGATACGTACGTTCGAAACGTATTGCGTGGCAAAATGCGCAAGATAACTTTCACGACGACGTTCTCAGCGGGGCATCGGTCGCCGAGTTTCGATATGATATTAACCCGATATGATTGAAGCACCGACGTCGAATAACGCGTGCAATAATGGTGAGGTGAAGGAAAGTTTATATCTTCATATAAAATTTCCGTGGAAAATGTTTTATGCGTCCATCAGTATTTGTTCAAATATCAACCAAAATAGGTACTTGCCTACTCTTCAGATCAAAATATCAGATTGTACGAATGTTAGGCGAAGCAAGTCAAACTTATGACTTATGGCATATAACAGATATGAAAAGACTTCAAGTAAACGTACGCCACGATGTGTATAAACCGAAAAATGCCAGCACTAATAATAGATGCGTCGTATGTCGCACAATTTACAAAATTGCAAAAAGAGGCCAATCCTTCGCTAAAGACAAACAGTTGCCCAAACAATGAAAGACGACGTTCAAATGCAGATACTGCGACGAATACTTATGCATGGGGAATGAAACCAAAAATTATTGGTATGATTGGCATAACCAAGTGCAATATTGGGTTTAGAGTGTATAGCAGTCTTTTATCCACATAATATTTTCTTATACTTATACATTTTCTTCTTTTGCATGATCTTAATTGTTCCGCATTCTTTTTTTAATAAAATCACAATCTGGTTCATATTTTGTATGTGTTTAAAATGCAAACAAATATCAAAATTGAAAAAAATACTATTCCAGGGAACATATAATAAATAAACAAAAATTGGCTGTAATTCGTCAAACAATTCTGTTAAATGCGTGCATGAATCTTCGTTTTTTTGTTTTGTTTTTTTGACGCAGGAAAGTTGATTGGAAACATTGTTTGTGTACCGAATAAACCAAAGTCTCATCTCGGCGATCTTAAGACATTCGGGTTTTAGATGACATTCAGTCACATAATTCAATGAATTTATGTTTTTTAAATACATTCTTATTCGAGCATATTTGCGCCATCGGCCTCATACGCATACGAAATATGAATTGATAGTTAAATACACGATATTCTGGTATCCACTGTGTTATCCACAAATTAGAGTTAATTATTGGCACAGTAAGCCAATACAAAAGAGAAACTATTTTGTCTCAACGAAACCATAACCACAATATTATTATTATGAGACAATAGATATTTTTATTCCGTATCCAAAATTACATACCAGTGAGATAATCTTTTATGGTTTCATTTATAATATGGTATTCCACCTCTCCTGGTGGTCCTCGTGGCCCAGCTTTTCCACGAAAAACTGTTTGATCTGTAAGGACAGAATGCTGGTCTCTGTTGGTACAATACAGATGCATTTGCTGACCCTAAAATCATGAATATCATTAAAATACAAATATGTGAAGTTGAGTCCAACTCTTGTATGAGGAATCCTCTAAACTCTAAAGCAGTGTTTCTCAAACTGTGTGCCGCGGCACACTAGTGTGTCGTGAGAGATTCTCAAATGTGGCGCGCAGCTTTTTTAAATTCTAGAAAATAAGCTGTTTGTATTACACATAGACATACATGCAACTTGTGAGATTTGAATATCCATAATTAATATTTAGACTGATAATATTATTGCATTTGCCTTGTCGTTGTAGTAATGGGTATTGTTCCAGTATAATTGCATTGTGATGTCATAATGTTTTGTAAAAAAGACCCCACCTTCCACCATGTTCATCTGCGCGTTCAGTTAGGCCAGTGGTCGGCAAAATTTTGTGTACTTGCGGGCCGAATATACACATTTCTTTCGTGTACGAACAATCGCCACATTTAATATATTATCCAACAATATATTGTTTGTATTTTCCTATTCTCAATATGAAAGATGATGTGGTTATGGCAACTTGGTTGCCCGCAGTACGTCGTTCAAATGACGATCTGGCAAGCGAGTACGAAGTTTGCCGACCCCTGAGTTGGGCTATGGGAAAGCAATTTTGGTCGAGTTTTGGCTTTCTGCTTACAAATTCTATTCAATCATCGGTGCAAAAGCCATCAAAATAATCTATCCATTTGCATCTACATGGCTGTGTTAAGCCGTATTTTTTGCTCTGGCTGTAATCAAAAGCAAAAAAAGGGAGCGACCGACCCTCGTTTCTCAAAACAGGTACAAACATCGCATTAACATTTTGTAGAATAATTTGCCCAAGTATAGCTCAAATTTCTCACAAGTATGCCGCGAGATTTTCCTAATTTCTTAGTGTGCCGCGAGAAAAAAAAGTTTGAGAACCTCTGCTTTAAAGCAAGGGTGTGCAACTTTTAAAACACTAAGTCACATTCACATAACTTGGGATGAATGGCGAATCGCACCTTTATAGTAGTTGAAATAACAAAAAATTTGGTTAATAATTTTATGATAGTTTTCGCTTCGATCAAGCTAGCTGTTAGGGCATTGTAACGTGTTGCGATTACTCACACGTACCAGTTTAATCTAAATTAATCACTCGAACTCGTAATAGAACTTAAATAAGAAAAGTTGGCATAAAATTATGGCCTAATCGTAATGTGTCCGTCATGTTGGTTCACATACTACGGTAGTTCCAAAACTTCTCAACAAATATACAGCGAAAACATTTACCTGAGAACTTTCGTCTGGGATTCGCTGTCCATGTGATATTCCAATGCATAGTATCACGAGTATCCAAGTAAAATACATAATGACAATACGGTATCAATGCTTCGTGAAACGATTTGTTTCTAAATTAGGTATAAATTTTGTAAAACACATTTTATTAAATAGAACAATTTTTTATCCACGATTTATTGTTTCAGTTGTAAATGCTACAAACGTTGGCCAGCCAAATAGTAGACACTTTAGACCAGTGGTACCCAACCGGGGGCCGTGGCCCACCAAGGAGGCCACAGAGAAGTTAGTGTGTGTGGGGGGCACCATGCCAGGCGCAAAACTGATTTTCCTTTTACTAAAAAACTCCCCGTTCCTCCCAGTTTCCTTGCTTGATGAGGTTATTTCACAGAGTTATTCTCTTTGCTGAGCATGAATTGTTTGAATATAATGAAGTTCGGAATCTACCAATAAAAAATAACATTGTAAATACTAAAGTAATACAATTAAAGATTCCATAAGTGCTTAAAGCTTTCGGGAGAGGGCCACGAGCCACAAAAAGTTGGGAGCCACTTTTCTAAAATATATTTTTTACCTATCTACTAGTGGGGCTTATACAAAGCCTGGTTTGAAGATTACATTTAAATTTTGTTTATAATAACGCATTTTCTAAACAGCAAACCATTCTACAACAACCTTCCGAGAACCGAGTACACCCAATTGCGAAAGGTTTCTTTCATATTTTTTTTCCCCGACTGTTGCTTATTTTTTCGTACCTCGAATATTGTTTTTCTTTTCATCTCATTTCTCTCAGATTGCCTACTGCACATTTGGCTTGCCGGTAATACAAAATGCAAACTTCGCATGAGAAAACGCTACAAAAATTACGCAGGTACACATGTTGGTACTCCCGATGTGTACCAGGTTAGGATTAGGCCATAATTTTATTCCGATTTTTTTTCTTTTAGTTCTATTACAAGTTCGGGGACTGTTTGTGTTAATCAAATGAATAGGCCCCACATACAACTTGATGTAAAGTAAGCGAACAAAATTAGATACCTCCGTATTGGTACACACACTTCTGGACTGCCACAAGTGTTTACAGAATGTAACATCATATGATAAAATACCTTTTACCTGTCATGAATCTGGCAAATTACATGGAAAATACAATACTTTCGCGCAAAAAATAAGTTCCCAAAAAACACTGTCAACTTTTATTTAAAATAGCAAGTTTCCTCAACGGCCAGCGGGAAAGCTTGCACGATACAAAAGCAATTCAACTTTTAAATTGCATCGGTATCACAAGGAGTTAGGCGCCACGGAAGTAATTGTCCCAAAATACGTTCTAGTTCAACTTTCTGAATCGCACGCGGAAAAACTGCCAGACTGACGTGTTCACAATCTGTAACACCCTATGAAAAGTTACCCCCTGACCTCACTTGGGCCTTTGAAGAGAACCTTGTAATGGATATATCTCTAGACTGTCAAGTAGGGGTTTAATTGTGATTTATTTTCAAATTTTTATACCTTTTCCCAACTTTTACTCCGAACACGACTCTACATCTGACATGGGCAAACTGAGGCCCGCGGGCCAAATCCGGCTAACTGGGTAAACTAATCTCGCCCACCTGATGCTGCCACAAACAAACTAAAACCAAATTCTGATGTCTTGGTTGAAAAATAGTTCAAGTAATTTGTTGAGATTACGATTAAATATAGTTTTGCACGAGGCTTATTGTTTTCCACTTTTGCTTATGTAATATACTGTAAATAAAAATTCTGTTCACAATATATAACTTTTAACGTCACACTTACATGACCCGCCACTCTAGGTGTGCAAAAACTCTGTTTCGTAAACCTTGCCCAACTCTGCTATAGAGGTATAGACCATCATCCATTGGTCAATGGACGACTATTTTTGAGCACGCGCAATATTTTCGTTTCCGCATATCTTCCGGTACTCCTGAAGTATGGGTGCCAAGATGGAACGTATCATGTGTACGAGGTTAGGGTATAGCCATAATTTTAGGTACAAATACTACGGGAGTCACTTGGCTAGTCCCTGAACTCGCAATAGAACTAAAATAAGAAAACTTGGAATAAAATTATGGCCTAGCAATAACTTGGTACAGGTACTACGTTTCGGTGTCCGCCATCTTGGCACGCATACTTCAGTAGCACTTAACTTACGCAATTCATTACACTCTGGATAGGTTGATGGCCTTGGGATTTGTATCCGATATTTGTAACCTAAAGCGCCAATAAATTCTAGTCTCACGCTTGAACCCCTCGGCCTATTATATTATATACCAAGGCTCCAATTATATTAAGTTATTATAATATTACAATACTAATATAGGGTCTCCATAAAGTTCTAAAAAAATTTAAAATTGCAAAGGGAATTTATCGATACCATACATTGATTTGACCCTCACAAATGTATTAAATGAGCAAAAAAAAAATGCTAAACAATTACTGAATAAAAAATAACAAACCTGGTTAAGATATATTAAGAACTGATTTCATAACAAAATTGAAGTTTATGTTTTAGTATATATATACGAAGGTTCCAATTCAATTCAGTCTTTATATTGTGTCTATGATAATAATCTTAATATGATCCTTAAAAAGAGACTTATTATTCCATTACAACTCCACCAAATAACAAATGTTGAGGACACATCTAGTTAGTAAATATAAATATATGGGATTTAATCAAGCCCACGCGCAAGAATAAATCCTTGGATCGTATTACATTTATTTTTTACTTTTGTTGGCTCTTGATTTTTGAAGTGGCGCAAAAAACAAACAAATGGAAACACCTCTGGAGCCCCGAATAATGTATAAGTATGATCGGCGCGTGATGTTCGTAATTTGCCAAGTTCAATATGTCCGGGCAATACACAGTCTCGCGATTTAAAAAAAAAACTCCCAGCTTTTATTTGAAATGACAAGTTTCATCCTCGGCCAATGACAAAGCTACCGAGGTCGGAAACCAATTGAACGAGCGAATTGTATTGATATCACGCAAACTTATGCGCCACGGAAGTAATTGTATCACAATCCAGCGACCTTTCTTATTAACCAGCTTTCAGTTTCAGCAGGACCCCAATTCGAATGCTTTATCCGACCATAATTGAAAACATATATCTTTACTGACCCGAAATATACCATCGAATCCTATTTACTCTCGAATATTTTTCTTTCTTTATTCCGCGCGAAACATCTGCTGGTTTGCTTTTTTCACCTCGGACAAAATCCTGAGCTGCATAACCATTTAAGAATAATTAGCAATACGTAAAAAGCTACTGTTTCGGTAATCCCGAAGTATGTGAACCAAGATGGCGGACAGCAGAACGTAGTATGTGTACCAGGTTAGGGTTCGGCAATATTTATATTCCAATTTTCATAATTTTAGTTCTACTATTACGAGTTCGGTGATTAGCCAAGTGCCTCCAGTAGTATTTGTACCTACTGTACCTGAAATAATGGCATAGCCCTAACCTGGTACACATACTAAGTTCCGGTGTCCGCCATCTTGGTTCATATACTTCGAGGGTACCACTGTTTCTGCAACGCTCGGAGTCTTTACGGTTCGGCATTGCCTACCCAATTTATTACACCTTGGGTGACGTAAAGTCATGAATCCCGACATTGCGTAATTTAATTTTTAATCTAGTACATGCGAGTAATATAATCGTTACAAACCCTATACCTAAGTCCAATTCATCATCCATGCCTATGACGTTACAATGCTTTTTTGTGCCTTTAATTACTTTAATTACTAGAAAGCCTATGTTCATTAAAGTTGTGGTCCGCGGTTTCTTTCAGTTGTTTGTATCTGGCCCTCATGTATCAAAGGTTGCACACCATTATTCTACGTCAAACCGAATGTGCAGAAAACAAAATGAAACAGAATGTGTGCGTGCCTAATTACTTTTTTTACTTTTGGATGAGCGAACACTTGTTTTAACGTCTAAAATCTGTTTGCTCGCTCGATTCTATAATCAGTTTTACTTATTTTGTTTTTATCAATTACTTTATCGTCTATTATGCTGATTATGAAGTCGGAATAAACTTATATATTATATACTTATATGCAATGGTACGTAAATGTGTTTCTTTATATCCATGCGAACGAATAATTTGCTACATCTTACGCAGTTTTATCTTTCAAATTGAAAATGTTATTCGTTTTCTTGAGTCTTTTTTAAATTTTGAAGGCTTATTCGAGATTTTACTGGTTCAATAATTTCAATTTAAAAACTGACATTCATTCATTTTTTGAACAATTTATCAATTCTTGTCGCAAATACTTCCTGTTTACAATGTAGAAAATGAATACACTCCAATAAATGAACTTTTCTGAAGTGCGGAAAGTGCGGTGAACGAAATGAAACACAAAATACAATGGTATGTAATTGTGGGTATTTATATTTATGCGAACAAATATCTTACTCAATTTCACCGTCTGACAATCCTTCACAATATAAAAATTACTTTTGCAGACAAAATTGGGAATTCTACTATCGGCATGTTAGCATAGGACACTCAGACGTTGATTTTACAGCATTTTGACAACTGGGGCTGCTACTTGAGTATAGATCAGATGCAGTGGTTCTCAAACGGTGAGGCGCGCTCAACTAGAGGGGTTGGATAATTTCTGGAGGGGTCGTGAAGCTAATTAAAAATGAAAATCTTCGTTAGATTTGATCTTGCCTGCTTCATTCACTTTGGATAGTTACGTTCGCTCCGCGTATTTTCATCGTGTTTTTTGAATAAAACATACTTAAATATCTGTTTTTTTTTTGTAGCTTATTGTTTGCAAGTTCTTTTTGAGGTGAGGGCGAGACTTGACAAATTCTAAAAAGGGGGCGCGGCTTACTATTACAAAATTCATTACAGATATTAAATATTAGTATATATATAGTACATTGAATACTTTTGGAGACAATTACCGATTGACATAATGAACAAATTGTGGATTGTTTTAATTGCATGTAATCTACTATTTTACTCGTAGAAATGGTTTGAAAACAAATTTTTATAATTTGTAAAATTGATCGATATCTTATCATTTGTAATACTGTGTCGTACGGTAATAATACTATTTAACTAA